CACCAGTGTCTCTCCGCAACCTCCGGGTGCTGTTTGCCAGCTGAGCAAAGCTTGAAATAAATTTGTAGACGTTCCGCCTTGTCTATTGGGTGTGGTGGAGGAGAAAGGCTGCGCAATTGACTTTGCGGCGCTTCTCTCCGCGATGGATGACATCTACGCCCCCATCCGGCATAAAGATTAGATCGTTGTCGGATTGTAAGGCGAGGTGGAAAATGCATTGTTGTTGAGTGGTCCTGGAAGGAGGCTCGAGCAAGGCGTGAGAAGAGTCCAGACCAGATTCATGACACTGGACGACATGTGTGGGAACAGGGTCGGGAGGGCCTCAGATGGTTGAGATGAAGGCGGCTCTATGGTCGGACCGTCGTTTCTGGATCGTCAGAAACGCAACTCTGAATAGATTGCATTGTAACACCAGCTGTGCTATCCACCGCGCGAACTCCAGTGAAATTGGCGATTGCAGATGTCAACATCATGGATGGTAGGTCTGATCTCAATCACCTCGCCGGCGTTGGTACTTCAATTGACCCCGCTGGTTTCGCCCGGGCGACGTGGAATTGTAATTACAGCTTAGTCGATGGTCATGGGGATTTGCATGTTCCTGGTCTGGTGCGGCGGCAGTGCTCCCAAGTTTCTCCATGAATTGGATCGCATCGTGGCTGAATTATGTATGATTCGTAGAGTGTGTGTTCGGTCGTCAGTCGGTACCGCAGTTGGGAATAGATGCACGAAATGAACCAAACGGAACGCGCATTGTCGAGCAGGTTGAGCCGCGAGGAAGGGTCGAGAAAGGGTCGAGAAAGGATGTGCGTGTTTGAAAGAACATTGCACCCAGCAACATTGGGTTGCTGGTGTTCGGCGTTGCTCGATGGCAGTGGGCGAGAGTTTGGTTCGACACGTTTGATGGTCAGAACGGAACGTCGCGCCTCTCAGAGCTGGCGGTTGTTTTTTGATCGCATGAATTTACCACATAAACTGTACCAGTCTTTGACTCTTTGCGAGATACTTCGCCGGCGATGGTTCCTGGACGAGGCCGACTATGTAGCTCACGGCATATAGTGCTTGATCAAAATATAGATTGCATTGTTGAGCGTTGCGCTTCGTCCCGCTGGAGCCTCTTGCTCGTTCTTGCCCGTTCAACAGACGTCAACAATCGAGATTACTCTACGTGCAGACACATCTGACACTCAGGAAAAACACACAACAGGAGAAAACGTGAGCAAGCCTTTCAAGTATTTATTGATATTGCTCTGGTCACCCCGATATTCGATGCTGTGTGAAATAGCTCCAGACAGCTATAGTTGAGTGGTGAGAATCATATTCCCGCCATTGTTATTATTACAACTGGAGTACTCGTATTGACGCCGTGCAAGTCCTATCGCATTGCCGTCGTCGATCTTCTTACCTCGGATCATATTACTATCATTCTATCAATCTCACACGCGCGCATCGTCACTTGTCACTTGTACGAGTATCCAGCCGCCAATCCGCTCGCTCCCCCCTGGCGACTCGACTTCCTTTTGATCGAGAGTCGCGAACATCACCATTATTCGGAGCAGCTAAGACAGTCGGCGACATTGCATTTCCCCCACACACATTCGGGGTCCAGCGCGACGGCGAGCACAGGCGACGGCAGCTTCGTCTCGAACACGTTCGAGCGCAGATGGGAAATATTGTCCGAAATTACCTGAAGCATCGACACTTTTACACCGCGACGACGTCAACCACGCACGCGAAAAGGAGCGCTGCGGCCAATCAAGGGGACGTGAGGACTGCGAAAGAGCGTGTGGAGAGCGATACACCTGGTTCGCGGGCCAATTATTGTATGTATGGCACCTGTTTCTGAGATTGTTGTCTGGAGGGAGGGAGGACCACGGCTGTCCTCGAAGCACTGCGACCGTCCGACGCTGTCCAACCAGGCCTTCTCGCGGCCCAGCATGTCTCTATTCATCAGGTGTTCGCAGCGAGCAACGGCAGCAACTCTGGTGCTTGGGTCCGGGTCCTCTGCATTGCAGTGCAGTGCAGACGGTGCCGTGCAGCCAGGCGCATCGCTGCTGAATGGCTGCTCTGCGCGCGAGCTGCGAAGCTGTCCCAATCCGCACCGTATGCGGTTTGTGGTGGGAAAGATCAGCTACCACCTACCGCGTTGGCTCGTTTGTGTCTGGAAGGCACGCGCATTTGGCGGCTGTCCTTTCTTTCGAGGCTCTGCTCTGTCGGTGGTCGAAGGCGAGTGTCTCCCACGCGCATCGCAGCCCGAGATCGAGTCGTCGTCTCACTCGATGTGTCCCACTCACAACGGGTCTTGGACGGTGCTCGCTCACAACCGCGATCGCAACCGCCGGGCGTCCCCCGCCAGCTCCCCAGCTCACGTCCTCGTCGCTCCCACGATGAGGCTGCTCAGAGCCTGCCAGAGCCTGCCCAGCAGCTCAGGACCTGAGGTCGGTTGCGTCTGCTCCTGCTCCGATGGCGGGTCATCGCGGGCGGAAGAATTGCCTGTGCCTCTCACACTCCCCTCCCCAATTCCCCCTCTATCTCCGCCGCCCAGCTCGTGCTGCCCCTCCTCGAGGAGCCTTTCCCTGTCGCCGCTGGTGCTGGTCTGGTGCTGGCGCTGGCTCGTCCCTCAATTCTCAGGGCCTGAATCTCGGAGACCTAACTAAACTTTAGCAGGGGCGCAACACTTAAAATTCCCTAAGATCGACTGTCTAGCGGCCCCTGGTCGTCTGGCGACTGCACGGCCGTCATCCCTGGACGCTTGGCTGGCGACCCCAGCACCGCCCGTGCAAGTCTCACCCTAGAGCGTAGAGCCCATCTACCTGGCCCCGGCGAAATCGAGGAAGGACGGTTGACTCCAGCATACGTACCCTGCACACTCGGCTCCCTGCCATACCGCTAGCTCGCTCCTTACTCTAAAATCTCAAAGTCTTTCCAGTACCACCCGAACTCGAACTCCGTACATACTGGACATATATCCACATCGCAGTCGTCGAGGCAGGAGAAAAAAGGAAAAGAAGGAAAGAAGGACGAGCGTTGCCCGCCACCAAGACGCAGCTTAACAAGAACCCGAAAGTACGAGGTGATCCCTTGCATCTGACGTCTTCTTCTCGACTTCGATATCAGCATTCCAACGCAGCGTCTCACATACCACGCGAGCCAGGAACAACTACATCACTCTTGTCACATAACATCCCGACGGATAGGTTAGCAGCACGAGTTCGGTTCTACACGCCTGGGAACCCGAAGTTTAGGTCGAGGAAGTCCTCTTCTCAATCATCACGCACGTATACCAGAACAGGAGCTGCCCGCTTAGCTAGACGCCATCCACCTGGTCGACAGCCGACTACTACAACAATACGGAAGTACATCGACGACTTACGGCTCTCTTGTTCTCTGTTCGCACAGGTTGCAGTATCTTACGATAACTTGCTGTGCCACAGACCCTTGAAATTGCTCTTCAACACCAACAAACCTTGAAGCTGTTCATCGGTGGACCTGGCTCGGCTGGCCAACAAACACATCATCACTTCCAAGTTCCTTCCACTTCCAGTCTACACCTACATTGAGGGCTTACTCATCTCCGGGTCTTTTCGTCTCTCCTTACTCAAAATCCCTATCGCAGGCGACTTTCAACCACTGCGTGCTGGTACCGACCACCTCGCCCCTCTAATTCCCCTTAGAACCTGGACGGTTTATCTTCCGTGGTGCGTTCTCCGTAGCGCAAAGGCCACCGGCGCACATCTATTCGAAGCTTTCGTCCCATCTTCAGCAGCTTCTTTGCCAACCCGAAGCGTCGACATCACTCGATAACCTTGTCTTCGACATCTCAACTTGCGTGCCCTGCCCAACTGGGGTTTTGAGTAATTGCGCTCCAACATCCCAGGCCTCCCACGCGAATTGCACCACACGCTGTCGACCGAAGCACCCTGATCCATGTACTGCTGCAGACGCCAACGCCTACGCCTACCGAGACCTTGTTCGCTACCATCACGAACCACTGAGGTTCCCCATCTGGCTTAACCTGGTTGTGGTTTTCCGACCCATACCACACTTTAAACACCCCTCTACTTTTTCCTGACCGTGCCTTGCCAGTCCCAAGATCAAAATTCCAGATCCAGAAGCGCGTCTGTTGACCTCTCTCCCCACCTGAAAGTATTCTTTCTTAACTTCAGCGAGACATCTCACCAAAACTTCAATCCTTTAGCTCTTTCTCTGGAAAGGCTATTGTGGTGAACCTGCTCCGCGTAACCTTCCTTTGCAGAAACGGTGGATCTCTACTCTCCTTAAGCTTCGAAGACCCAATTTTGCTACATCAGCATCGTCAAAATAACCCATCACACACGTTGCATCTCCGACAAGCTCCTTTCATCTGCCAACCCAGGCACACGTTCGCACCTCACGAATATCTCGTAGCTGCAGTATTACCTGCGGTACATCGCCCGTCCGAGTATTGTCTCAGACGCAGTGGGACAAGGCCGTTCAACCATCTGAGAAGAGGTTCTGGGAAAGGCGAGGACCAGTGGTTGACAAGTAGGAACACACGAGTAGACGCCCGAGTTTCCTCGATCGCACTCGCGAAATATCCTTTGGGTGGACCTCGAATTTCAGACATCTTTCGACTGTTTTTCCCCTTCGCCCTGACATACTAAGCAAAATCAAAGATCGGGCTCGGTCATCTTATTTCCAACGCCACCACGTACGCCTGGTACCTCTATACAGCAAGTGTACAGTGTGGTATGCAGGAGCTTTGTACATGAGCACCCTGAGCAAGATAACCAGACCTCTCCAGATATTTGGACATTGTCCAAGTGAGCTCAAGCTCGTTGAATAAAAGCAACACCGATCGATCGGTCATTTCCATGCAATCCTTAACACCATACCACCAAAACTCGTACATATCGCTCGGCCAACGTCGAGGCAAATCAGATCTGGCGCACTTTTCTCTAGACCTGAGTTGGGCCAGAGCGGTGTCCGACAGTGCTCGATCAAGGGCATACCCCTCTCCGCCCATGTCAGGTTCTCCGCCAATTCCACCCAGACAAAATCCGGATTCTAGCAATCGCGGTCATGTTGCTTATGGGTCAAGCGGGCAGGAAGCATATGCAGGTATTCACACACCTCTACCAGATCAGACGGACCCTCGAAGACCCCAATTAGGCGTATACCAATCCGAATTACCTCCGCCTCCATCGTATCCTCCTCCACGTATGGAAGCAAACCCTCCACTATCAATGCAATACCATCAGCAGCAACGTCCACCGCTACCTTCGCAACAAATGTTTCATCAACAGCCACATCAATTTCAACAGCCGCATGTGCATGCTTCAACTTCATTTGCGCCACCTGAAAGACCGCCAACATCGGAGAGCTCCGAGTTCTCTTCACCCAAAGCACAAAGGAAACAAAGGCCATGTCGCTTCGGCTTGTGTGCCTTGTAAAAGAGCGCATTTAAGGCAAGTTCCCCATCCAATTGGTCTACACGAGTCGAAGCTAACCGTAGGCAGATGTGATGGTACGTTTATTTCAAAATCAATCCTTTGCGCGAGCAACATATCATTCATCCCAAAAACCGTAACTAGTGTGTTCTTGGATTCAGTTTGTGCGTAGCTTCAGCTGGTGTTGGTAGTCGAGCTTTTAGGCCTCAAATGCTTCAAGTCACACAGCATTTAGACAACCAGGTAACAAGTGAACAATGGTTTGTTTGTTACCCCGCTCAAGTGAGTGCCAGTAGCCCTCTGCTGGCAAAGGTTTACCATCAGGCTGATTGTCGCATCTGAGCAAAATCTCAAATCTGATTACGCGCTTTATTCTGGTGTATTCCGTAATGCGATACAAGCACATGTATCGTAGCGATGGGGTCCACAATTTTGCGACTAATGTTGTCGGATCGGTTGGCGGATTAAAACCAGTGCCGAGACGGAGAAAGCCCGCCAGCAGCAAATTTCGGAACTTCATCCGCAATGTCGATTTAGCCAATTCCAGGCCAACAATACATCGAGCGGAAAATTCCCTCACATGTCGGAGACTACTCTTGAACACTATCTGATGAGCTAGATGTTCGGGTATCTGGGGTTTTCTGAACACTAGAGTCTTGATTGAAATTCCGGCAGATGACATGTCGGATTTTTGTTTTCTCATGGGTCTGCTTGGAAGTCTTCGAGGCACTCGTAGCTCAGGAATTGTTTCTCGTACACCCAAGTTTCTGTCGTCTTCGCTTTTTAAATTGGCTCGAGTCTCCGATTCTTGTGGCGACGAGTTCGACTTTCATTATCAGAAAGCAATCACTCAACGCTCCAGAACAATCTTTTCTCTGTATATGGTGCTCTTAAATTGAAAAACGCTGACGATTTTATTTTAGCCCAACGACCATGTTCAAGATGTTTGGCGAACAACAAGGAGGATACGTGTGTAGACGTGCAACACAAAAAACGAGGACGACCTCGTTTACGAGACGAGAGAGAACAACGATATGAATCCATGGCGTCGGCGGGAGCTGGATATCCACAAACAGGCGAAGGTCCCATGAGACGGCCTCTTTCTATGTATGGCTCAAGTGCCGCGTCGATGAATCCAGAATACGGCGATTCGCTTCACAGATCAGGATCTTATCGGGTATTAAAATCTCAAGCTGGACCAGCCGGACCCAGATATCTAGAGCATGCCTCAGCATCAGACGCAAATATCTCCAGTGGCGGTAGCTTTATGATGCCTGCCCCTCGGATGCCGCCACAGGAACCCCTTTGTGCATACCTGACCACAAAAATGCAGGTAGCGAAGGCTACCCGAAGTTTTGAAGATTTGATCGGCATCCCACAAGGGATAGTGTCGCGGAACCTTCAGGACCTATTAGGACCGAATGACCGCGAAAAGATTGCGCGGTTGCAGAGAACGCTAGAAGAGGAGCGTCGGCAAAAAGAACCGCATGTTCTACCACCAATAGTTGTGAACTCGGAGGAACAAAATGTGATTCAGTCCGTAGGATTCGGTATAGAAGAGGTTGGAAAGTGGAGACTAAATCACCACGAAACCTTCACCCTCCAAGGACTGCAGGGACAACAACAGACATTCCAGGCTCGTTTGGGTCTAGCGAAGAGAGACACCACGTATTTCATCGTGCTGATATTGTATATCCCAACGCCAGCGCCGCAGCCCTTTCAGCAGCCTCCGATTTCACCATATACTCGTGACCAATATGTTAGGGGTCCTCAGTTCGAATACCAGGCACCACAGCCATATCCCCCCAGTCATGCGCCACAGGCGTATATGGCAAATCCAGGATATCCAGATCCTCAGAGAGAGCAAATGGGATACAGAGCACACCAGCCCCTCGCTCCTCACATGCAGCAAACAGCGAGTATGCCTCCTTATTCCCAAGCACCGACGAGGCCAGATTATGGCCAGACACAAAATCCGTACCAGACTCAGACTCCCAGGAGTGAGCTACCTCCAAGTCAACCGCAGCGCCAGCACGATCTTCAGCTCCCACCAATCCGTGACCCTCGATCTGAAGCATCTTCGGCTGGTGCCGGACGTGGAAGAGACGACCGCGCAAACCGAGTCGATATTGGTGGTCTTCTCCAGAACCCGCGAACAACTCGTGGCTAGTGTAGCTAGATGGACGCTAAAACGATTCGGTACCAGTGACGGTGGGCTCTAGTACGATCTTGTAGACGTGCGAGTACGATTACAGTCCGGACTATAAGCGACCAAAGTCAACAATTTTCATGTTGCTCCACCGATGTCGACATGTTGTTCCTGCTTCAGGCTGAGCACGGTTTGAACCGTATCTTCTCAGGAGCCAAAGAAAGCTCCATACCTCCTCCTCTTCAACACCTTCGCTTCTTGTACAATATATTGCCGGAGTTCAGACCCCGTTTCATATCCATCAAGATACCATCCTGTATACTATCATCCGTTCTTTCTATCATTTTCGGGGGCCTTTCATCTCTATTTCCTCTTGTTCAACATAGCGATCGTTTCTCGCGTGCTTTTCCTGTAATTTTCCCGTCGTTTGTCGCGAACGGAGTGGTTGTACGATACATGCATGCATATGGGGAGATGAGGTCGATAGTATCAGCAGCGCGGAGGCGCAACGAAGAGGACGGCTCGGAACTGTTGTTAATGAAAATATTACAGACGCCGATGGAATCCTAGAATGTGTTTTTGATGCTGTGATTTTCCTTGAGATGTCGTCGCTCGCGCTAACCTTCGACCTTCAACTCGGGGTTCCGACCACAAGATACGTAGCCCCTCTTTGATCTCCAGACCAACTCTTGAAGTACCTCGTGTCCGGACGGGAATAGAATACTTCAGTAGTGCAGATTCGTGTATTGATATAGTCGCAACTCGGGGTTGTCGAACAGAAAAGACGCAGCAGACGGCACTCTTCAGGCTGATGCCGCGATGGATGAAAAGGAAGACGAACCGTCAGGATCTGGAGAAAGGAACATTGGCTCGCTCAGGCACAGGCACAGGCACAGGCACAGGCACGACAGGCACAGACAGTAGGCGACCGGTCACGCTGCAAGCAAGCGCGCGTGTGGGACCGTTAGAGGGCTTGTGCGTCAAAAGTTTAGTAAACAAACGAAACAAAAAATAACGGACGGTGGGCTGCCGAGCCAGGGTTTCCGCAAAATAACTTTGTGTTGATATATCAGAAATGAGTTATTGTTATTAGAGAGAGGTGTTATGTATAGATAGGTGGTGTTATATTGATGGGGGTATGGGTGCCGGTGAGAGATTTCGCGTAGGTGGGTATGCAGATGCGAGCTGCGAGGTTGGGAGAATCTTCCGAGAGGGTGAAATTCTCCGACAGATCACGTGGTAAGGGTGCTTAGGTAAGTTATTCTCCGAGACGGTTTGAATATCCTTGTCGCTGCGGGAGTAGAGGCAGCGTCACGTGCGGGGCGTGGGATATTAAGGTTAAGCGAACCCCTCTTCTGTTTGCAGAGGGAGCGTCTTGGGAAGTGAGGGGAAGAGGGGACGGTTTATCCTGATTGTGTAGGGGGGATTCGATGGGGTTCTTTTTGTGTCTTTTGGTTTTGTATATATTTGTTGTTGAGGACGAGATTTTGTGAGTTTCGAGATTGAGTTTTGATTGAAGTTGCGGAACGGATTGTATCATTACTTAAACTAGGAGGACTGACAAGAAGAAAGAGAGCTTATCTGGATATATATATCCACATATACATCACCAACATCAACACTCACCTCAAACCCATCCAAAATGGCAACATCAACCCCAACCTCCCACCCTCTCTCCGAGAAAACATCTCACCTCGAAGCCCAAACCCCCGTCGCCCCAGCAGAAGCAAAAGCAGCCCAGATCCCCCTCAAAGAATTCACCATCCCGACGTTCCCCCCCGAGGCCTTCACAGCCGGCCTCACAACCCTGATCCTAACCAGCGACATCAAGATGAACGAGTACCAACAACTCCTCGCCCTCCCGCACTCCGTGCCCAAACTCCCGGACTCCATCACGAATCTGACGCTCGAACTCTTCAGTCTTGGATACCCCCCGGGATTCTTGACGGATCTGGGGAACGCCTTGCCGGGGATCAAGAATCTGACAATCTACAGCCAACTCTTCGCCGGCACGACGGCGGCGTCTAAGACGGACGCGTTGGCGTTTCTTCAAGGTTTGAAAGCGCTCAAGGAGATTCATTTCCTCGACGTCTTCACGCCGCCCGGCGTGCTAGCCGAGATCGGCGCCGCGCTGTCTTCAGAAACGGTGTTCACGGAGATCTCGTACACGTACCGCCATTCTGACCCTGAGTTTGCTAAGGGGCTGGCGGTGGGTGATATGAGCGCGTTTGTGAGGGATGGCGGGAAGGCGCTGAGATTGGCGATGCAGGCGCCGGATGTGAGTGCGGCGGATGAGGAGGATCGGGAGGGGACTGAGGTTGGGATTTTCCCGGTGCAGAATGCGGGGGCGATGGGGGGCGTGGTGGATAGACTTGTGGAGTGTGGAGGGGGGTTGGTGTTGTTGGATGTTACGGTTTTGGAGGTGGGTGTTAAGGATGTGTTGGTGCTTTTGGAGGCTTGTCCGAAATTGAAGGTGTTGGCGCTTTCGGTTAGTCTGGAGAAGGGGTGGGAGGAGGTGATGAACGAGGTTAAGGGTCGACTGGGGGCCGTGGAGAGTTTGGAGCTGGTGGGTGTGCCGTCTAGTGAGGCGGTCGAGACGCTGAAGTCCCAGGATGAGTTTTTGAGTGCCGGTGTGCTGGGCGAGTTGGGTGGTGAGGTGAAGGCTGTTACCGTTAGTGTGTTGCGAACCAGATCTGAGAGTTGGAGTCTGGAATCGGGGAAGTGGACTAAGGTGTAGAGGTACGGAGTTCGGTTGGAGATCAATCAGATGTTTGCGTTTTTGATAGGAGATTAGACGTTGAAACAAGGGTTAGGAAACGGGAGAATTCGAATGTGCGATGGTACTGTGAGAAATGTGGCTTTGTTCGTCTTGGCATGGAGAATTGTATAGTCTATTCTAGTGTAACAACTGAGAATTTGTTAATTTCACCAGAAGAATTTGTATAGTCTATCCTAGCGACGATGGTATGAAGAATAAGACTCGGTTTCTCTGACAAGGAGAATTTGTATACCCTATTGCAGTGTGAAAAGATGAAGTCTCATTCCTATCTCACGCAGAATTTGTATAGTCAATCCTTAGCCATTACTCCCAAGCCTTACGTGATTCCTGGTGCATTTCATGGGCTCTTGGTATGCTTATTTTTTTCATTATTGCGGCAGTTGGGATCTTGTGGCGTTTAAGTGATGAAGCAAACAGTTTTGGTGTGGATAGTAATCGTGTTCACGACCTGTGTGGTGGGTTATTTCCATCTAACCTCAGCCTGGATCGTCTGGTTTGAATCCTTTAATGCGGTTATCATCGCTTGTTTCTCTTCAGCAGAGGCTTGAAAAGGTTAAGTTTTCTACTGGCTATCGCAGTCATTCTACTAGCCTGTCTGGTATATCTGATCTCGGTCGAGATATTTTCCGCCATGAAGCTCTTAATATGCATTTTTTCGTGTGATTTTGTTCAGTCTTTTGAGCGTTTCTTTCTTGCGACGCTTCAATGATTCAATTTTTGTGGTAACGATAACCATCGTTTCTATAGTCTGTATGGTGTTCTACATTTATTGGATCTTGGTCGAGACAGTTTGATTAGAACCCTTGGTAGAGTCCTTTCGCTTATTTCTTAACAGCTTTGCGGTAGTTGTGAACTTGTGGCGTTTGAGTGAGTCAAATGTTACTGGTGTCGATAACAACCCTCGATCGTATTCGTAGGTGGTTTGGTGTATACTCTCTAGCCTGAGCTTAGTCGCATGTACATAGCTTGGTGTGAAACTGTCCGCTAAAAGCTTCTAGCTTATGGTCAACTACCGGTCTTGTACACCAAGGGTCTTTAAACATAAGCCTCCTCATCATGTAAACCTACACGGTTACATGTGACTCGCTAACAGTCTTCTAGTTGCGTTACTCGTGCAATCTCGTTAGTGGATCTAAGTGTTGTGTCTACACGACCACGAAATGAGATCCACTTGATCCAAATTGTCAATCATAAGGACTTGTATGCAATACACTAAATGAAATGTTAACAAGTAGAGTTTGGCCAATTTTGTGGATCGAATAGCTAGGGAACTAACTTTGTAATCTCGCATACATGCACAAATGGTGATTTACAAATGGTGCAAGGATTCATTGTGTTGTTTTCAAATCCTGGTGTGATTCTTTTAGCACTTGCCCAGGCCACCATTCTTAAAAAGGTATAATTCGCGAGCGTCTACTTAGACAGATTGCCCTAGTTCTGGGTCCCCGGCTCGAAGATCCGCCGCCTTACGTATAAAAGTGGTAGACAGTCGTCACTATTCCAAAAATTTGTATTAGACTGCTGGGGATAGCTCGGTTATACCATGCCGCGCTAATCCGATCAGTGAACTCTGTCAATAAGGCTGGATCTTCAGGGTCCAAATTGGCCTTTCCGGTTATCAGGAAAAGAAAGTATAACGAGTTGTCAAGTGACAGACGAACCTTCCCAATAATAAAATTACTATGTCTGTTGCTTGTGTTCGCGGGAAGCTTAGATGCAGCCAAGCACATACACGGTATGGGAAAACACCTTGATGGTGATGTTAATTGCTTGAGACTCATCTAGCTTTCTCAAGTCTTTACGGCAGTTCTAATGTGTCAAGTGAACACGAGCATCGGATTATTCGGGTTGCAACCATGGTTCACAAACATCAAACAACACACCATGATGCATTGACATGGACAACAACCCGAATTTTTCCTTCGGATCACAACTTCTTCTTCGGGATTAGTTGTGCACAATTCCCTATTTTCCTTCCTTTGATCCTCCGTTTTCCCCGAACACGATCAGATTGTCCCTTAGCACAAGGCCTAGCAGCCGATGATGCCGCAGCGCTCAGCTGAGCGATGAACAAAAATATAGTTATGCAGGGACCTGTCACCTTGGCCGATCTTATGCTCAGGTCCGGCAACCATTTCAAGAGCTTTCTGGTTAGCAGACGTATGAAGGGTACGTAGATACTCGCTTAGCCACGAAAAAGACGGGGCTTTTCGAAATACACTAAGAGCAACATCTGGAAATACCCAAATCAGGTAAGACTGCGAGCTAATCTAGGGGGCCTGCCTCAAATGCCGTCGGCACCAACGTTTAGTCAACTTCGAGAAGACCCTAAGTCTTTGACATCATGTATCAGCAGACTTGTCTTGTCATCTTCACTTCACCAACGAGAAGACAGCGAGTACGACTCCACGTGGTCAAGCAAACTACCTTTTACACGAGACACGCGACTATAATACGCCGTTTTCTCGGCTTTGCGGCCGGTATAAGCCTCGCTTTCAAATCGAGACGTCTTCCCACGAACGATTTAAGCTGCATAAGGAAATGAGGTGCATTACCGAAGCAGACATCAAAGTTTAAGGAGAGTTTAAAGATGGGCGTCTATCGTCTCGGGATAACATCTGCTTGAAGTTAGCATGTCGAAACCTGGAAGATATAATGCATTTCATCCCGAGATCTCAAACCTTAGGAGATTTGAGATCTGAAAATTCCGAAATGGTACATGGATGGTTCAGGACTAACTGGTGATCACAATGACAGGTTGAGAATGGTTTCAAGTCTAGATCTGGTCACATTAAAAACACCTGAGAGATCAAAGTTCCACGTGACCCATTGCAATCTCTGGGACCTACGGGAACTAAGCCATCGATCGTGGGGCTGACTATTTGCACTCCCGAGATCTCGAGCGATATCTGCCGAGCGCTAGGAGCCGCGTATTTACATTTCCGTGAGTGGTCAGGTCAAGCCATGTCGGATGGGATTTGCCTCAAATCCCATCATTTGAGAAGCTGGTCGGGCAACTTGGCGAGGCCTGAAAGTCTGGCCTGTTGACTGATTCATGCTTACATTTATTTACGGCGATACGTCGGAAGTGCTGGTGGATCTAATGGTAATGTTCGGAACCAAACTTGGCTATCTATGAATATGGATTCTTGGATTTGTAATGGGGAAATGGTACCGGTATCTGGAAAATGTCGAATGGAATATTCAACAGGTGTTGTGGTGGCGATAATTTCAAATATAAGCAGTGGCTATTCTTAGTCATGGGATTTGTCACATCTTATGGAATTCCGCCTTGTTGACGATATCGACCGCTAAGAGACATCGTGTTCGCAGTCCCAGCACATATCGTGTTCGCAAATGAGCCAATTCGACTGAAGATTAAGCGAGATGGGATAGGGGAGTGGAAAAGGGGCATCGAGAGTGCCACCAAAGCAATTATTAATTTATGTGATTTCGTCCATTCAAATTACCCGTTGAATGAAAGTGTATATAATCGCTCTCTTACATTGATAGAAACCACAGAATCATGTCGTAACTACCTGTACAGAGTCACACATCCAAAAGGAAGAAATGTGGAAATTCTTATCCAACTACTAAAGAAGTCTCATATGTGGTTCACAACGTCATTGTATCCGCAATACTGCATACCACAAACAGAATTTTGCTGCATGCTTCCTGACCTACTCAATATCTTCAATACCTAATCTATCAAGTTTTCATTGTCGGAAGCCAAGCTTCTTGAGAAGTTGAGCGGACTTCACAAGAATCCTAACTTGAAAGAGCTTACAGTTCTATATTCTTCACTGAATACACTCTCACAGTATAGAATGGATAGAAGTGCTAGTATTATATATTGAACTCAAACAACTGCACATATTATCACACATTTCGTCTATTGTTTCAAGTAACAAGAAACCATAACTTCTTTCCGCCGAGTCTAACGAAGCTTAACCTGAGCAGGTTTACACTCGTAGCATAACTGCCCTTATAGTAAATAACACGAGTAAATCTAGTGCACTTTATGGAACTGGATTGTGCGAACATGTTGTCAAATGTTTAGGTCCTCGCTATGAGTAAATCGATTATTCTTTAAATTATTAATAGTATCGCCGATATTTTATTACAATCCAATTTACAAGTTCGAATTGAAGGTTAGTCTCCCCCAAGCTCTCTACGAGCTACTTCAGACTTCTACAAATTTACTTCAGCAGAATAACGAACTTGAATCCAAAGCTATACTCCAAACAGTCCTGTTTGACTTCCCAGCAGCTGAATATCGACTAAACTCACCTGGAAAAATGTAAACAACTATAATCCTTCGGAAATCTACACAAACTAATCACTCAATCACGACACTAACAACCAAAACCTCCCTTCTCCCCAACGAATCATACCAAATGCTCCCCTATTCACAACATCCCCTCCCACACATCCTCTCCACTCTCACCAACCACCCCCCTTTAGATCCCCATATACTCATCAAACACCCAACAAGCCCCCCTCCCCCTTTTTCCCTCAAATTTCGAAAACGAATTCAAACTCCAAAATCAAACCTCAAGATTCAGCCCCCATCCACCACCACTGGCACCACATACCATCTGCGGTCGCGCATAGACCACCCTCTGCACACACCACACCACCACAATTCTGCACAAAGGATTTCTGTTGCATGTCGGAGGGAGGGCTGGTCTGTGCTTCCTCTTTCTGCTGTTGCGACGTAGGGAGTTGATTGTGGTGGTAGACAGTGGAAGAGGATGAAGGACCGAGGTTGGAATAGCCAGAACTTCAGAGGACTGGTTGGGAGGACAAGGGTGGGGATGGAAATAAAATAAGAGAGAAGATTTCGAAGAGGGCGCGGAATAATAGGACCAGTGCTTGAGAGGGGGAATAGTCAAAGGCTCTCACTCACTCATGGAAGGATTTGCCATTTCGAAGAAGTTTCCATTAATAAGCTTATAAGCACTCACAAATTCCAATAAAACTATTTCTAATTTATCTTCTCACCATCCATTCAAAACCTCTAAACCTCCAGTCCTCTTCACCAATCCACCAAAAGCACACAGAAACCCACACCCTCAGCAGCCTCAAATATTCAACTCGGGTATCATATAAATAATTCAGCCCCATCCGGCCTAGTAAAATCCTATCCTATCAATTACAACACAACACACCTTAGACCAGAAAACCAAGTACTCATACAAGAAAAATATCGGAATCTAGTAATAGCAGACGAAAGAAAAAGTCAGCTGAAAAGCTGTCGTATGAGAAACCGCCCTTATTTCTCAGGAGTCTCCGGAACCTCCCACATATCCACATCCTTCCCTTCAACCTCCTCCACACGTTCCTCTTTCGTTTCCGGTACCGGCATCGGGACATTAGGATTAGGGGCGAATTGAATCCTCGACGTACTCGTGAAAACCGGTAGATCAGCTCGTTTCATAGGGGAAGGCGTGTTCGTATTTGGAGGCAGGAAATGGATAGCTTGATTTCTTGGTATAGCATCAGGAGTTGGTCCCTCGGGTTGGTAGGGGATGAAAATGTTCGTTCCTTGATCGGGAGTTGTTACTGAGGAGGTTGGTAGAGATGTGGATGGTGAGGTAAGAGAGGGGATGCTTGATAGCTGACCGGCAGGCGAGCTAGCGGGGAGGGGGATATCGGATGGTTGAGGGACGTGTATTGGGAAGTGTGGTCGTAGAGAAGCGAGAGGCGTCGAAGGGAGTTTCGGAGATGGTTCTGGGATGGAGTTGAGATCTGGAAGCGTCTCTTGGTCTTCGTGCTTGATTACTGGCGTCGAGACTGCAGGGGCTTGAGGTTGAGCTGACTGAGCTGACTGAGCCGCTTGAGCTGGAATTTCAATTGATTGGGGTTTAGAAGCTTTGGCGGGAGCCCGTTTTGTAGTTTTGGGTGCTCGTTTGACCAGTTCCTTTGGCTCTTTCACAGCCTTTCCTTCCTTTGCCTCCCGCTGAGCCTTTGTGGTCAGACTGATCTTAACCTTTTGCATTCCAGACGTCAAGCTATCCATTGCAGAGGGCTGAGCTGCGGAGTGTGCAGTCACACCGTTACCATGAGATTTAGGAGCCGCTGGGTCACTCTCATCCTGCTCAATAGACGAAGCAAGACCATTAAGAGGCGATGTGCGGCGAATTCGCGACGATTTAGCTGGTTCAGCTCGGGGTTGGGCAGGAGCTCTTGTCTTCTTAACTACAACTGGCGGAATCGAATGGCCTCGAGAGCTCATTGACGACTCGGGTCTGATACTTTGTGAAGTATCAGGTCGAGGATATACCGAGGGTACTCCATTTGACGGAGCTCTAGGTATTCTCGAGGAGGTATCCGATGTCATAGAACCATTTGATACTAAGCTCAATCTTCGTGCTGACTGACTTGTCGGCCTTGAATAACTTGGTAGAGGTGGAACAATAGGTGTGATGTTTCTGGAAGCAGCCTATACAAGATTAGTTTCCAATTAGGACATTGGAGTGTAAATAAACTTACCTTTTCAGTTGCCAAGGTTGTTCCACCCGCAACAGTCCTCCGGCGGCTTGTCTTGGGTTTCTTCACCTCTTCATCCTCCTCTATAATAGCCTTCCCTGGCTTCCTGGTGCGAAGAGACATTCTTGCATTGGCTGGAACTGGCGGCGCTTCAACTACAGGAGCTTCACTAGATCCTACCAAAATAGACTGTCGATCCCTTCGAGCGCGGGTTGCCTCAGCAGACAGGTCTTCTGGCTTACAACTACCAACCTGCCTATCCGATGGAATAAGAATCTTGCTCAGTTCGTGCGCAGCAACCGTCCAGTGAACTTCTGGCGGAGGTGGACTTGGTGGCCTTGCGTATGCTCGGGGAGAGCCAACAGACATACTGGATACACTCCTACGAGCGCTAGGAGATACGACCTTGGCTATGAATGACTGGGTTGGAGTTGAATATGTTGGAGCCGGTCCTTCACGAGGTGCTCGTTCCTCGGGTGCTGGTGCTCCATTGACTGTCAGATCCAGCTGTTCAAGTCGAGGTAGCGACCACCAGAGAGGATCGTATTCTGGAACTTGAGATATAAAAGGTTTCCCACGTTCATTGTCAACCCCATTGAAGACACCAATCTTCTGCCCCATTTCATAGCCAAGCCCGCCAACTTCAGGCTCCTTTTTGACAAGCATTGGTGCGCCACCTGCTAAACCACTGACATGGCTGAGGACACCACTGTACAAAGCTCTATCGCTGTAGCCACCTTCGAGAACACTGATTACCCTGCCGTCAACTGATGTCCCTTCTTCAGCCGCAATTTTAACTACATCCCGAGTGAGACGGGCATAGAACTCTGTAGGCACATTAACTTTGTGACGTTGCATACCAGAACTCTCCCACTCGCTAGCATCAAAACCAGCCGAGAGAAATATAGCACCCTTTGGTTTTGGCCCATTATGGTTTGCCTGGAAACGCTCAGTCTGAGCTCGCAAATAATTCCTGGTCTTTTCCAAAAGGATTGAGTACTTGGTTTCATACAATTCCCAGAACTCCGCCTCGCTCTTCCATGGTTGAAGGTGTACGTTCCAGATACTCTGACTGTGAGCATTCTCTATGCAAAGACTAGCATTCTTAATCTTCTCCTCATCTCCGTACTCACAAGGATATGAATTAATATCATGAAGACTAAAATATCCAATTGATGTCTTCTTCCAAGGCGCCGCATTCTTGGCCGCGGTATTAGCTCGAGCGTTGTGCTCCCACGCAATCGCTTGCGAGCCATCTCCATGATGAAGATCGAAATCGATAATCGCAGCGTGCGTTAGACCATGAGCGAGCGTTGCGTGTGAAATTCCAACATGAACATTATTCAGCCAACAAAACCCAGAAGGGTAGCTTGCCGAACAGTGATGTCCCGGAGGCCTGATAGTAACAAACGCACGATGCGGTCCCCTTCCACTTGCCGATCCTTCGAATATGGCGTCTACACCCTCACATACAGCACCTAGTGCTCCTTCCATAGCATCCAAAGACTCAGCGCATAGGTAAAGATCTCCCTCGTGGAACTTTTGCGGCGCTTCTTCTCCTGCCCCACGGGCCATATCAGGTCGAGCCAGTTCCTTCCCATTCATGGCCAGTCTGCCCTCCGCAGCATCACACATGATCTTTAACTCCTCCATCCATTTTACCCCATGAACATTTGTGACCGCAGGAGAGTTAAGTGGTAGCTTGCGTGACGTTTTACGAATTCGAAAAGGGCCACTGGGAATCGAGGAGGGGTCCTGAGAAGGGTGCAAAGGATAAGCTCCTTCTGAATGTTGTTCTCCAAGCCGTACATATGCCACAGATAATCCAAGTACACTCGCCTGTATGCGCTCCGGTCTTTCTACAATCGTGAGGAGACTAGCCCGCGATGTTTTCGGTCTCGAGAAGCGATGTCCATAGCAAGAATCGTGTAGAATAGCAATTGTATCCGCATGTCTCGTAACATCCTCCCTCCTATGAAGTTCCATCTCCTTTTCAAAATGGTTATGCGCGATCGAGGCTGCTGTATGCCGCGGCGGCGCTGGAATTTCCTGTTCCATCTCGGCGAGGGGTGATCTACCGTTCTTGTATTGCGCCGATGAGGATCTAGAAGGTGATGCTCGTGAGGGAGAAGATCTGGGAGGAGTGACGCCGCTGACTCCGTGCAAAGAGTTCATAGAAGCCTTGCGCAGTAAACTTGGTGTTGAAGATCGCGCATCCAAGCTGCTCATGGCACTGGGGCTGCGTGGATTAGGACTTCGAGAGGGTATTCTCCCATTTGGCGACGGGCTGTAATTTCGCGGACCTAAATTCCTGGGAGACGACGGTTGAGGAGAGCTAGGCGAGGCAATAGATTCGGAAGTGTTGATTGTGGAAAAGCGCTTCAGTGTGTTCTGGAAGTTTGTCGGTTCTTTGTTGATTGTTGACGATGTTTTTGGGGAGCCATTGGACGCCATCATGACGACCAGTAGAACGTTCACTAGCCAACGAGCAACGTTTTAGCAAAGAGCGTCCAATTCCCATATACAACAAAGTAGATGATAACTGTCAACTGCTGGCCTTGAGACAATGATGCTATCCCTTAGCTTCTTTGGTCCCACGTCTTGGACTGTGCGGATACGCGATGGTTTTATTGAACGCGACCCTTGAATCCCTGCACTTTCAGCCTTACTCACTCATCTATTGATTCGCAAATGGGGCATAAGTAGTTTATGTGGGATTTAGGAGATAACTTTTGGAGTATTAGAAACATTCTTCGTTATATAATTTCACTGAGGAATTGCTTTGCGGGAATAACCTCCTATTCCCCTACTTATTACGACAATCAGTGAGTGGATATGAGTAGCATCAGGGCATAACGCCAGCACATAACGCCTTTGCCATCTGAATATTCTCCAGTTCTTTATCATTAATCTTTACCACAATGGGTCCATTCCGCTCTAGCAAAAACAGAACTCCGAACTCCATAGTACAAATCTTGGTATCCATCCAACCACACTCCGCCCGCTCCCTGTCATCCCAAACATATCATATATAAATCCATTTCCTAACTCATAAACATTTCAATACTCCTCGACCGCACAATTAGGATGTAACACATAAACAGTAGCTTCTCCAGCTGCAGAGCTACCCTCGCCATCCTCACCAACGAGACCCTGGCCTCTGATTTCCATGAGAATATTTTCCTGTGATTTATTAGCAAATTGACATCACATGAGCAGTTGAAGAACATACCTTGACCATTCTCTTGATGATTTTCTTTGTCAGAGCCATTTCAGCATGATAAGCTTCTTCATCTTCAAGCTCACTCTCTTTCTGCTCCAAATACCATTCTATGAGTTTCGGACCATCAACACCCTCTCCATTTGACAACTCATCTTCGTTAACACGTTGAACAAGCAAGTTGACCACGCTGATGTACTTGTCGTAGGTAATCTTTGTCTTACGGCTCGCGCCGGTCCCTGTTGGGGCAGGAGTGCTAGTGGCGGCGCCGGCGCCTCCATCTGGTCCATCATCATCATCGTCGTTATCAGCATCGCCCATAGGAGAATCTCCATCAGGATCTGACCGCTGTCGAACGGCGCCATTGGGACCAATAACTTCATCATCCTCGTCAACGTCAACATCGTCCTTCTCAACAGATATAATGCTCTGCCTTAGTAAGTTGAATGCTTCAAGCACAAAAGCCGACGTAATCTCTTCGACGCAATTGGCTTTGGCGATTGCTTCCGACAGTCGAATAAGAGACTCAAGTTGACGGACAGTAATTCTGTAACTGTTTCGTCCAATGCCTCCCTGAGCATCATCGCTACGAAGTTCTTTATACTTAGCGATCAGTGTCTCCCTAGCTTCAGGTAGGAATTCAGGCTTGAAAGTTCTTGCAAATCTAATGTATCTTTGTAGCTGCTCGGTAGAGAATTCGGGCTGGACCGCTTCGTCACGAAGTTGGTGAATGCTAACGATGTGCTCAGCCAGGTGACGGTCAACCGTCTCATTGCACTCATCTAGAATGACGAAGAAAAGATCGAAACGAGACATAATGGGAGCGGACATGTTGATGTTGGCTCGGAGAGTTGTCTTTCGGTTGTAACGACCTCCTACCGGATTGGCTGCCGCTAAGATGGAGGTTCTGGCGTTTAACGTGGCTTGGATACCGGCCTTAGCAATAGAAATAGTCTGCTGTTCCATGGCTTCGTGGATAGCGACTTGATCGCTGATGTCCATCTTGTCGAATTCATCAATGGCGCAAATGCCGTTATCCGCCAACATAAGAGCACCTGCCTCGATGGTAAACTCCCCGGTTTCTTCATCCTTAACGACTGCAGCAGTAAGACCAGCCGCGGAAGAAGCCTTTCCAGAGGTATAAACCGCGCGTGGTAAGAAAGAGCAGATGTACTTCAGGAATTGCGATTTTGATGTAGATGGATCTCCCACAATGCAAATGTTGATGTCTCCTCTCAATGCCATGCCTTCAGGGGTGGTCTTGCTCAATCCACCCATGAGCTGCAGCAACAGCCCTTTCTTGACAATCTCGTGTCCATAAACCATAGGTGCCAGGGAGCCAACTAATCGAGAGTATATGTGAGGGCTGTGTACCATTTTTCGAAGTTCTTCGATTTCAGCTGGATTCATGGAGGCCAAAACTGCTTCCTGAGCATGATCCCCAGGTTCGTTAGGATCCACTGGCGCAAGTTGCTGTAAAGACGCCAAAATGTTCTCAGATTTTCCTTCCAGATGTTGATTTGCTGATGAACCTGTTGTTGAGGTGTCGGGGGTAACCATACATGCCAGAAACGCTAGTCTGTAGGTCAAGTCGCGAACACCCAATGCCTTCAAACCAGTAACACCATTGACATCTCCACTTCTGTTCTGAGTGTCTCGAATGGCTGTTGGTCGCACACCAGGTAATCCGAGCTGACTGACATCAGGCACAACGATCAGGGCACCCGTAAATATACATTTCTCTCCAGCTTTGGCTCGCTCCACGATCTCTCCTCGTAAGATGACATCTAATGTTCGAGGCATGCTTCCGGTAGGAATCTCCGATGAGTTTTCTTGCACTCGCACTTTCTGCCAATCGACGAAAGTACTCTGCCTTATGTCCAGTCTCCAAGCCAATCTATTGCTACATTCCTCGTTTGGACATTGTGTTGGTTCGGTATATCTGAACGTCTGCTCAATATTTGGAATAACACTTTTACATGATTCGCAGACGAAAGTTGCTAACGAAAGTTCCGGTCGGACTTCTGATGTTCGGGTGACTGTTCCTGAAATCGACAAAAGCTGGCCAATATTCGCTGTTCTTAAGTGACGAACGCGGCTGACAAGCGGGAGATTGTAAAAGGCCAATGTAAATAGTTTGTCGGTCTGCTGGTTCGTGGTTTTGTCGCCTTGAAAATCAGACTGACTTGCAGAGGCGGCATTACTTGCTCCTGAAGAAGTTTGATTACTTGACGCTGTGGGTTGTCGATGATCTCGGAAATATCTAGGTTCGTACTTGGCAATCATGTTATGAAGACCTCTTGTCAAGAATGGTAGGAATCGGTAGAACTCCTCCACAATACCCTCCGCTAAAGCGCCAGCGCGAAATTGTGATAAATGCCGGTAGTCAACATAGAGTGTCGAGAGCTGGTATGTTCTGAGTCCATGGATTTGGGCGATGTAGTATTTGTCAGTCGTTACAGCGCTAGAAGGAGGCGCTCCAGACGAAGAAGGCTCCTCAACGAATCTATCAAAGGTTAAAAAAGGGAGTCAAGCAGACCGAGGACCAAATTACGTTTCCAAGAACTCCTCAAAATTCTCCTGAATCATATAACCAATTCTATCTTCCACTCTGGGTACTGCGCGATCTTTCCTTCTTGGTCGCCCGGTACCTGTGGGAACCTGATCATCTGCGAATCCCTCATCGTCGCTGAGGGGTGCTACACTTTCGGAAGGGGGGCCTCTTGGGCGTGCTGAAGACCCTCGACCAGCTCGTGGTCTTGGTGTGCCGACAGAAGAAGGCCGTGGAGAATCCGCCGCATCAGACATCATTACACTCGCCATTTTGTAGGAAGAATTGTTGCGTCGTGGGTGTTGTGATGTTGATGTTGCTCTTGGATTCAGGAGGTACCGAAATTTGGCGGGCGGTAAAATATGGGGCGCGTTTTGGGACGCGACTTTCGTGTCAAAACGCGTTAAGTGATTTCGATAAATCATGTGACAACTAGGTATTTCGCAATTCATGTATTTTCAAAATATTTCAAGATGCAAGTTCTTTTACCTGATTCGGAATTGACTTTTATATACACTGTAACTCATAATTTTCGTGTCATAAGTGTATTTTCGAAAATACCTCGATTTGTTACCGCTACGTCATGACTATCACTTCTTCTACTACCAAATCTGACGAAACTGTAAGAGAAGACATCACAATATGTGAACCTGATACTCCTCTCCAAATATTGAGACCAAATGCATGACCCGTCTCTACAAAAGGTTAATTGACAATATCAAGTCTCGAAGCCCAGCTACCCTCCTCCAAATGACAACCCTCACCCGCCCACCCGCCTCAGAATACTACGCGTACCGTATTGCTCGTGGCGAACAAGGAGTCCTAACTTTCGAACCCTACAAATCCCATCTCCTCCCTCACTGGCGCTTCCGCACCGTCCCCATAGCACGCACCTCCTCTACCACCTTGTATGAGCACTTCTTATCCTTCTGCGAAGGAGATGATTTCGTGGGCATGGATATGGCGCGAAAGTTCATCCAGATGGGGATGACCAGGAGTAAAAGATATGCGAATTATAAAGGGGGAAAGAAGTATGATGGGGGAAAGGAGGGAGGCGTGCAGAGGGAGAAGAGTAAGGGTCATGAGGGGAGGGAGGAGAAGGAGGAGGCTAGTGAGTATTGTTGGGTGTGGTGAGGGGGTGGTTTGACTGACGTGAAATAGGTAGGATTTTTAAGGAGGTGTGGGAGAGGTGTAAAGCTCATGAGGGGTATCAGAGATTGAAAGAGCGGTTCTTGGTAGAGCAGAAGAGGTGGGAGAAGGCTCAGAAAGAGATTGGAAAGATTAAATCGGAGACTGAAGCGAAAGTCGAAGAGGAGGAGACGGCTCATGTGCCGAAGAAACGTAAGACTAGAAGTAGTATCAAAAAAGAAGAATTCAATTAAGAGGATATCATTGCTCAACACATTTGAACGCCTTGCCCATGCCATGTGATACCAAACGCCAGAAGCCTTCCAAGGCCAATCATTTAGCCTTTCCTCCTACACCAACGTCCAATTCTTCATCGTCGTGAGCGTGAATCTAGCTTCCGTATTAGTAAACCTCACTTCAAAACCTCAAAACCTAAGGTTAAACAAACCGTCTTCGCAAAATCAATCCACTCCTCCATCCCCCTAACATAAGGATCTGCCATCTCCTCGGGCAACGCCTCATGGCCCCAAACCATAAACTCATCAAACGTAGCCTCTTCGTCCACAACCTTCACCTCATTGAACTCCTCCTCGTCCTCTTCATCATGTTCTTTCGATTGTGGTTTCGGTAATATCTTGTCTGTCGTTGAAAGCACAACTCCGCGATATCCCTTAGGGATCTTCATTGCCTTTCCATGAAGCTTGCGGCCGCGAAAATATGCTATCGTTTTCCCATCTACATCAAATGTCAGAATCTTAACGTTGTATAGTGAGGAAGAAGACATACCTGCATCTTTCCTCGGCGACCAATACCGCTTCGATGTATTAACCGGTCCATTGTGATGGATTCGACATGGAAGTACATTAGGCGTGCACTCCCCCTTGTGGGATTTACTCTTTTGAATTGCGAGCATGATTTGAATGGTGTTGAATCAATCTGAAAATCTAAGAATTCTAAAGCCGTGAAGGAGACGCGCCGACCGACGCGTCGTGCCTCCTCGGCAATCGTCCCATGGATCGAGTCCCCGCGAATCATATCGCTGAAGACCCACATCGCGACGGGATCCTCAAGTGTTTCTCGACCGCGGGGTTGACGGCGATAGGATATCTATCTGTAAGATTTATATTTGGACAAGTATATAACTCGAGATACATACAGCTTTTGTAGCATCACGCTCTCATACAAACTTGGCGAAAAATTCAAGCTATCAATTGTTTAACCGCGAAACCCCAACATCTACACCGCTTCCAGTCTACACTACAGTCCGAATCCTTGATGCATTGTTGGTTGGTCGGCTTTATCCATAAATCAGTATGATGGATGATCTCCAGTTACAATTGATTCCGACCTCGAATCCAACCAACATCTGCCTAACTCGTAACCATTATCCAATACTGCAAGTCTTCGTAGCTCGTCGGAGCAGTCTGGAACAGGGTCCTCCGCCAACGTTGTCACTGCAGATTGTACAAGGTGTCGTCGGAACGTACAGACGCAGGGTCCCAACCCTTTAACCTTGTAGATTACATGTACGGGAAGCACAGTCACACCATTTAGAGGTCTGAACTGTATCCTTACGGTGAATATTAACTGCTCGGACAAGACTCTCGGGGCTTTCTATCGTTCTAGTGTAGGTAAGGACGAGCTAGAAGGGGAACTCGGAAGATCTGGAAAGTCCGATGGGTGGTAAGAATTGAGTCAGGCGAACTAGTGAGTGGGCATAATGTGAGTTGAGCTTTGTACTACTTATATAATTCGAATATAGGATTACTCAACTTGTATCTGGGAAATATGATAGATTGCTGCAAAAGAGTATCAAAGTCACAATTACACCAAAGAAGTATTTGCCAAGCAACTCTAATGTACATTGATAACGGCAACCGAGAAGTCATAGCAGCGAACATATAACAAGCAACTCGAACATCTCAACCCAGGAAGGATAGGACTCGAGACAAACAACAGCTTCCGCATTCGCTAAACAAGAGAACGAAATATCAGCTCTTCAAAATGCCCGAAACCCGTCACCAGAGCCGCCGCCCAGGTGCTGCAATTAAGCATCTTCGATGTGGAGCACGGACAAAGAACAGAGGCAGGCTGAAATGCACTAGTGGTGGGGTCCCGTATCAGAGCTTTCCATTGGCCAATGCTTCAGGAACTGCCCCCTCGCTTGACCTATTACAGTAAGGACCCCTTCTACTTCGTCATGGTACGGTTCCTGGACCGCCCAAATGTAGGTTGACTTCCATTTTACGGTGCACAGAGAGCCTTGTTGTTATCTTTTCTTTGCTGCCTTCGTCGACGTCGTCTTTCTCATTTTTATTCCTGTCAAGATCTCTGTATACTCGAGCCAGAACAAATAGCGAAAGAAAGACCCCGAAGCTTGAAACCATAGATGTGTTCGTAATTTGTGGATTTCCTTGTGTGTGCCTGAGATCGCGCGTACAACAATGTAAGATAAAATGCAGCTCAGAAATATATACGTACAAGCTAACCAACATGTAGTTACCTGCTCGATATTGCTGCGGAAACCCTTCAACAAGTCTGCAGACCGTCTGGTAATTGTTGAGTAGTTTCAGCACGGGAAGGTGATTTTGCGCCAAAGCACAAGTGCTCCCAAAGTAAAGTTAGAATGACTTCCTATATCACTGGGCCTTTGGCTCGTGGAGGTGACCTGATCAAAAGCACACTGGGAGGTGTGTCCTGGGGACCAGCGCTATCGGTGTCCAAGTCCGCGGTTACATCTCTATTTTCCCGCATCGAGAAGGGAACCCTGGTCATCAAGGACCGAACAACGGGGCAAACCAAAATTTATGGAAGAAAGGTGTCGAGAGATCATTCGAAATTGACAAATGGAGTAAAGGGCAATTCGAAAAAATCTGGGGGAGCTGGCACAGTGGAGGTAGTTGTGCATAAGGAAGCGTTTTGGGTACGACTGTTCTTGTTCGCAGATATGGGATTTGCCGAGTCATATATGTTGGGAGAATTCGAATGCGACGATTTGACAGGCTTTTTTCAGGTGGGATCTTCGCAATAGCGCACACGTCGAAAACTAACAAAAACAGCTCTTCATCCTCAACCGAAACCAATTGGCCAATGCGACGACACTCACATCATCTATTGCGAGTACGATCACTGGACTTGCCCGGAGTACGAATACCCTCTCGAATTCGTTGTTAAATGTTTCCGCGCATTATGATATTAGCAATGAGATGTTTGCTGCATTTTTGTCAGAAGACATGACATATTCGTGTCCAATCTGGAAAGCACCATCTAGTGCAGACGAGGAGGAAGAGAGTTTGGAAGCTGCGCAAATGACCAAATTACACCGATTTATCGACGGGGCTCATATCAAATCTACGGATCACGTACTGGAAATCGGAACCGGCTGGGGATCATTTGCTATAGAAGCAGTGAAGAAGACAGGATGTCGAGTTACATCACTGACACTGTCTATTGAGCAGAAAGATCTAGCGGAGAAGAGAATCTCAGCAGCAGGTTTCGACGACAAAATCGAGGTAAAGTTGATGGACTATCGAGCGCTGCCAATTCCTAGAGTGCCATTCGACAAAGTCGTTTCGATTGAAATGCTGGAAGCTGTTGGAAAAGAATACCTGGAAACATACTTTTCCTGCATACATCGACTTCTCAAAAAGGACGGTATCGCGGTTTTCCAATGCATTACCATGCCGGAAGGGAGATATGAGGCTTATGCGAAAGGAGAGGATTTCATTCGCAAATACATATTTCCAGGAGGGCATCTTCCTTCGATCACTCAACTGGTAGATAACATCACCAAGGGTTCTGAAGGAACTCTGGTTGTCGAACGCATTGAGAACATAGGTGGACACTATGCGAAGACGTTACGCTCGTGGAAGGAGAAATTCATGGTCAACTTCGAATCAAGGATCCGACCAGCTTTGATGATTGAGCACCCTGAGATGGGTGACAGAGAAGTTGAAGTGTTCGCGAAAAAGTGGGAGGTAAGCATATGTCCCAAAACCGTGCGTTGCAGAAAATTGCTGACTTTGATTTAACAGTATTATTTCTGCTATTGTGAGGCTGGTTTTGCTACCAAGACTTTGGGTGATGTAATTATCACCGTTGGCCGAGAGGGCGCTATGGAGTTGATGGAGGGTATTCCACTTTGAATTTTGCTGCCATTTCAGCGCTGGAGTCTAGAGGAAGTCGGGTATCTTTGCCATATCCGCATCATAGAACGGAGTTGTTCCTAACGGAGATGAGAGTTTAGACCATGTAGAAAGCTTGATCTAGTACACAGTTTACACTGCTCTTCTCCAATTGACTCTCGTGGTAAACATGTTGTTTACATAAACGTAGGGCAATTTCTGACAAATGAGCGTAGAGCCGTAAGGACCACTCGAGCCAGCCTCCATCAATGTTTGCCCTTTTTCTTTTTCTTCTTCGGATTCGATTTGCCGCCCCCACTGCCCTGGACCTTTACAGGAAAGCGCTGCGCGTGGTCGATGTCGAACGCAGACTTATGTCGTCTAAAAAGAAGCATCGCAGCACGAGCATCCTCAATACTAGAATGTTCCCCTCCCTGTATCTCAACCCCAAGAATCTCCTTCGCAAGCGTCTTCAACTTCGGATATTTCCCCGTGCTATACTGTTTGAACCCCGGAAACTTCGACGTATCCCTGATATCCCTCTTCGAATGTCCCAACATCAGCGCATCGAGGTCATTCTTCAACGCATGCCCAACAATCACTCTCCCCTTCAAGATCTTAGCCACCTCCTGCTGCACATCATCAAACTCCCTCGCCGTAGCCATATTCTTCGGCGACACCCCACTAACATGCGTCCGCCAATCCGTCACAAACTCTTTCGGCCGTACAAACGAATCGTACACCTGCGTCCCGTGGAAATTGACGATGCTGATTCTCGCGAGCACAGAACGATCCTGTTCTCCTCCCACACCAACCATTTCGCAATCTAACCCCACGTATTTCCCTATCTCCACGTCCTCGGATAGCCCCCCATTAACCTTATCCTCCCTCTTCGTCGGAACCGTGGTATTCTTGAAATCCTCGCCATAAGCATCCGCCAGGTCTCTTGCAGAGATATCGTTATCCTCAGCCCACAGCGCCAACGTCGCAGAAGGCGCAGCCTGCGCAGCTGCTTCTCCAGAACTAGATCCATTCCCCATCTTCCTCCTTTTCACACCCAACGCCTTCGTTGAGGCTGGTTCAAACAAGTCACCCAGCAACCTCCTCCGCTTCGCAATCGAATTCCGCGTTTGCTCAGTTGGCGCTTTCCGTTTCTTATCCGCCTTAACGCTATTCTCTTTCTTCAGTACACTCTGCAGTTTCTTCCAGTTACTCGATAATTCAGGCGCCATATCGTTGTTATGCTATCGCATGATGGTACTGCGTGCCAAAAAATCTCAGCTCCCCTCCAAAATTCACACCCCGGAATGATAATTTTAGCGGGGCAAACCTTCACCCCTGCGCGCCTAAAAACTTCTGCGAGACGAGGCTGAAATAGCCTCGCCCCTTCCATTCCGACCGTCGTATATCACGACCGACTCACAACAAATAATTGTTTTCATCAAAAATATCGTGGTTTTCATCATGACGACTGGCGTGCAGGCTCAGGATGCGACGGTGGGCTCGCCTGCGCCGAGATTAAAGGGGAAAGCGACTGTTGATACGCTCAGGTGAGTTTTGAGGTTTGGTGGGTGCGAGGGGATTGCGACTAACAAATTTGGGTGTAGTATTGGGTGTTTGGCTATGGTTATGAAAGTGAGTTTACATGCGCTTCACATATTTATTTGGCCTTTAAGACCACACCCCGAGTGATTTCTTGATCGACGCTCTTTCTTCACAACTTATTTGATTTTGTGAAAATATGTTAATAATTCATAGGATGGAAAACTTAGAAGAGCTGAGATTCTGAGTATCAAAGAGACCAAAAGTGGTCGACAGTTTTACTGTAATTTCGACAACTTCAACAAACGTCTAGATGAATGGGTCCCGGCTGCCCGAATAGACTTTTCTCAAGATGTTGAGTGGCCAAGTCCAGAAAAGCCGAAGGAAACGAAGAAAGCCGCTGCTCCTGTAGCCAAAAAGACAACGACTGGCAACAAGAAAGCTCAAAAGCGACCTGCTGCGACACGAGAGACTTCCATAATTTCGGAAGGCGAGACACCGCATCCATGGGCCGAATTTACGGAGTCTCAAAAGGCCACTCCTGACGCTGAAGGCGATGTTACCATGACATTGGACCTAGATGCCACGCCGGGTGCTGATGATGATGCTATGGATGTTGATGACGCTGCCGCCGACGCTGTTGCTGCCAAATCACAGCTTAATCGGGACTTCAACGATGAGGAAGAGAAGAAACGACTACGCCACGGTGGATCGATGACCCAGAACCAAGCCGAAATTTCGCGTATTAGGAACATCTCCAAAGTGCAGTTTGGTAGATACGACCTCTTTCCGTGGTACTTCTCACCATACCCTGAATGTTTCACACAGGAGGATCTGATGTACATTTGCGAGTTCTGTTTAAGCTATTATGGCGATTTAAAGTCATTCGGAAGACACCGCCAAAAGTGCACCTTGCTACATCCTCCAGGAAATGAGATATACCGCGACGATTATGTGTCTTTCTTCGAAATTGATGGCCGGAGGCAGCGAACTTGGTGCCGCAACCTCTGTCTCTTGTCAAAGATGTTCTTGGACCACAAGACGCTGTACTACGACGTCGATCCTTTCCTTTATTATGTCATGACAACTAGAGACAAAAAAGGCTGTCATCTTGTGGGTTATTTCTCGAAGGAAAAAGAAAGTGCAGAAGGTTACAACGTTGCTTGTATCTTGACGCTTCCGCAGTATCAACGCAAAGGTTATGGACGCTTGCTCATACAATTCTCTTACGAACTTTCCAAAATAGAAGGCAAGCTTGGATCACCAGAAAAGCCCCTATCTGATCTTGGTCTGCTTTCATATCGACAATACTGGACAGAAAATATGATTGAGATTCTATTGGAATACAACGAACGAGAGGAGAAATGCAGTATAGATGCTCTAGCTTCACAGCTTGCCATGACGTCTGGAGACGTTGAGAGTACACTTCAAGCACTAAAGATGCAGGTTTATTTGAAAGCTGAGCATAAAATTGTCATTCCGGCGCATTTGGAGGCTCGACATTTGGCGATGAAAGAGAAGCAAAAGACTAAGCCTAAGAGAGTGATTGAGCCAGGACGAATCAAATGGAGACCTCCAATCTTTCCTGCTAGCACTCGTACGTGGGCTTGGTAGGATTCCAGGTTACTTACAACCTTTGTTTACCGCGGTCGTTGTATTAGCTTCGGTTCATTCCTACAATATTCAAACAGGAACATCGAAGATCCCCAAAATGGTGGCGCAAATGGTTGGTCGTGAAATAATAGGGCACGGCGAGGTGGTCTGGTGGTTATGTATGGCTATGTCGGGAGGCTGTGCAAGGCTCTCAGCTCGAGGCTGGTGCTATCTTATTTGGTATCTATAGACTTGACCATTCCTCCAAGTTTTTCATCGAGGAAGATTGACGACGGCCCATCGATCACGCCCCCAGAATGGAAAATCCGGCCTTTGATACCTCTACGCCCACTCCTGAATACACATATCAACCACTCGACACGCCTCTTACAATAAGGCTGTTGCTGATATACCCCGCACCAGAAGACTCTCTACAACCTATACGTGCTTGTCTTACAGAAACCTCATTACACAATCCCGAGCCTTACAATGCTGTCTCATACTCGTGGGCCACCGAGGATGGGGATGACTCGCGGTCTCAACAAGTGATATGTAACGATGCATATATCAAAATCACTAAAAATTGCGAAGCTGCCCTTCGGCGGTTTCGACACCATCACGAAACGACAGTACTATGGGTGGATGCTATCTGCATTGACCAGTCGAATCTTGTGGAGAGGAGTCAGCAAGTTCTGCTGATGAAAGTAATATATTCGAAAGCGGAAGCGGTTCTCGTATGGCTCGGCGAGGCATCCAGTGACGGTTGTAACAATGACGACTCGAACATTGACACGGATCAATTCGGATCGCATACGGATGTGGCTATTGAATATATGAAAATGGTAGTAGGCTCACCGCCTCGCGATGAAAATTTCTCTGTATGTGAGGACGGGGTTACTCCAGTGGGCGATGATGTTACGCTTGTCTATGGATTTCCAGTCCTAAGTTTAACTGAATCTGAAGCCAATTATCTAAACAAAGGGTCGCCGATGTACCTCGGTCTTCATTCTTTTTTTTCCCGGCGTTGGTGGAGGCGTATTTGGGTTCTCCAAGAAGCATCTCTTAATTCTGAATGCCTTTTCTTTTGCGGGCAGATGGTAATAAATCGGAGTGAGGTTGATCATTCTCTCATGATATTCGCCGCGTGCCCGAGAGTCGATGTCCATAGATTCATCGGTATCCCATCTGCACATATTACTGTGAGAGTCAGATTACAAGAGAGCTCCGACCGGAGCATGTATCATCAGCCAAAGCTGCATACCTTATTGCAGGACACACGCCACCTTCGCAGCTCTGACCTACGAGACAAGGTTATTGCTTTAATGGGGCTTGTCCAGGAGGAAGAATGGCTGCTGCCTCCTCCAGACTATGGCAAGAGCGCTGCACTAATATTTGCAGAAGTTGTGGAGAACTTGGTCGACAATACCCACTCTCTTGATATTCTTCACGACTGCACCGGAATTTCGAACATTCATGGTCTCCCATCTTGGGCACCCGACTGGTCTGTCAAGACGTCAAAAATCATTAAACCAAAGCATTACAACGCTTCTAAGGGGTCAGCAGCCGAAAATGTCAGCTTTGAGGAGCATATTTACTTTAAAGTTCAAGGGAAATTATTCTCGGGCATCACTCACGTCGAAAACGGCGTCAAATATGCACCACATGTTAGCAGAAGAGCATACGAAGCAAACAGCATAACTGACTGGAGGAGCTTTTGTCGACTTGGACTGTCCTTGACGAGTTATCCCACAGGGGAATCTGCTTCCGAGGTCCTCTGGCGGACCATGTGCGCGAACGTCGTCAATGGAAAGTACCCAGCAGAAAATGACACTGTGTTTAGTTATCAATCGTGGTACAAGGCTCTTCTCCGTGGGGGGGATTTTGTTCGTGAGATGGTTGCAGAGGAAGTTTCTCCAGTATATTATGATCGTGTCCGAGCATTTACACGAGGAAGAACTTTATGCACTACGTCAAATGGATATCTGGCACTCGTACCGGCAGAAGCACTTACTGGAGATCGTATCGCTATATTTGCTGGTGGACGGGCACCGTTTGTTTTAAGACCTTTTGGGAGTAAATTCAAATTGATAGGAGCTTGCTATGTTCACGGTATCATGGACGGGGAAGCGTTTTCTGAAGATGACTTGGAGTTGCAGAGTATCAAATTATGCTAGGTAGCAGTATTGAGTTGCAATTCAACCTTAGAAAAATCCACATCAAGCCTTAGCTAGAGCGTGAAGCGTATATAACTCAATAATATGAGGATAACGGAAGATCGATTTCAAAGTCGACCCTAGCCCGTAGAATTGTCCGTACAGTAAAATTACGACACATCACTTCTCGCTCATTAGCATACATCAACAAGCAGAATATATCTTGAAATATTCCAGGTCGCTAGTAATCGACTATATCTGGCAAGAAAGTCCACTCAACCCAAACCTAGACTCTACATTAGCGAAATCTTCAAAACACATCAAAAAAACTCACATCAGAACCCTTTCCACAAAACCTCTCCACCGTACTATTAACAACCTTCTCCGCAAACTCCCTCTCCTCCTTCATCTCCTCCATCTCCTCATAATCATACCCCTCCTCCTCATCAATACTCATCTCATAATCCACCAACTCCACACACAAACTCACGCCCCTCCCCTTCTTATCAGCCAACACAAAAAGATGCTCCCCCAATACATCCCAACTGTGCACATCCATCACCAAACACCCCGTGCGAATCACCAGCGTTAACTCCTTCAACCGCTCATACGTCTGCAATAACTTCCCTAATCGCACGATCTGCGCGTCTGGCGTCCCCTGGAAACAGAATTCAACGTCCATATCCACAGGCGTGAGGTTTAGTACAATCTTCCTCACATCCTGACACAGCGCCCGCGTCCTCAACAACGTACTATACACCGCCCACGCCTTCCTCTCCCGCCGACTCAACCGGTCATCAGTGTAAATCTTCACTTCCATATACGCCTGCGCAGAAATCACGGGCAGCGCTTCTAGAAACACCCGTTTACTGGTTAAGAGCAAAGGGAAGGAAGGGATGTTGGACCAGCGGATGAAGCCGGGGTGGTTGGAGGTGGGAGAGCGTGTTCCGTGGATGACGAAGTCCGGGATGTTGTATTCCGGGGGGTGAAGACGGGAGGTTATGAATGTCCATTTGTAGATTAGGTTGCGGATTTCGGGGGGGTAGGTGAAGAGGGGTGTTGTTGTTTGTGATGGAGATGAGGAGGAGGGTTGGGGTGGCGATGGGATGAGTGATGTTGTTTGGGAGGGGTGTTGAAGGGCCATTTTGCGTGAGAGATGTTGGTGTGATTTTGCTACGGCCTCGATACGAAGGCGTCGCCCAAACCCGTGAGTTGTTATGATGATTGTTTTTCTACGTCCGCGATGGCGGTTGAGGATGAGGTTGTAGGTTGTGAATCGCGTCTGCTGAGAGAAGTTCATGGCGCCGAGCTTTATCCGGGGGGACTAGGTGGAATGGGCGAGGACGAAGAAGTACATCGAAAGAGTTAGTTGTGTAAAATGAGAATATTAAAAAGTTGAGTGGGAAAAGAAAGGTTTGGTATGTCGCAAAAAATGTTGAGGTAAAAATGTTGGCGGTCGTGTGGTGAATTGAAACTGTCGAATCAATCTCACATTTACCTAAACGAATGCATGTTCATGTTAAACCACTCATTTTGAGGATTCATATTCAACATCATATGTTAAGTCATGGTATAAGTTGAGAGTAAAGTGAGGTTGAGTTATATTAAAATCCATTCAGTCCTTCTCATAACAACACTGGCTAAGAACATATTTTTATCGCTCGTTCAGTCAACCACTTTTCATTCTAAGGACCCCGAACTTCTCAAATACAGTAGATGAAACATGAGGCATCAACTCGTCTGGTTCTAATCTCACTATCATCTTATGATTGGCAAAATTTCTCCTACCTTGACATCTCCATATAAAAATCGTTTCGCTAAAGTATTGGTGACATGACCGAGGCGAAATTTATTCTTATCCTTACATTCTTATATGTCAACTCAATTCTCATATGAAAGTACGAGAAAAACCTAAGTTATGATTTTCATAGACTCTTCCTACAAAAGAAACTCAATTTATGGATTCAAGACCTTAGATCGACAAGGCTTGTAGAAACTCATTCTATCCACTTCACAGGACTACAATGAACGTGTAAACTTACGAGTTGTGTTTCCATATAAAGACAGCCGGAACTAGGATACTGTTCCCAGCCATAAGCATCATGCATGGGCCATTGTTGTCTGCTCTTGGTTATCGCGTTCATGACGCCATGGGTTTCTTCACTTCTTGAGCTGTCACAATGGAGAGTCTTGAGATTAAAGATAGTGAATATAGGAGAGTTTAGAAACCCTCGTCTGAGAGTGTTAATAGGTCGGAATTTGACAAGGAGAACCTTTTTAAGTTAAGTGACTTAGACATTGCCGTGCAAATTCAATATTCTGGCGTTTGTTTTTGAGCTCTTTTCATACCTCAACTTTCTAGCTTTTTTTTTAAAATGGATTTCACGACAATTTCCCCTCTCTTGCGTTCGAACAGCTAAGAACTACGTAGTCCAAAACTCGCAAGAAACATTTAATTCCGCTTCACATCGCCCCCTCTCAAACATTAACCCGCGCTTCCCCCCTCTCCACCCCCTCAAGATCAGTCCCCCTAATAACATCCTCCCACTCATCACAAACCCCCAAATACCTCGTATACTTCGCCCTAATCTTCCCCAAAACATCGCTCCCCAGCGGGAACCGCTCCGGGATCTCCCTCCCCTGCGCAACGCCCTCCTTCCTCACCACATCCACCATCACATCCACCGCCTTAACCGGATCCCCAGGTTGATTCTTATCCATCTGCGCCACGAACCCGCCTACGATCTGGTTCAGCTCCGCGTAATCCGGGATAGCGGCGTCAGGGTCGAGATTCACGCCTAGGTTCCCCGGATCCATGATCTTGGTGCGGAAGAATCCGAGTTGGAAGAGGATGGACGTGATGCCGAAGGAGGCGGTTTCGAGACGGAGACATTCGAAGACCCCTAATAAAATGTAAGTGATTTGTATTGTGTGGGAAGTGGAAGGGAGATTTACCTTCCAAAGCAAACTTCGAAGCGCAATAAGCACCCGCTCCAGGCTCCCCCTCCATACCCCCCCGAACTCCCCAAAAAAACCACCGTCCCCGTTTTCCTTTCCCGAAAATGCGGGAGGAGCGCACGCGTCACGTTGACGGTGCCGAATAAATTCGTATTCAACTGTTTCAATAACCGTTCATGTCTATGAACTCATCAGTCCTCATTCTCGCTTATTTTATCACTTTGCGAAATGAAACTCACCCTAACTCCTCCACCATACCCGCCTCAATATAGCCCGCTGCGTTTACGAGCACGTCGATGGAGCCGTAGATGGCGATTGCGTCGGCGATTTTGGCGTTGAGTTCGGCTTGGGGAAGCGTGACGTCGAGGTCTAGGATCGTGGCGCCTAGGGTTTTGAGGTGCGTTAGACGTGTAGATGCGGAGGAGCGTGATGTAGCGATTACACGATCGCCTCTGGCGAGTGCTGTGCGTGTGAAGAGTTCGCCGAAGCCGGAGGAGCAGCCTGTTATTAGCCAGGTTAGTTGAGGCATGGTGGTGGAGGTTGTGAGTAAATTTGAGAGGCTTTGAGATATTCGGAGGGAGATTTTGGGGTTGTACATGCGTATTTAAGTACCTTATTTTATAGAAATTTAACCCTGTTGTGTGAGGGGTTGACTTGTTGGAAGTGTCGGATATCGTCATGGGTTTTGTTTACCCGATGTTTGATATGAGATATGATTCGTAGAAATTTGCAACATAACGGTCTTGACTCTTTTGCCGTGTTATGACACTTTTAGAGTCTTCCGAGAATGCGTTCGTGAGAGGCACAGGTCGCATTGACGATTTCTATGATCTAGGCCGAGTTAGAACTCTAGCCTCGGTGATTTTGCATAAACAAGGAGGTTTTAAGGCTATAGCACTCCTACAGAATAGAAAGAAACAAAAAGGTACTTAATACACCTAGTTATCTAAGATATTTCTATCCCGACCCCCGACAAAGGCTTCAAACAAAACCAACAATTATATACAGTAAAAAAAAACTCGGCTATTAATACTACTTTGGCACGCGACTAGCCTACTCATTCCTCTTCGCCGCACGACATCCTCGCTACCCAAAGGCAGAGGAATTAACTCCACGAGCGTGATGACGACCACTTGTCGGTGCGCACCCTGTTGAAGGCTTGTGAAGAATCTCAGCCCTTGTCAGTCGGTACTGTGCCGCTATGCAGAACTATAGGAGCTTAGATTCTTGCTTGTATACGTATGTAGTGATTAGAATGGTGGTAATTTGAATGCTGGGAATTGCTAAAGCATACACGTATACAATTGACATAACTGGTCTTTCTATTCCTTCGAGCTTTTGGGGTTAAGTCATATGAACAGTTCTGAGTCCATGGCATGGTCTTTTTATTTTTTTAAAAAGTAATTAAGAAATAAGTCAATAGTGCCAGAGGTTGAAAACTTCATAAAGCAAGCATGTTCTTCCGTGCTTGACTTGAACTACCATTTTTCAAGTGTCTTTTCAACCGAATGACACGAAACAAACGTTGCTATGCGAAGTTTATATCTATCATAAACAAAATTGACCACATGGAATACATATTATCATATTCAATAACTGGAAGCGACTGCTCCAAAATCGCTACAAAATCATTACTCTTGAATCACTTCCTCGCCGCTCTCCTGGGGAGCGGCAGAAGAAAAGTAAGTTGCAGGTAGCGAGTTTCAAAAGAGTGAGTTGTGGCAAACCAGTATCATCGTGTGCTTCCAGTGATAGATAGGCATTACAGAGAGGAAGCCATCTTTGTGAACGCGTGAGAGGTCGGAGAAAAAACCTCCATTGGAGAGAGTGAGTAAAAGATGTCCAAGGCAGCGCGGGTAATGGGATGCTTGAAGAACTTTGTGAAGTACACATAGTATCTACATGTCACAACGTGTCCTAACACATGGAACTTATCGATACTATCGAGCGAAGCTTGGCTACTTGCTGATCCGAGACAAAGCAAATACACTTCCCACTTGGGAAGCAAAAGAAGTAACAAATAAAAGCCAGAGTATAGACAAAATTAGATCGACTCATTTACAATTAAATATACACACACCTTCACCTACAAGACCAACGTCGATAACATTAGAGTAACCTCACTAGTCGCCGCGCATTTCGGTATAGCTTTCACCATCCCCCTCAACCTCACAGCTGGTAACGTAAACAACTTATACTCTCTCCCCGACTCCGTGCACACATCTTCCAAAATCTTCTCTTCCATGACAAATGCTTGACGAAAGTCAACCCACATGCGTAACAGTTTCTCCGGATGAACCTTTGGCGTAACGAATTCCACCTCTTCATCGTAGCCAATATGCTCTCCCTCGTCGTCGAGGAGTACTAGAAGAACCTCTTCTAACTTTCGAAAGCTTCGTATCAGTGAGGCTTTATTGTAAGACTCCCATGGACGTTTGACGTTCAAGTCGACATGCTCGATTGCTACTTTCCAGACTTCGTCTAGTACGCCTTCGTTATCCATGACTAGTCTTTTAAAGTCGCGCAGAGTATCATCGTATCCCATTTCTCTATGCCGTGGTAGATATAAGGTGTCCTGGTATGGGTCGAAGTAGATTCTCGCTGGCTTTGATGTCGTACCGAAACATAATTTGTACGTCTTTAATGTCTCGTGGCGTGATTCTCGGCAGACGGCGAGTACGGCAGGAGGTTTAGATGAGGAGAGGCACTTGTCAGCCTCGAGATCGAATCGAACCGTGACTGTTCGAGCGGTGCATGCGAACCTCCAGATACTGAGTCGTAGTTCTGGAGCTAGTTTTGAAAAATGGTGAAAGGATGTTGGCAGTGAGGTATTTGATGAGTTCGAAGGATTGGGCATGTTGAAAGTTTCTCTGTTGAATTGATCGACAGGCATCTTGATCAAAGAATCCGAGTATTGGTACAGTGACGGGTTTGAAGCAATATTTTGGGGTTAAGGGTTCCAAAACTTCACTACGTCAAAGATATAGTAGGTGTGCTTTCAAAGCTATGAAATATTGCGAGGACTTTGTACATGTGCTTCTCAAAGACAAAGCGGCAAAATAAGCTGAACAGAAAAGCGAGTGTATTAAGTCAAAGCAAGCAAAAAAACGCAAACAAAACAGCACCTACAGAGAAGCCAGAGAGTGACAGATATATGCTGCTTACATTTACCAGGCCCCAAAGCAATATGAGCCTTTCATGTCGAGCCTCATGGATAGCCAAGGATCATGTCCTCGCTACAGGTGCGGGAAGCCACAGACTGGCCGTTCCTCCGTACTTCCATTCGACTAAAAGGTAAAGTCTCATGATTTGGACGATTTAATTAGTTTGGAATGCGATCCAGAAGGGGACTTCTTGAAAATTTGAGGTTGATCCTTGAGGAAAGGCGGGGCTTGCATCGTGAAGACAGCTCACTCTCGCTTTTCGGGCAAGCTCCAAGCCGCTAGGTGGTCAGAATGGCGTGACTTGAAGACGTTGCAAACGTAAGGGGGGTCTTCAATCCCATGAACCTGGATAAATGAGGCTTGAAGTGATGATTGTTGGCGGTAATAGGCAGCTTCTTTGAAAGGTGTGGCAGGAAACTCGATTCACTGGCTTTTGCATTTTATATCAGTACTTGTATTAAGCGAAGTGCCAGGTCGAACCTGGTAAGAAGGAGTCGTGTTTTTGTTTGTTTTAACTTATTGATCAATGGGGCAACAGAGGCCAATTCAGGGGGTGAAGGGTCCACGTCTTCGACACGAAGGTCTCGGCCACTCATCAGCAGCTTCACCAGAAAGGAGACAGGAAGCATTGTCGTCCAATGTCAGCTGGTTGGCACCAAGGAACGACCTTGAAGAGTGATAGATAGCAATCACATTGTGATGTTGGCTCGTATGCATATTACTGCTTATAATATTACTGGGAGTCAAATAAAGGATGGAATTGTTGAAGAGAAGAAGGAACGCAGACAGGAGCAACTTGAAATGAATGGTCCACCAACAGCCGATAAGGACTCCTTATCGGGGCGCAAGACAACCAACAACAAAATAATTCTCCCACGCCCCGTCATACCAAGACAACACCATGGCATCCGAATCCTTCACACCAGTCTCCATGCCATCCGCTCTCAGATTCGACCTCCTGGCTCGCTGCTCTGTAAGTTCTCCTTTTCCCCTTCAAGAAGCGCATAAAACTCATAGTGACACACAAGACTAGACCACGAAAGCACGAGCAGCAAACCTCACACTCCCTCATGGACCCGTTCAATTGCCCTTATTCATGCCCGTGGCAACACAAGCATCACTCAAAGGATTGACACCCGAACAGCTCGAAGCAACTGGTTGTCGATTATGTCTAAACAATACGTACCATCTAGGCTTGAAGCCAGGACAGGAAGTACTGGATAAGATCGGAGGAGCACATAAACTGCAAGGATGGAAACACAATATCCTCACAGATAGCGGGGGGTACGTCCATTTCATGTTGGACTATTGGTGAAGATATCTAATAGTCTACAGCTTCCAAATGGTCTCCCTCCTCAAACTCGCCCAAATCACTGAACAAGGCGTCCGCTTCCTCAGTCCCCATGATGGCACCCCTATGCTCCTCACCCCCGAACACTCCATCAACCTCCAAAACACCATCGGCAGCGATATAATCATGCAGCTGGACGACGTGCTCGTTACCACTTCGCCCGACCATGCACGTATGCGCGAGGCCATGCTTCGCAGCGTCCGCTGGCTCGACCGATGCATAGCCGCGCACGCGAATCCTACTACACAGAACCTCTTCTGCATTATCCAAGGTGGTTTGGATCTCGAGATGCGCGCGGAGTGTTGTAGGGAGATGGTTGCGCGGGATACACCGGGGATAGCAATTGGTGGGTTGAGCGGTGGAGAGGCAAAAGCGGATTATTGTCGTGTGGTCAACACCTGTACGAGTTTACTGCCAGAAATGAAGCCGAGATATGTGATGGGAATTGGGTATCCTGAGGACCTCGTTGTCAGTGTAGCGCTTGGAGCGGATATGTTTGATTGTGTGTGGCCGACTCGGACGGCGAGATTTGGGAACGCGATAACGAAGTACGGGATGTTGAATATGCGACATGCGAAGTACGCCAGTGATTTTGGGCCTGTGGAAGAAGGGTGTGGATGTGTATGCTGTCGAAAAGGAGAAGGCGGACTGAATGTCACAAGGGCGTTTGTTCATCATCTCGCTGCTAAGGAGACGGTGGGCGCGCATCTGTTGACTATGCACAATGTGTGGTATCAACTGGAACTGATGCGGAATGTTCGGAAAGCGATTTTGGAAGATAGATATCCTGAGTTTCTGAAGCAGTTCTTCAAGGATTTACATGCGGGAGATAAAAGTATGTACCCGGACTGGGCGGTTGAGGCGTTGAAGACTGTGGGTGTTGATTTGATGGAGTAGAGATACCCAATTGAGATTTAGATTGTGGTTTTGATTGTTGCTTTCCTATGAGGTGAAGTGTTGTTCTTGTCTTCCCTTATCCCCACACTGCCTGTATAACATTATAGAAACTATTTCACCATGTAACTCGGGAGTTCCACCTATGTTTGCTAAAGTGTCAGTCATCCTTCTACAATGTACACTATAATAGAATTTATACACTGCGTACCTAGGTAGGTCCAATCTGGAGGTCTTATACAAATCTCTAAGCGAGAATCGTGGCGTCTCGTCTTTGTTCATCGACGAGGAAGGTGCGATTCAGTCTGGGGTTTCTTGGCGTCACATCTTCCACGGTTTCTGGACTCTGCCACTTTCTTTTCTCTTTTCCTCTTCACAAAACTCGAACGAGAAATTGAGACAACTGCCTCGTCTTGTCAACACCATTCTGCGATTGATGAATTTCAAGCGGTATCTTGTCGTCTACTTTTCTCAAAGTTGTCGGTGCAAATCTCAAGATCTACGAACCCGCCAATTTTGACCTCCAAGAATTTCTCTTGTTTCTCCAATCATTTCAAATACCCAGTGAATCTATATTCCAATAGATCGGTATCTCAGCCCTTCAAACAACGCGTCGGCGTAAAATTCAAAGTTGACACCATCACCTAGTACTTCGCGTTGCTATGTCGACCAACACTTCTTCAACTATCGACAAGATGAATACTTTATCCAGCCGCGAATATGAAGGTCATCAGGGAAATATGTCTGCCGATGGTCACAAAAGCAATGTTGTATCTGGGAAACAATCCATTGGCATTTCGGGAGGTAAGTCGTGTTCGTTGTAATTAGGTAGTATGGTAGCTAATGGTCGATCAGCAATTGAGTCGACCGAGAATCAGGAGAATTTGTCAACCTTCCATCACTTTCGAAAGTTACCCGTAGAGATACGTCTGATCATTTGGAGAAAAGCCTGCGGAACACCACGAGTTGTGGAAATCATATACAATCCGAATCGGCGGAAGTGGAACAAATTTCCATCTAGAACACTCACTCCGGCACTTCTCCATGTTTGCCGAGAGGCTCGTACGGAGGGATTGAAATGCTACGAAATGCTCCCCGGATATGGTGATAGAAATCAGTACCGGGAAACATACGTGAACTGGGAGGTGGATTATATTTTCCTTGCCGAAGAAGAAACTCGTTGGAAAGACTTCCTGTTCGATGTGCTAGACGTCAGCCAGCCAACAAACACGGTACGGGAAAAGTGCCGCCATTTAGTAATGGAGTATCATCATGAGATACACCTGTACCATATTTGCAACATGTTTGGTATACCAGCGAGTTTTAGGGAGATCTTTAGGCAGCTGGAATCTTTCACAACCGTCTGGTACCCAGCCTCGTGGGCAGACCTAAACATGTCGCACACCATTGAGATCTACAAAAACCGCCCCGCTGAAGGGGAAGCAGATCTTTGGGATGCTATGCTCGAATTCCAAGCGACAAATCCATCTATCGTGGTGGAATACGGAAAGCTGAAAGGAAGAGCCAATTATCGGCTTAAGACACAAGCTTGGCAATTGAATGCCAAAACACCATAAGGTACGATAAAAGTTTTGGCCTGATCCACTAAACAAGAAAACTAAATTATTGTAACCAAGACGCTCCTACCGTCGGATAATATCATTCACTCCGGGAACAGCAGCCTTTCCAACAAGTTAGGAAGAAACAGATGGAAGCGAGATCACGTTTCATGGTTGATCTAAATTGCCCTAAATGCACTTGATAGAAAGACATATGGCTCTGGAGCAATGGCTTCATTTTGCTTTAAGAATTTCATATAGGCAGGGTGCTCTTATATCCACCATTCTTGCTATTTTTAGCATCTCAATTAGAGCTTCAAAATCTCATGAGTAGCTTCCAAAGAATCTAAAATACAGATTCAGTAGACTTCGCCCTACTATTCATCCAATACAACACCAAGTCTTACTCGAAAAAACCTTACCCACCCTATTGGCAAGTCTGTCTTCTCGGAGTGGTCGGCTCCGTTAGGCATTCAGCACTTCGTATTTATAACACAGATTTTGACGTCCACATTTGGTGTAACAATCTTTTCCTCTAAAATTCCGACTAGCAAGATACTTCAATACAGGATATTATAACATTGTGTAGTGCCTTTTGTTTGTACCTGTTTGGACAGAACTCTCGCTTATTCCTAAATTGTCTTGGCGATCTCCCAGGAGGTCTTCTTCATGTCCTGTTCCTTTCACTTTCACACTCTTCATCTTCCAACATACTTCATGATTCTTCGATCTTTACTCTGATCTCATTCTTCAAACTCTCGATCTAAGGAGATCAATATCGCCACTTATTATTACAGTATCAACTGTTTGGTCCCTCCTCTACGAGCTTTGGATTTGAGTACGACTTGGAGCTCTGGAAATTCGATAGCCATACTCATTCATCTTCGAATTATCTTCTGTCTGCAAACACTATACGACAAGGTGTTCTGGATATACGACAGGGTATCAGTGCTCACCTTCAAGACATCTTCAAACCTTCTTGAGAGACCCTGCACGATTTGGAACTCGGATTATACGACGGAATTTGACAGTCACCTTCATATTCTCTTCTTTCAACACGTATCCAGACTTTCGATCTGTGCTCGCTCTCGATCCATGTCTATTGATATTGGAACTCACAGCTTACAACCTCAACTATTCACAACCCCAACTGCTTTTGCCGTCTTCTTCAATCTAGGAAACTTTTACGACAAAACGATCTAGAATTCTGAAGTAAGCGACTCACTAATCTTCAAAGCCATCTTCTCTTCTTAGAGAACTCTGCGCGACTTGGAATCTCTGAACCTCTGCAGGTCTTGACGGTCGCCTTCGACTTGTCTTCTGCTCGCGAAATTCTCCACTATTTGGAAAGTTTCGGGATTACACACGCTTACTCACCTTTAATTTATTCCCTTCTCTTGGGGATATCTGCATCACTTGGAGATTTGAGAATTCCACAAGTCTCACTGTCAATTTTTTTTAAAAAAACCACCCCGAAATACATTACGCAATTTGGGAATTACACGAATTACGCGGGCCTTGCCAGTCATTTTTGAGCATATTTTCCCCTTGGGATATTCGGTGCCACTTGCTAGGAGTCTCACGAGCTTTCAAGCTACGCCCGTCTCTTTAAGGATCCTGCCGAACCACCGGGACTCTAGGATTCTTCGTACCTTGCAGTCATCTTCCAACCTTCCTCGCCTACAATTCTCTTGTACGGGTTGATCTCGGATATCCCACAAGCTCCGACAGTCACCTTCACAATATTTTCGTTCTTCTACAAAGGCTTTCCTCCTGAAATATACAACTTTCGAATTGAAAGCTACAACTCACAATAAGACACTTTCTTTCGACGACTCGACAAGATGAAGCTGCGTTCGGCAAAAACCTACGAGCTTCCTCCCAGCGACAAAGCCAAAGGTCGTTCATCCACCTTGAAGAGCAGAAGTGAGGCTAAACGAGCAGCCGCAAAGAGAAAGGCAGTTGCAAATCATAACCGGGGTAGCAAACGTAAGTAGTGTTCTCAATGTCTTAAGCAACAACTTACTTTCTGCAGGCAGTCGTACAACTGAGGAGATTGAGCTTGCACCTGTCTTTCACTACTTCCAAAAGCTACCGATTGAGCTCCGGCTAAAGATCTGGAAGGAAGTATGCAGGTTCCCTCGAATCGTAGAGCCCTTATCTTCCAACAAACCCAATTTCCCATCAGAAAGTCTTGCACCGGCGCTGCTTCATGTCTGCAGAGAGGCTCGCGAAGAGGGGCTCAAGATTTATGAGATGCTTCCTAGCTATGGCGACCTCTCCAGATTTCGAGAAACATATATAAACTGGCAGGTTGACTACGTTCTTGTGCCAGTTGGTGCGAAGCGCAAAAAGAGTATAGATCCTAGTAGTCAGAATCCCCCATTCAGTCTCTCTCGATTCTTGAAGCACGAGGGATATCAGAAGTGTCTTCATCTGATAATACCGGAGACGGAATTTATTCATTTTCTCAGTTTGGTGATAAAACTCAATCGGCAATATCCTTGGTCTTTTGATTTTGATAGACTGAAGACACTGGAGTCTTTGTCAATCGCCTTGCCATCACCGCACAACGGCCACAAGCAACGCGGTGGGGTTGTCAAAGCCATGAGTACCTGGAGATCGCATGCTGAATTACTCGAAAGTAGGCCCCGTCCTAAGATTCCTTACCTGATTTGGGATTTGCAAAAAGTCAACGTTTCGTTTCCCAAGGATCTTAAAATAGGATTCTGTCAACTGGAGGTTCTCCCTGGCTATCGTCTAAAGGGGAGGGAATGACGGGATTCGCAAGGGAAATGGTGTGTCAATCCACACAATATTCGGTATCATCCACCAAAATCTTAAGCGGAACGACTGATATCAAATCGCAAAGAAAAAACATGCTTCTTGATCCATGCAATATTCAGGAACCATCCATCACTATCACAATCGAGGAGAAATTGGAGGGAAAATGCTCTTACAGTATCTGGATCTATCCACAAATATCTTCAGCAGGACAAGTCATTGGCATTTACAAGAGAACAGTGTTCTTGATCCACATCACAGTTAGGCATTTACTCGACTTCAATGATGTCTCTACGATTGCTGGGATCGATATAGGTGATTTGGGAGAAAAACATCGCAGCCGCCTTGAATAAGACCATCAAATCATTTTTCTTAAGAAAGCTTTCATTAACAAAAGTTTAGTCATTCTCCATGGAGCACAGCAATTAGTTTACAAGTGGGCTATATTTAGTCTAATGGCATAGCTTTTAGTAGTCATTAAAAAAATCACGTTCTCGCAACTTTGACTTCACTGATAGTGACTTCTTATCTATTTTCAATATGCTTCGGAGTCTGAGCTTCCCAGGTCTTTTTGCTACACAATCATTCTCATTATTCATACAATTGAGCACAGTAAACAAAACAAAGCTCAGGACGAACCAACCTTTCTACTGAATAGATTGAGACGTATCCTCTCGTTCCTGCTATTGCACACTTCATCAGCTCGGGCTCATAAGCTTTTAAGAGGATAAGATGTGTAGGATCAGTGGCTGTATTTCCTGACCTCCTGTAAAAGGTACAAGCCCTCTACTACCCAAAGACCAATCTATTTCGGTCACCCATCCTAGTCACCAAACTTCAAACAGACTCATAAAGGTATTTCGAAAATTTCAAGCCCCTCCTTTATCTTTTCTCTGAATCCCACAGCACACACACCTCACTCACAAACCCATCAAACCACCCAACCAATACCCCTACCACCAATCTCCCCATCCCCACATACATACCCTAACCACACCAAATCCCCTAAACTAAACACGCCCATATCTAAATCACATCCCATCAAACCCTCCTCACTAACCAGCTAATCACAATCTCACCTTCAAGTCAAGAAGTCGCTGCACCTACATGAAATGATCTACTTGAACGCTGCGATCCTCAGAGGCTAAGAAGTGTGTTTCTCACCGTTCGAGCAAGTCACGGCTGGAAGGAGATGGATGAGGAGATTTGGATTTAAGATTGGTTAGCGGGGTGAGATTACGGTACGGAATTTTGGTGTTGATGAAGAGACTAGGGGGAAGTGAGGGTTGTGGGTGAGATTTAGCACTCAGATTTGACTTCAGGAGGTATTTCGATAAATGTCACGGCATATATGGATTGATTAATATCTGAGGGATATGGACCTGGATTCGGGATATGGGAGATATACACGATTTGATTGTATAGTGTTGAGATTAGGCGTTGCGAAAAGAGCAGAACGCTGGTGATTCTGAGTTGGTTTGATGTCAAAAGCTTCGATACGAGGATCTGTGTCATTATCGACTAATAATCAATTTTCTCAAACACAAAATCAAAATCAAGGTCTTTAAATCTATCAAATCTGTATTTTCTACAAAGTAGTGGCGGTCGTAGACATGAACGTCACCTTCTCCATCTCGCTTAGCTCAACTTCAGGAGAAAGAAATTCTGTCTGCGCAATACATATAAATCCGTAGAAGATCCTACCTCGTATAACAAGAAGTGCTTTGCATCGAATTAAAACTCAAAGACAATTTTGACTCTTTGTCACCACTTACATATACTTCACCCAATGCTGACATGCTGAGATATCTGATTTGAAATCCGATTCGGGTACCTGTCATGTTGCCGAAGCGTATTCGTAGAGTCTCTTCGCCTCCCTGCCACAAGATCGAGTAGCAAGCGACCGATTCGCAGATAGCTAATTCGTCATGCAATTACTTACCTGATAGTGCGCGATATGAGCAGTGCCATCAACAGGCAGCAACCAGCTCAAAAGCAACTGGCAAAGCTGTACGAGCGAAGCACACTTTACGGCCGCGTAATCAATTTTCTGAACATGAGACTGAGCCTCTGCTCCGGAACGAAAGCTGGCAGCGGTGAAAGTACCATTTTTGGTAGGTGACTTCCAGGTTCCTTCTGCTCGGTTGACGACACCCTCACAGGGTTTGCAACATCGCGCCTCTCGAACACTTGTTCGCGCCTCTCAGCTCTCAATGCGAATCGTACGTAAATAACAATAAATCAAGCCTATAATTTACGATATTTCGAGTTCCCGTAAATCGGTAAATCCAATGCGCGGTTTGTTCGCAAGATGCCGCGCGCGAGAATGCAACACCCCAAACTTCGCGCCCGAGATTCCATTCCGGCCGAGATACGACTTCCAAAACCATCGAAGGAGGTGCCAAATGTGTGATAGGGGTAAGATCTCAACTGTGAGAACCGTCTCAAACTCCGTTCCTTCCATCGCCATCTCCGCTTGCCGAAATTTGTACGCCCGGCTGTGGTAAGGAAGGGGCTGAGATTCCCGTGTTGCGGGAGTTGCGGCGCGAATAGTGTGGGATGACAGACAGGAACAGGAATGAGAGCGTCATGATTTTTGTTGCTATGCGAGAATGTGAGGAAGTCCGTAAGATCATAACGCCCGACTGAAGTGATGGGGTCGTAAGAGGAACTTATCATGTTGTGGGACAAGATGATAAAATTCCGTTACCAGCGGAAGAATGCGGTAAGGGTGGTGAGCGTAGGGTGGGAGCCGTCTTACTTGTAATTGTGCTAGGTCAGAATAGCAACATGGTATCTTAGGTTGGTCAGACTTGAGCCATTTGCGCTTTTGTATGAGCCCATTTTGAGGCGTGATTTTGATCGTGTTCTGCTTTGTGTCAGAGCTGAAACCAATTATTCGGTGGTAATTCGGAGTCCCACGAAATTCGAGTCGCAAAAGCAAATCATAGATTAGAGTTTTTGAAAGTTGACAAAATGAAATCGTCATAAAGTTACCTGAGCAAGGCAAGAAGCGTGGAGAGTCCGACGCCCAGTTGCATGGCAACCTCCTTTTGACCAAGCTTCACCCGGTCGGTGTTTGCATCTCTGGTACTCGAGCATGTTCAACTTCGGACGAGGACAACTATCCTCAGTGTCCGGAGATCCGTATTCATCCAAGGAAATCCGATCGCCAATGATTCGAGTCTCCTAAGTCGAAAGAATAGTGAGGCTTCTTCCATACCGACAAAGGGCGTTCAATCCTTGGTTGTGTTGTGTGCTTTCAAACTCGGTCTTTAGATTGAGTTTACTATGATGGCCGAGAATACAACGCAAGTCCGGCTATATTGAAGCATTGTGTTGTCGAGGCTTTTGAAACCAGGTGAATGCTGGTTGGGATAGACTTTCTGATGAGTCCAGGGCTTCCTGTAGATCTTTGAGGTAAAGTACGAGGTGATCGTCGAGGAACATCGATAGCAAAAGCATGCATGCAGAATTGAGCCAAAGTTGGCTGGGGAGCTCAAGTATTTGAAGCTGGGTCTCCTGTCCATTTGAATGTAAGGCTTCGTGACAGATGATCTCCTGAACCTGTAAATCAACAGCTGTCGACAAGGAGGAAAGATGAAGCGACGCTGAACCAAATCCATAAACTAAACAAGGCTTGAATATTGAGATTCATGTCTTTCAAAACCTGTTTCGTCGATTGAACGGGGAATGAGGCTATGCTTAGTTGATGATGGAGAGCACCTTGCCACTTGTGCAACAATCCTAATTCTGGGAAGGAACTGGAGAGAACCAAGCTACTTTCACGTGACTGGTCTCGGCAAATCATGTCGACCGCCTCACTTTCCAGGTTAGTTGCAGGTCTGCTAGTCGTTTCTCATCAAGCAATCAATGCGTTGCGCCACCTAAAGGAGATTTTCCGGATTCTTACGATCGGGTTCCGTATCATGGCCAGTTATTTTCCACAGTTTGTACGCTCCCAAGCACAATGAATAAGTGAAGAGTTCTGTCAAACGAGAATCGTTTGCTTGAGGCTCCATTACATGATCGGAAGACACAGGGCTACAAGGGCGCGGTAGCCAAGTGTATGGATATAGCCGTCCTCCCGAGTGGATTGAAATATATTAAAATAGATACACAGCTGATTTGTGACGTGGAAACGCGTTCGATGACCTACAGTGAGACGGTGCAGTGAATAAGCGAAGCTGATGGATGATCAAAATTGTTACCTGGACTTCTTGAGACTCGCAAACGTAGCCGAGATCGAGATCTGTGGTTTGATTGTGATTGTTTCCTAATGTGGACTCGTATAAGCGTATTCCGAGATCCTTTCCGCGGGAGTCGTCTGTTGGGCTTTTCGAAATCTACTTCCGAGAATGCCAGACTTCGACACGGTGGTCCAGGATCAGAGCAAGGCGTTAAGATTCTCCCCATACCCAATGCTGTCATGAGGCAACGAAGCGTTGTTGAGCGAAATGCTGAGATATCTGGCCAGCGTGTCCAAAAGGTCGTGTCGAGTCTTGGATGTTTACTCGCATGCCTACGTTGATGAGGGTGGTTGCATCAATCGGGAGGGAGCTCGTGCAGTCTGCACCTAGCTCAATAATGAGCACTTGTGATCTGCGAGGTGGCTACGATACCGGGAATGGGATGCCCAAGGGAATGTGCGAAAATCCAAGTTCTCAAGTCGGCCTGATGAAGATCTTGACTCGAGGCGCGACTCGGAGGAGGGCCTGGTGGAGATATACTGAAGGAAGGGTAAGTTTGAGTAGTGTAATATCAGAGCTTCCATAGAACGCTAGAACAAGGGATTCGTGTGTTCTTTGAGGAGAAGATGCGTGTGAGCTGCGGTGAGCAAACAGGGAGCCCCCTTCCCTTATAAGCAAAATCTATATGGAGTCGATGGAAGCATCAAGGTTCAAACTCTAGAATCACGACTCCTCAACGGCGGTGAGTTCGCTTTGCCGTTGACTGGTGGATTATTCGACCCACCTGCGAGTTCAGACCTATCGTGTTGAGTGTTTCATGGTCAAGAGCAAACAAAACAAGCGACGTCTCCTTTTGTCCCCTTTTCGAGGCTTTACCCGAGAGGCCAGGCACTCAGGGGTCGGAACACGCTTAGGAGGGCCAACCCTTCCACGGGTAGCGAGAAAGGCGTGGTGCTGGGATATTAATTCGCCAAAGCATTGCCGGTACGGCGGCGGCGGGTACCTCGTACTTTCACGCGCTTGGCTAGATGTTGGTAAATTGCTATTTACGTTCCATGGAACTTGGAATGTTGGAGAGCTCAAAGAGTTGTAAAGCGCTATGCTTGTGTTGTCGGGCAACCAAGTACGAAAACTGGCAACAATTCAGTAATTGCCATGTCATCTCAAGCCTCTCATAGCGGCTGCATCGTCGCCGCAAACAGGTGCTTGCCAGTGGAATGGAATGCCGTGCCACCGCGGACTTGTAGGATTGATATTTGATATTTGAATTGTCTGAGTAATCCTGTGATTCTAAACAGGGAACTGACGGCAAAGGTTATCCGCTCTATACACACTTAGGCCTTTAAATTTTCGTTAATATTCCTGAATTAACAACAGACCATAATCTGCACCACGATCAGGTGAATCAGAATACTTTATGGATGATCCGGTGCCGGAGCTGCCGAAGGCATGAGCTTCATGCGAACACACGACACCAGCTGATAGTTCAGCCAAACACATACTCGTACTCGTCGACAAGAGAGCAGCTACAATGTGTGGACGGGGATTTCGCATGTGTTTGCCCCTTCAACAGCACTATACAATATCGAAGTGACTGTAGGTGTGCAGGACAAGGAAATGCGAGCTGACGTGTGAGCAAAAGAATATCGCCATCGGAGACTCGCAATTCTTTTTCCTAAGTGCTGTCAAACCATCCCGCCTCACTTCGGCGACCAAGATTGCAGGACCTCAAGCAAATAATAATAGAATCATGTCTTTGGAATCTTAATACTCCCATCCCTCCCCCGCGGTTACAGAACGACTACCGAGATACGATTTACCACCCTCAGGTAATCTGGATTACCGGTACCATAAAATATCTACCCTTGACACTTCAGCCCAGTCCTCCGCTTACGCCCCATATTATTGCCTCATCTTCTTTTCGGCTCCAGCCTCAATCTCGTGGAAGGTCCCTGACTGTTCGCCTTGCAATTTTCAACCGTTAATGTCCATATCTGGACAACCTCCTCGCCTGCATATGCATTATACGGGGAGGGTGAATAACGTACGGAGTGTGTGTGGCAGTAATAATTGCTTTTCGGGCTTTAAAGTAGATAATGTCAATCACCCCTTACACTTCCCCATCACATCTGATGCATTTTTGCATTTTCTATCAATTTTATTTTGCAAAGGATTACCTGTCACATTTAATCCACCGTAACGGAACCAAGTTACCCAGCACTGAGCACTCACTTGCACCTGCGTACTTTGCGTACTTTGGTATGGGGATATATGGTCAAGGCACAACACACACCCCCTTGCTCTTGCCATTCCTGTCTCATATTATCGCTTTGTACATACTCCGACCACCCTTTCAAAACAACCTTTTGGCGGCTGCTTGTCCCTTTAGGAAAGCCACCCTCTCTTTCTGCTTTCATCTTTCCTGCACTTTCACAGCACAACATTTGGGAGGTTTCTTTGTCAACAATCCAGTCCTTTCGAGTTACGTGGGCATCACAATCCCCAATCCAGTCTTTACAGCTCCACTCAACATCAGCATATAACTTCTTCGAGCTGTACGCGCACACATAGACAAAAAATAGAACGAAAAGTTGTTGCAGGGCATAGAATAGAGGCATCGAGAGCTCTCGCGAGACACAGCACTAGAGGTGAGTTGTACGCACCCGCAGTGTAGAAACACAAACACCCGCCTCTCTCGGCGACCACCCGTGCTGCCTCGAGACATCCTTTGAGTGCTCGAAGAACGTCGTGGTACAACATGTGTGCTGCCGGGTCTTTACCCACGAGATCAAGAGTCCGAGCACAAACAACGAGGCGCTGTCTTGATTAAGAAAGAGCTGTACTGACGTGAATGGCGATTAGATCTGCCTCACCGCTTCCCTTTACGAGGAAATTCGATTCCGACTTCAACTCGGGGAACTACAAAGCGACCTTTTCCAAATCATCTGACTGATAGTCCTCGGGAAAAGTGGGTCGCAGCTGGACTGGGAGTTATAGCAGAGATGGATCCGGGTTCAGGAAAAAGAAATAGAGGGCCGTCAGTTACAGCAAATAATGAAAATGGGAGAGAAACACCACAAAATCGTCCAGATACGCCGGAAAACCATGATGGAGATCCTATGGCCACCGAGGGCGAGGACGATTCCAAGCCTCAAGGAATGGACTTGGGAGATGCCGAGCAAACATATGGTATTCAAACACAGAAACCACAACCGTTTGGAGATAGCCCTCCGCGCGACGACAGACTTTTTCGTGCGAACCCACCACTGAATACCGAGAAACTCTCAAAGCCGAACGCCTCCTTAGAACCGCCTGTTACAAAAGGCACTTTGAGTGAATTGGACGTCAATAAGATTGTTCACAACCCTCGACTGAGGCACGACATCAACTTTGACCCTGATTTACACTTTAGGCCAAATCTGGATGGTGAAAAGGGAAAAAAGAAGACTCAGAAATCAACATTCTTTTGGGACACCATGCGGTCGGAATTGGTTGAATATATCACGAATCGAGAAAGTTTTGAAGCTCGACATGGGGACAATGACTGGACACTTCCAGCGACTCTGAAAGCTATTCGTGGTATTCTAGAAACACTAGTGCCACAACGAGACCGCGCTTCTGTCGAAGAGACCTTTAACGTCGATTTACTGATGCAGCAATTCCGAATGGGCGTGGCTGATCTGGTGAAACTTGCTAACTGGCTTTCTCAACTCCTGAAATGTCATTGTGCTCCCATGAGAGATGACTGGGTTGACGAGATGGTAAACCAGCTTAGCAATGGAGACCGTAATGGAGATGTGACCTTACTTGTTGCTGGTATGCACAATCTGTTAGGCGTTCTCGAGGCTATGAAACTAGTAAGTTGAAATCGTACAAAATATTTGCTATTAAACTAACGAGCCATCAGGATGTAGCAAACCATCAAATCAGGTGTCTGCGTCCGCTACTTATTGAAGACACTGTTTCTTTCGAGCAAAAGTATTTCTTGAAGAAGCATGGCATGAAGAAAATCAAGCTGACGGAATCTCATGCATGGTACAATCGTGCAATGGATTTGCCAGATCTCGTTGAGACAAATGCTCCTGCGAACAATTCATGGACCTTCATGAAGGCACTTGTTTACTTGAGTTTGCCATCAAGAACGGAAGCAATGCCAGCGACTTTTGCATTCGACGAGGATCGTCTATCAAAGTTCAAAAGCGATATACAGGATTTGATCAATCTTGATATTTGCATGCACATGTACCGTGGTTTGGAGACGCAAAATCAACAAGAAGCTAGACAAAATGCGAGAGAAGACACACCTTCGAGGTCATTCACTTCTTCGCCTTTTGATAGACCTACCTCTCCCGCGGACAACACTCTACTTTCTTCACCCACGATCCCACAAGCCCATCATTTTACATCAAGAGTAAGAAACCATGCCCAAGAACGTGGACACTTCATCCGCACTCTAACGGGTCGACAAATATGGATACCGAGTGTCGAGGATGACATGGCCACCTCCTCATCTGGATCAAGTCCAAGATCATCGCCATCTTCTGCGCCTTCGACACTTGAAACTAACCCACCAACACCACTGTATCTGTCCGTTCCTATTACAGATAACTCCGCCCAAGCACGAACGTCATTACAAGCTATCCTCTCGTCTCTCACAACATCTGACAAATGGAAAACCTTGTCTCCATCGATGGCTCTCGAAATTCTTCGAATGACGAAAACATCTCTCGCTCGTCTACCACAATTCGAATCGCATCTTCAATTCCACATCTCCAATCCAACCTCGAGACTACACCAAGAAGCAGAACAACGTGTTCTACAACAGCTTCTTCCTGTCCTTCAGAAGTTGGTTGCGACTTACACACCTCTTACCAGCGTTCAGATCTTCGAGGCCGCAATCGCCCCGAAATCTGGTCCTGGTAGCGTCCAACCACAATCCAACGGTGTTCACGACGAGATCAAGGAGGTTTCGACGAGGATAGCGCATATGGGAATCCTCCATTGGCGAGTCTGGGCACATATCGCATACTTGGTAGATCCGGACGCGGTCGGAGAAATAATGTCTTGAACGTCTTTGAAGACATCTGGAAGATATAAAATAAACCAGTCGCCGAGCCAACGATCCATCAGCTATCAAGCCGAATTCGGAAAATTCTCAACTCAGCATTATTGCGGGCTCTATTCGACGGGCGAACGTCACCATGACTTTGACCAGGAGCTCGATACGTTCAACTCACATCATCATCTCAACTTCCCTTTGTCAACAACATCATTTTTTGCATCTACTCGGGGTGTCAATAGCTTTGCATTAACCAAATTTCCTCGCTGTTTTTGTTTTTCCTTCTCTAGACTAGATACCCCGTCCGTCCTCAAAACTCCATCGTTCTTGCGAGATTGTAAATATTTGTTTTGTGGGTATAGAATGGCAAAGCACACAACCTTTTTTTTCTTGTTAGCGAAAGGCTTGGGATATTGGCATTTGGATGGTTTAGGGCGGTTACCTGTGGGGTCTTACGCGTTGCTTTTTTTTTGTATTTATTTTGTTTTTGGGGACACTTTTAGAACGGGGTTCGGCTCGAGCTTTGCTGGGATGGGAAATTTGTGCATAGATTAGATGAGTGTGCGGGATCTTTTTAACAATGCTTTCTGGGGTGAAGAGAGCTGAGAGAAAGGGTGGTGTGATGTGGGGTGTGTTTTTGGAGGAGTAGAATACTTAATTGGGAGGGAGAGGGTGGTGGGGATGGCTCTTTTACTGGTTGATTGAGTGGAGTGAGGGGTGTAGAGGGGTGTGGTAATTCAGAAATTGAAGAATGCTTATCAAACTTGAAAATTGGTTTCTGTATATTGTGCTGTGTGAATGTGAACGGTCTTTGCACCAACTTTTGGGCAGGGTGATAGATCTGATACAGGGAACTCGCTTGCCCTTATGTTGGTTCTCCGTCTGGTCACAGAGGGAGCCATCCCAGATGTTCGGTCTTCGGTGATAGCTGGGGCCATCATAGATCTAGTTGAATAAAGTTAATCCTAAAATACACCTAGAATGATAGTTTTCGGTTTCATCAAGTATTTGTATTCTCAGCTTTACAAAGCCATTCCTAGAAAACAAGCCTTCACCGGTAGGATACCGCTCCCACGACTACGGCCTCTAAGTTCTGATTGTATCATATTCGACAATGTTATCTAATAATGAGCCTTCACTCGCAGTAAATCATAGATAGCTGCTGTATATTTCTCACACTCGATTCTGAGAGAAGCTGCTGTGGGAATACTCGCTAAAGGGGTAAAAGTGATGTATTTATATATAAATGGATGGATACTGGATAGTTGTATATATCTCAACTCTCGAGGTCTGGTCAGGAAGTGTAAGATGTGTTTAAGATTTATAGAAGGACTGGCTTGTGATTAGTGCTTGAGATAAGGTGGCAAGGTGGCAAGGTGGCAAGGTGGTGAGGTGGTGAGGTGGTGAGGTGAGGTAAGTGGTAAGTGAGTACAATTATTGGGCGGATTGTTGTACGGGTGCTGTAGTATTGATGGTCTTGATATATAGAGAGGTAAAGATGAATGTGCATGTATGATGCAAATATCGGTTTATTGATAGATGGTACTACATTCTACAGTCAGTATTTGATGACCTAGATATGTAGGTGTGCTGTAAGATGGGCAGTTTGTGAGAGTTGAGCACTGGCGGGAAGAGCTTTATTGCAATAGAGACATCCATTTACTTAGATAAGCGCTCCCACGTAGGCTCACTACTATCAATCACACAATACACCACTAGCACAAACAAACCACTCCATCCCCCAAAATCCCAAATCCCCCATTCACCCCTCCCCTCCCTGTCCCCTTACCCTCCCTTCCCTACCAATCCCCACCCCAGAACACCCAAAACAAGCCAATGGATCGATAGATCGGAAACGTGCGACATGCAACAAAACTCTTTGAGCATTTTTTCGGGACGTGAATCCTTGGGGTGAAGTTAGACTTGAGATCGGCCTTGTGGGGCGGGGGGGTTGGGTTGCAGGTTACGGGTTGCAGATCGGAGGGGGAATGAGCGGGAGGTTAGGTGATTCATTGTGAGTGTGAGGGGGAGTGATGGGGGTGTGGTTTAGTGAACCCGTGTATCCATCTCTTAATCTAGATATATGAAATGTACCGTAGTCACATTTTTGGATATAGATATAGCACATAAATACTGCTCGGATGTATTGTTTCCCTTTGACTACTTTAGGATTACTAGGCTTGAGGTCTTTCCTGAAGTGGATAGAGTCCTGCGAGTTAAGCGAGGATGTTTGTTTCTATGGTTCACTTGATAGTTTTGAAGTTAGAGTTATCGTATTTGAATGTTCAGAAGTCGTGAAATTGCTGGTCATTTTCGTCATTCCCTAAGACTGGCATTTTTGCGAATTCGTAGGAGGTGGAATGCTTTTGCAAGATAGACACTTCCAAAGTTAACCAACCTATAACCCATATATACAAAACATCTCCTACCACACCCACCTATATACACTCTTAATCATCACTTATCTCCCACCATCTTCACATCCATCCCTCACTCTCACTTCCACAACGCCGGTCCCGGAAACGGATACGTCGTCGCCCCACCATAAACATTAAACACCACCCCCGCATCCTCCCTCCCATAAAACTGCATCGCGCTCTTCCCACCCGTAACCTCCCTGGTGCCACCCCCCGTAACATTCAAGTTAACACACTGCGGATAATTCTGCGCACCATCCACCGAATACGCGCTATGAAGCGCTATAATCTCATGGCGTAGGACATACACGCCCTTCTTGATATCCTTCGGGATCGTAACGTTCCAGACACTTCCCCCTTTGATGAAATCATCCACGACCCAGGCTTTCAGCCAGTCCGTGGAGGACGTGACGCCCGCTTTGAGCGCTTGCTGCGCGAGCTTGACGAATTTGAGATCGGCTTTGGCGACGTTGGTGCAGGAGCCTGAGGGACATGGAGCGAGGTAGTCAATGATGGGACCGACGTGGCTTTCGGGCCAGGGCGCTGGGTTCCATTGGAGTTGGATGGTGGAGCCGGCGGTGACGGTGACGTATTTTTGGCCGGGCGTGGAGGACTTGTGGCAGATTATGTCGGGGGAGGTGTAGTTTATTGGGGGGACGAAACCGATGTCTGGGTTGTCGGCGAACCCTGTGGTTTGTTAGTATGATTTTGGGAAGGGGAGAAGGTTACAAACAGCCTGCTACGAGGGGAGCGGGTGATTGATAGCGGAATCCTGGGTCGTAGCCTAGGGATTTGACGCCATTGGCGGTGATGTATTGGACGTAGCCATGGGCGGAGACGGTTGTGGCTAGGAATATGGCGTTTGATAGAAGAGAAATCATGGTGTCGACTTGTACGATTTAGTATGTACCTTGAGAAAGATACAAGTGTCGAGTACCTACCTTTATATCTATCCTCCTCCTCAAGATCATAGATCCCGTAAAATGTGCCGTTCACCCAGTCGCTCTGGCTAAGTATAAATGGTATAAGACATCCATGGTATTTCTAGAAAATTCCTCGAATGAAATGACGGGTTTCCCAAAAAGATTCTGGCGAGGTTGAAAGAACGTGGATTAAGCGTTGTAAGTGTTCTTGAAGCCACGTGGTTTGCTATTCTTCCAGATTGACCATCTTAACTAAACAAGATAGAGAATCTCGGAGCAGCACGCCCGTCTTGATGATCACGGAATTATATTACTCCAACCAATTAATTTCATCATTGGGAAAATGTCAATATAGGTGAGGAGGAAGATTAATCCTCAAGTGGGAGAGGAGTCTTAGGATGAGGATATAAGCGCTCCACTGAGGGAGACTCGTCCAAGTTCTTGTAGTCCCAGCATCATATTTCAGCATCAAGTCAGTACCGACAATTCGAATGCTGTTCTACGTACGCAATATATGTCGATGAGCGCGAACATATAAGATGTCGAGGCATCCGTCCTCCATTGGAGGGTGCCCTGGTGGTAACTTGTAAGCGACTTCTCCTCTCACTTACTGTTTTCAACCACGATACCCATAACACTTTGAAACATGAATCTTGTCAGAGGTAAAGTAAACAACGCAAAATGAGGCTGACATCCTTCTGAACATGGTTTCTCCAGTCGTACTGCATTGCAATTCCCGTACGGTAAACGGCCATGCAGCTGGTTCGATTTTCCGGAGTTGTGCATGTGTCAGATGCACAGTATTGTAGCATGACTTCCACAAATCATCATGTCCTCTAAATGATTTTGGATAACATTTGTGCCTGCTGGCGAGAATAGAAGATCTTACAAAATCAGGCGCAAGGTAGAGCAAAAGCGTGATGAGATGGAGGGGTTCACATGTTGCGGGGTCAATGTCGATCACGTGAAATGTCTTGCCAGCCGAAGATTGTCTCAAAACTTCAAATAATTGGTGAGATCAATTTTAAAAAATACGAAATAGATCAACATGTTCATGTCATCATGCGGCCACAAAGCGAGTATCACAAACGGCCGAGGTTTGGTCGCAAGAAAATTTGTGTTCTTTGATGCCCGTCTCCATAGCAACAAGGCTTCGAAATTGTCAGGGCGCTTGTGTTGGTGGATCCAGCTGAACTGGAGAAGGCATGGCTGCCGTCGGGAGCTCGCTTCAAGTAACGTCTCGTCAAACGGGTGTATTTGTAAATATGATGCTTCTGTTTTGTCTAGATCTGGTGATGCAGCTGATACAGTTTAATGAGAGTGTTGAGGCAGATACACTTCTGCTTCTTATCAGGTCGTATTCCAAAGATCTCACCGGACGACCGAGAAGATACTTTCTGATCGGTGTCATGATGATGTCTCATCTCAAACCTGATTTGAGTACAGTAGTTGGATGCACAGTTGAATGCACTCTGCAGGAGAAGAATACCAGACAGGCAGCTGCATTGAGCCGCAGTTGAGACGGGCACATGATCTTCTCATTGGACGGTAACGGGTCTTGCTGCACGAATACAACACTGCCACAAATGTTCTTCGTAAGATGGCGGCGAAAAGCAAGAGCAGTTGGTTGTGGGAAGAGACTGGTGAAGATGGGGAGAAGAAGAAAGAGCCAGTTGAGATTCAAATGATGGTCTCCATGTGATATAGATGTGATGGAAGAGCGTTGCCAACAGCCTTGGAGACTACGTAGTAGAATCTGCGGTTGGGTTTTATATTTCCTCCAGTTAATATTTCGTATATTTCGGTTGCTGCCGCAGATCACCTGTTCCGTTTGCTAATGTCTGGTAAAATTCATAAATTAAGAGACCAGACTCGTTGAATATCTAGTTTTACGCTAATCAAGTGGATCTCCCGTCAAGCTCACCCGCAAAAGTGACAAGCGCATCTGTCCGAGTCGAAACCAAGAAAAGCACAACTCGCTTCTCCGGCTGTGATTGGCCTCCGTTGTTGTGCCCACGCCAACGCATCGATATTCCTTCCCCAGCCCAGCTCTTCTCCATAACAGAAGTCTGTTATTGCTCATGACCCGGTACCTCAACCTGTACAATTCGTCTTCATCGCAAGCTCGACTCAACTGGTGCGCAGACGCAGAGGGCGCCCATCGTTTCTTATTCACTGTTTGATATTCCTTTCCTTTTCCAGCCCTCTGTACCACCACACCTGCGTTGCTGCATCTTCCGACGAATCCCAGACGGTCGACTTCCGAGAAGCTGTGTCGAGATACATCCACCAGCCTCCTCCGATCAGACAGCTCCGTGCAAACTACACATCTGCGACCCTGACGACGACCCCACACCTGATGCATCGTTAAAACTTCTCCTTCTTCCCTTCCCACGGTCGCAATGGGTGTTGAAGGTCGAAAAGCTCCTCCCCTCCCCGCGCCCACCGAAACCGACACAAATACTGGAGGCAGTGAGATAGGCTCGAGGGTGACAGAGAAGAGTCAATATATCCTGCCAGAGGACGGCAGCCCCGTCACCATCGCAACACGGCGCCGAGGTGAAAAGGACGGACTGGGCGGTTTAACATCGAGCAAGTCGCAAACATCCTTGTTAATCGAATATTTCGAAGGTGGGAAAGAGGGAAAGTCTGATTCTCGACGGCCTTCTGTCAGAGTCAAGGTCACGCCATCATCAAAAAGCAAAGGTCGATCAACAAATGACCATATCCAAATCACCGAGCGTAAAGGCACTCGCAAACCTTCCTACACAAAACGAATTCAATTATCGCCCAACGTGCGCAGTGACAAGTCAATAGATGTGGAAGGCGACGACCTCAGTGTGCATTCATACCGATCAGCGACAGAAGAGTCAAACGTCACCTCTCGAAGTGGTCGACCAATTGAGGTTGAAATAATGCCTAGGCGACATGGAAGTCCTCTTATTCCCACGGCCGAATCGAGCTCGAAATACATGCAACACAACGCCTCTGATATTTCTTCCATGCCAGCGGACAGCTTCTTAGACGGACGATCGCCAGAAAGAACTCGCAGCCATAGTCTATCGGCAGGCGAGGCTTTAGGGGCTGGCGCTATCGCTGGAATGGCTGCTGGTGCAGTGGCAGAGAAATTGCGGACACCTTCTCGTCGCCGAAGTAGAAGTTTGAGCAGAGAGCGAGAGCGCATTGTAGTAAAGAAAGCAGCAGAGAAAGTGCGCAGTGAGAAGAAGCCCGAACGTACACGCAAACACCGGAGTCGAAGTCGCAGTGTGAGTGGCGACCATGGTGAAGGTATAAAATCCCCGCGACGCAGGTCAAGTCGGAGTCATCATGAGGAGTCTCTGGTTTCTGGTGCCGATTCTAGTTTACTTAATTCTCACCTTAGCGGGAAGTCCGGTGACGCCTATTCTTTCAGGTCTGGCACCTCAAAGTCTTCTATTAATAACCCGAAGCTACTCGAGACCGTCGAGGACGCTATTCGACGTCTCATTCTACCAGAGTTGACAGCCCTGAAGAGAGAGCAGAGTAAACGGAGCACACACGGGGAGAGAGATCGCAGGGGATCGTTCACATCAGGAAGTGGAGTTTCCAGGGATTCGAGAGACGAAAGCTCAAGCGGGCGGCGACAGTCTGACCGAGGGAGTGGAACAGACTTATCTAGTCGGCCAAAGGTTACGCTAAATGACAAGGAAGTACTTTCTGGAAATTCAATCAAGGGTCGGAGTAATAGGAGCATCGAGCGGGTGAAGACTGAAGATTCGCCTCGCAACTTTGAACGAGGCTCTTCCGAAGAGACAGCCATTCAGGATGGCGAGCGAGTGCGAAAGAAGCGCAGTGGGCGTGGACTCGAAACTGCGGCTATTGGAGCTGGAGTTGGGGCATTGACAGCTGCCGCTTTACACAAACACCAATCTCAAGATTCGCTGGATGAAAAGAAGGAGCGTCGCCGAAGGAGGGCGAAGAGCCATGGACGGACGGAAAGCACAACCGAGAGCTTCGAAGAGACGCGGCGAGAGCTTGCACCACCTATGCCACTCATGAGCGCGATCAACTCATCAGAGATCACTCGTAGCTCGATACTATCCGCAGAGACCGATCGACCACATTCAGCGAGCCAAGAGCACCGAGTGACACAAATCAAGGAAGTGCCTCGAGGTGTTGGTTCTCCATCTTCACTCACTCCTACAAGGACACCAGTCGCTCTGCAGCATGGCCTAGGAACCCAGCACTCAAATTTCTCACGAGGTAACTTGAGCCTACATAGTCAGCACAGCGAGCAACAACTGCGCACCGAGGAATACGAGCTTGATGAGCATGGTCGCAAAATTCCCATGCATAGCTCCTCCCCAGATGAAGACCAAGAGTCTCTGGTTGAAGAAACACATACGAACACTCATTCGCATGCATTGGCCGCTGGTTTAGCGGGCGCTACTCTTGGGGCTGGTGGCATGCATGCATATAATCACGATCAAGCTGATGAGGATCATGAGGATTCTGAGCTTATGGAAGACGAGGATCGGCATTACTATCAGAATACCCAAGAAGTTCCACCCCCATTACGCTACGTACCTTACGGCCACGAGAGACGTGGATTAAGTCCCATTCAAAGTGTATCAGGCTACACTGAAGGAGACCCAGAGATACAAAGATCGTCACGATTGACTCATAGTACTGGTTCGTACTCTTCGCTGAACAAATCTGTCCACCAAAAATCTCCTGGTAGATCTCCTGGAAGATCTGTCAAGTCAAGCGAATCTCTTGGAAATGTCCATCAAAATCGCCATGATTTCGCTGAAGTCCGACAAGGAGGCCTGACTGACTCTGAGCTCACCCAAGATGGCGAGTACTGGGAAGAACAACATCAAGAAAATGACCGAAATCGTGAGCTTGATGCCGAAAGTTACAGAAGCTCTGATCCTCGAGTTGACTACAAGCATCTGACAAACTACACTGATGATAGTATGGATATCGATCGCGTCGCGGCTGGTCAAAACGTCCGCGGTGTCGGTCAAAATGCAGAATATGTCCATTCACCTGTTGCAGTCGAGTCTGCGGTTGCGTCCCTGGTCAATGCATCAGAGCTAACACACATGTCTGCCTACTCTGGCAACAATGGCAAATACGATCGTAAAGGATCATATGCATCATACGACGATGGCTCGGAGAGGCACTTCACTACCAGTCGTGGTAACAGTCCTACTAAACATGATGTCCAGCGCGACGTTGAGTACCACGGATCGGATCATGGAACTTCAAGCCAGAGAAATAGTCCTACTAAATACAGCGAGTATGAGCTTGACGAAGAGGGACGAAAAGTCACAATGCCGCAATACAAATCGAACACCACAGACAAGCTCGCAACGGCGGGTATGGCGGGAATTGCTGCCGGAGCTGCAGCGGCTGTTCTAAGACAGCGAAACCAAGAGTCGGAGGCAGATCAAATACAGTACGAGGATCGTCAAGAGCACACTGGTGCACCGTTGCAGAAATCGTTCAAGGAGCGTGCGCTTGAAGGACAGGGACAAATTCCTTCCCCACGGCAAAGCATTGATACAAGCCTGAGTGAAACTGCCAGCCACGAGCAGCTGAAGATGGGTGCAAGTGGTCTTCCAGATATAAATGACCCTATGCCCGAGATAGGCTATCATGACGATGTTTCGGATGTAACGACCAATCCATCCATAATCAAAGGACCAATTGGTGGTCTCACTACTGGAACCAAGGAACGCTGGATGGGCAGTGGAACGCCCCCTAGGCTTAATAGCGCCATGTCTGATCGAAGTCGGAATTCAGATAGAAATCTCAAGGCCGCAGAAGCTGCTCTGCTTGGGGCTGCAGCTGGTGCTGGAGGTGCTGCGGCTTTGGCAGCCCACAACAGAGAGACTGGTCATGACCACGAGGAGGAGTGGCAGAGGACGTCAGGGGAGCGAAAACGTGATACTCTTGTCACCAACCCATACGAAGGCACGAGCCCAATTGCTGCTATCGGTGGACCCCTTGACACCGGTCTACTACACCGGTCAAGTTTCCAGGGTGGTGATTATGGGCCACCCAAGATGGGTTATACTAGTCCAGCAAAGGACGAAGGGTATATGTCTTCCGCCCCCAATAATGCCAGATCTCCTGGCGCCTTCACACCTGAGCAGAGGACAAAAGGAGTTGGATTTATGAATGATGAGATCAATGACACAGCTGATGCTCTTGGTGGTGGTGATCCTTTCTATACGCCAAAGCATGCCCGACACTTGAGTGGTATGTCGCATGGAATGGGTTCACCTATTTATGACAGTGCGACTGGCAATGGAATGGACCGGATACAGTCAAAGGACATTGTCGCATTGATGGACCATCTCACTGTTCGTGACGCTCAACGAAGTGCTCGTGATACGGAAATTCTTGTGACGCTTGTACGCGCTGCTGCAGAGATGCGAAATTCATTCGAAGACATGAAACGTTTACTGGCCGACACAGAAGACGTTATCATCACCGAAGTTCAAGGCAATACTGAGAAATCTGTCCAGAAGGTCATCAACGGGCCAAGACCACTACCTCAGAGCGCGCCTCGCTCGTTGCGACAGGGCTCTCAAGACGAGATGTTTGATGATATTCCAAACAAGAAGAAGAACGTGTTCCGAAGAGCGTTGAAAGGGCTTAGCATGAGAAGCACGAACGATATCGGAAAGATTGAGGACATGCTTGTCACGTTATTGGGAGAGGTGGAGGGTCTCAAAGCCGCTCAAGGTCTTAAGACTGATACTGGCGACAACTACAGCGAATCTCAGCAGGAGGGGAATTATGAACATGACCGTGGTTACGAACCCGAGGGTAACGCGGGTACATCAACTGCAAGTCACGCAAGCCAGTCAGGTCATCTTTCTATTCCAGGATCACGGGGACCTAGCGCAGCCAGAGGATTTGATACCCGTAAATTCTCGGATCATCGAATCAGCACAGTTCCAGAAGGTAGCGACGAAGACGAAGTTGACAACCGCGATATTGACCTCGAACCCCATGAACAAGCTGTTTTAATAACTCAATTCGAGAACAACGACCGCCTTCGAACACCTACCCAGGAGTCTCATCGGGGAAGTTCAGCTCCATTAGGTACACCTCCTCAGCAAAATGTTGCTCCAGCCTCGCTAAGCAACGAAAACACGCCGCGGACGGATAAAAGTAAGAAGCACAAATCAAGCAGCTCATCTGGTTGGATACCAAAAGTATCTCGCTGGTCTGAGACTACCACATCCACACTTTTCCGAGGATTCCGCAGTAGTGGTCGAAGTAGTGGTAAGAAGGGTGATGAACAATTCGAAGAACAACCTTCGAGATCTGGGTCAGATTCGGGCGATTATGCTGAGAAGACCGGACACGATCCCTATGGCGATGACAAACTTCATTCTGGATTTTCACAAGAACAGGTGCAGCAGTACGACGAGAACGAGTCTCCCTCACTCTTGCCACCTGAGGATCCAAAATACAAAGCCCATCGAAATTCTTTGAACCTTCAACACCCTCAACCACGCCCAGGTCCAACTCACAGATATCAGACCGCTCTTGAGTATCAAGCTCCCTTTTACGACCAGCCAATGTCACCTACTTCCCTTGACTGGGGTTCTTCCACAAGTGTCAATCGTTTACCAGCTCAAAAAGCCAACCGATACAGTACTGGGACCAACAATACTGATTTGTCACCTGTTTCCGATGGTGGCTACCCAAACACGGCATCATTAAATCAAGCCCCTGCCCGACCACCAAAAGAACCTTTAACACCAGAACGACCACCAAAAATCCGTACCGGCAAGCTCCAGAAGCCAAGTCCTCTCAGCCGTGAACATCTTTCGCCCGAGCCCAAGGCATTCGAGGAATATGAACAAGGTGGTTCTCCCAGATCTGCCGCCCGAAAGCTTTCCGGTGCTATGGGTGGTGTACCAACGAGAAAACCTACCGGTCCAAGGAGTATGAGTAGTGCATCTAGAAGTGGTGAAGGATTAAATAGAGATGAAACAGTCATTCGCAGAAATAAAAACCGAGGTATATATCACTCATTCGAAAATCTCAAGGCAACTTACTAATGTTCCACAGACACATTCGGCACAGTCGCAAGTCATAATAGCGGAGAGTCTGAAACTTTTTAAAAAGAGCGCTTTTTTGAACAATGAACCACACATAATGAAGAAAATCCCTCATACCTACCCAAAAATTAGATGATTGAAAATATGCAAAGGGGGCTGATTGGCGTTTATTTTGAATGCACAATTTTTTTAATTCATGCAATTGAATTGGTATATACCACGACATCTTTTTTTGAGCTACGTGCTACTGGTAGCATGATGGTTGGTTCTGTGGTTTTGCGATTTGAGATGGTGGGGTGTGTGTTAGGATATGACTTTATGATACTTGATTTGCGGTTGTTTTACGCATGGGGAGGGGGTGGAAATGGGGTGGGTGTGGTAGATAGGAGAGATTTGTTGTGTTGTTGTGTGAGGGAGGATGGTGGAATGAAATATACTTTGACCTTCTAGATGAGTCGAGCTTGTGTATTGATGGTCGTGCTGCGTGATTTCTAAGCCATACCTTGATTGAAACTCATGCCCGTCTCCTGAAAAAAAAAGAATCTCCTGATCACTGACCTTAATACCTCATCATCCTTCCATGACCTCTAAACTCCCCAATTTCGGTTCGAATCTCTTCTAATATCTACCACCTCCCTGAATTATCGTATTGCAACACCTGATCATCATGACCTTCCATACTCACATTCTCAATCTCAAGCCAAGCAAAGAGTTTCACCTAACTACATCCTCTGCATTTGCTTCTCCCCCTCGCTTAGTCTAGAAATAACGTTCATCGACGAGCGTAGAACGATCGGTCCTGATATACGCAATAAAAGCCCCCCTCCCTTGACTCTCAAGTGTATAGCCACTCACAATACCACATTTTCTAGAACGGACCTTGCGGGAGATTTGGGTTTTATATGTATCTGGAGCGTGTCTGTGGAATATACTCACTATGAGCAAGTGTCTGAAGAGTAACTCATGTCTAGATAGCGGACCAGGGTATGAGATTATCAGGACTCATCGAGAAGAAGTCAGGAGCGTGGGAAGAGGGTTTTTGGAAGGTAAATTTAAAGTGTATATGAAGGAGAAGGAGAAGGAGAGGTTTGTGTGGTAGGCCTGGGAAAGTGCGGTGGGGTGGGTTGCAGTGGGGGTTGAGATAATTGATGGCTATTAATGAATTCTGAGAATTCTTGATGATGTCGAAGGAGGATATCTGAATAATCATCCTCTGAAACCAAAACCATACCATCCTGTTTACCCATCCCGTTCCACAAACCCCCACAGCCGCCCCGCACCAACACCCCTTCACCGCAGAATGTGGATCCCAACCCCCAATCACCACGATCTGCCTAAGTATTCACGTTCCACGAAACTATAAAGGGGTTCTGTTGCATGTCGCACCTTTCCGATCTATCAAGAGATTGGTTCGATCTATCAAGAGAAGCATGGCTACACAACAAGCTTCATATAACAAACATTTTTCTGTATTAATTCTTTATACCGCAAAACTTGTTTGGATGTCTATTCATTGGTATGGCAATACCGAGAAGAGGAAGATGTCTAATTTCCAGAGTTCGCTGTGTTCCTCATACTTCGTAACAGAAGTTGGAAGTTGAAACAGAGCAATCTCACGGTAGGCATATTTGTTTATCATTGGTTTTTACGGGAGTACGTGGTATTCCCCTTTAGACAATAATCATACACATTTCTGGAGACGTTGAGTGTTAGAGACACTGAAATCTGTAGAAGTTGTTTGGGCGAACTTTCACATATAAAGATTAAGTCCCAAAGCTCCTATCACAAAAGGAGTTGTGTATTAAGTATCTGACCAACAATAATTCAAACAGATATCCGACATTCCAGGTGTTTCTTATCCGGATTCAACAGCAACGCAGTGAACCCCTAATGTAGAACGCCAAAGTAAACCATAACTTATATTACATACAGAAAATCAACTGTCCAACTCCTCATAACCAATTATCTAGAAACGCCAATCAACTTCAGTAAAATACTCACTCTGAGTCACTCAAAGAAAACCGCTTTGATGCTCATCGGAGTACGGAAATTACTTGTCGTGCTGGGAGGTTCAAAAACTGTGAAAATTTTGACATGTGTAGTTCCGTCAGAGATAGATTTGATGAGTTAGTGATGTGGAAGGGAAGGAGCTGCGTTTATGTAGCGATCTAGTGCTTCGAGATCCTAACATCATATGGAGAACGCCAAAGACAGAGACTGATACAGCTATTTGACAAATTTGGTTGGTTGCCGGAACCAGGCATTAAACTGTGTAGTGGATGGGTAGGAATGAAGATCACGGGAACGTTGCAACTGCTGAGCTCTCCATTTACATGGGATATCAGATTATTAAAGCCAATTCATTATCATAATACAGAACCCCTAACATTAGAATCTCGCCTCAACCTTCTTCTCCGTATCCTGCAGCGCCCACTGACTCGCCTTACTCTTACTCCTCACGCTCGTCGCCTGCGTCTCCGTAAACCCCTTTGCCTCAACAGCGGGGTTATAACCCAATTTATTCCTCTGCCCAATCTCCGCACTGCTGACTTCAGTCGCCTCTTTCCCATCTGCGCGTTTGTACACTGTGCAAACAACGGCACCGCCAAGACCTAAGTTGTGTTGCAATGCGACTTTAGTGTTGGGAGTGAGACGGTTGTTGGCCCAGCCTCGTAAGTGCCAGACCAGTTCGGCGCACTGAGCAATTCCGGAAGCTCCTAGTGGGTGACCTTTGGAGATGAGACCACCGGAAGGGTTAACAACGACTTTGCCTCCATATGTGATATCGCCATTTCGGACCATTTCATGAGCTTTACCGGGTGGGCTTAGGCCTAAAGCATCAATGGTGATCATCTCGTTAGCAGAGAAGCAGTCATGTAACTCGCAGACTTTCACATCTGCTGGCGTGTGACCGGCTTCCTTCAATGCGGTCGCAGCGGCGTATTTGGACATTTCGAATCCCATCAAGTCAATCGCTGATTTGGAGAACAGACTTGGTGCATCAGTGGCCATGCATTGTCCTGCGATCAAGATGGCTTGGTCTTTAAGATGTGGACGAGCGTCAAGGAAATCTTGTGAGACGAGAACAGCAGCTGCTCCTCCGTCCGATGTTGGGCAACATTGGAGCATGGTCAGAGGCTCGTGGATCATCTTGGATTTCATTACTTGTTCCAAGGTGTAGACATCTTTGAATTGAGAGTATGGATTTCGCTGCGAGTGCTCGTGGTTTATGCGAGCAATCTCCGCAAAGTCCTCTGCTTTGGCGCCATATCTATGGTGTTGATTAGCTTAGGACGGTTGAGCTGCGAATTGGACTTACTTCTCCATGTACTCCCGACCAGCATTCCCAAACATTTGTGCAGCACCTGGGGCATTGGTAATGCCTCTGGTCTCCGACATCATCTTCGTAGTCGTACCAGTAGGATTTTCCCTATCATTCCAGAAGCTCTGAAGACTTCCCGGGTTCATCTTCTCAAACCCAACCACGAGCATACAATCAGCGCCTCCATGGCTGATGATGTTCCGCGCCATATGTAATCCCGTCGACCCGGTCGAGCAATTGTTGTTGACATTGTATATAGGAATTTGGGTCATGCCGAATTGGTAGAATACTCGCTGTCCACAGGTTGAGTCGCCATAGCAGTAACAAGCAACTCCTTGGTCAACATCGTCGTAGTTGATCTGCGCATCAAGCATAGCCTTGACACCCGCTTCAAAACCAAGTTCTGTATAATCAACCTTGCCTCTAGGCTTGATGAACTTGGTCATGCCAACGCCTAGGACGTAGCATGGCTCGTTGCGTTTAATAACCATCTTCGCGAAGAGGTGTGTATATACAGGTAAGGAAGAGTACTATTCGTGTAGGAGGGTATCAAATGTGATATTGAATAGCCAGCGATAGGACATCAATCGTGATCATTTAAAGTAGGGAAAGAAAAACAGAGCAGATAAATAAAGATTCCCATCGTTGTTGTACGTCGTTCTCCCCAAGGCAAATCGGATTCGGCATGGGGGTAAAACGCGGGGATAGCCTCGGTAGACGGTACACAGCTGAACACATGCTAGCAGGGGTACACATTTCCTATTACAGTACACAGGGGGTGCACGGATTCGTTTCTCGCTTATCTAAGCACAACTTCTAATTCTCAGGAATCACGATAATCAACTTAATAACTTCATTAATTAAGATGCCGACCACAACACGCTCGCAGATGCGTCTTACGACGCCAGATAGACCTATTCCTGTGAAAGTTGCTACTATAAGAATAAGGAGTCGATTCTTTCAATCCTTCGAAGATAATCACGCGACGCAAACGATGGCTACGATTTGTACCCCTTTTAGCATCACTTCACGAACAGGCTAGAATTGGCTCAAAAAGGTCGAAAAGCTAGGCTCCCCAGGTACTAGGCGTACACGGAAGCTTTCTATAAGGCTCGGAATGCCTTCATCTATTAAAAAAGAGACCGTTGAGATACTTTTATCGCTGTCGCGAAACCCTGTCCGAAACCAGACCTACGAGGCTTAAATTAAATTTCACAACTTACCCGTCAAGCCACGCCAGCTACGAAACAAGATAGCAGACTATACAAAGAATACTCGGCGCTACAAGATGGCCTATACAAATAGTTCGTTTAAGCAATACTACGTCGATAATCGTCGGAAACACGGCCAAAAGTATCAAGGCAAGACGGTCGAGAACACCTTCTAATGGTGGGTCTTTTCGGACGAGGCGCACCTCGATCCAGGTCAACAGTAAGCTGGTTTTATCCTCCGGGAAGAAGGAACAAGATTTGACCCGGATAACATACAAATGGCGGGCAAAAAGATAGGTAACGTTTTCTACGTTTCCGGGTAGGCAAATTGGTATGCGCTGGCGCCGGAATTGACCTTCTACCACGACGAGGAACCTTATATTGAATAGCCGAAGCGTCCTAGGAAGCCTAGGCGTTTAAAGTATAAAAGCGAAGAGTAATATGGCGAAGAAATCGCAGCCTAGAACGCTTTGGCTCTACACCCGAAAGAGGTCAAGCCGAAGGGTAACTCGATAACCGGAAAGTACTATACTGAGAAGATTTTGCCTGGGCTACTCGAAGCCGTACATGGGCTACGCCGGCGCTTTGATTTAGAAGGGAAAGAGTACTAATTCGTCTTATTAGAGGATAATGATCGAAGTTATAGCTATACCCTCCCTTACCGTCCTAAAACTCTACAGGACAAGCTCAAAATAGCTGTAAACGTCGAGATAATTGACTATCCTCCCCTGTCGCCAGATGTCAACTGTCAGGAGCCTGTTTAGAACATCTTAAAGGCTCGAGTTCGACAAAGAATCTAGAATACGATAGAGGAATACAAGGCTGTGATTCAGGACGAATATAGTAAGATAACGCTCGAGGAGGTGCGCAAAAGGATCCGTGAAATGCCTAACAGGATGAACTAACTTGTAGAGCGTCCTGACAAGATAATTAAGAGCGATATCTGGTAGCGTTGTGAATATATTCAATTATTTGATCTGTAGATAGCCTCAAATTCATGAAGTTGTGCTTAATAAGCGAGAAACGAATCCGTGCACCCCCTGTGGTAGTAGAATTGAATATAAATCAGATTGTACGAATCTGGATCTCTATACATGGATAAGATATGGGTTGGGCGAGATACCAAACTCATTAAAATCCAATATCTTAAAGTAGAGTGGAACGTAAACTATGTGTGTAAAGACGGCTTGACAAAAACCAACAAAGCTATTCTGCAGGTCCGCTGAAGAATATGCGAGAGTATGGGCTTGGGATTTGAAAAATGTTAAATTTCCGATTTTTCTCCATAAGAGTCCATTACGTTAAAATATTGGTTCAGACTCATGCCCTCGACGTTCTTTGAGTGATTTCCACAGTATATGCAAGCGGTATTGGCAACCGAGCAGCGGATTACTATTCATTCTGCTACACGTAGATACGATTGCGCAAGTCTAGCTTACATGTCCGCCTGTATGGCCGTATCATTGGAATGAAATGGCCAGAAACGATTGAGAGGAAGTAAAGAATTGATGAGTTCAAAGGGTGGCTAATAGCAATGAGAGCTACGTAGATACTCGCCTAGGGCAAGAAGCAGTAAAAAGACTGTTGTGCGTGCGAAAGCACAGATGATTGACCTAAGGTGACCCTAGAGCCCTTATGAAGTATCAGCTGTGGACTTGACCAAAGTGCCTCATGTACGCAGTAATCGCATATAGAAATTTGTCCTGTTAACCATCGCATTGTACCAAGTCTAATGTTCATAATTCATATCCTCCATCCAAGTCTATTCGCGACTTGATCACGTATGCGCTTTCATTGCCATATCGATGTCATGCCTCCATTCCTCAGCATATCCGCCACCTACTCGGCCTTGATCAAATCAACACTCTTCTTCTCCCCATCAGCCTCACCCCCAGTAACCTTCTTGCCCGTCTTCTGGATAGTCTGCAGAACCTTCTCGTACGACAGCGATTCCTCGGCAACGATCTTTGCGGTCTGGGTTTCGAGGGAGACTTCGTATGATTTGACACCTATGATCATATTAGCATCGCGCGCAAATGGGCGCAAAGTAGGCGCAAACTCGCCTTCGAGTTTTCCAAGGACTCTGTTAACGGCACCAGAGCATCCGCCACAGCTCATGGTGATGTCAAATTTGTAGTTGTGTTCAGACATGGTGACTGGTGTTGGGTGTAGAAATTGAAGGTGTGGTGATGCGATGGTGGGGTAACTTTAGTTGCGTAATGAGGAAACTCGGAATCTTTAGCTTCAAGAAATAGAGGAGTGGCAGGTCTTTGTATTTTAAGTTTTGTTCGTGTTTGGTCGTCCGTCAGGATTTGTTGGTAAGTACGTTAAAAGTAGACATGGTCACAAAGGCAAGCAGCTCTTTAATAAATCAACCCCTCGGTTGGCTTAGAAATCCGAGCTCGCCATCTGAAACTTGCTCATTATCTGACACCAACACACTCTTTGACGGACGCGGCTATGCCAAATGACGGAGACTTAATTAAAGTCTCCTTTGATTCAGTTCTTCCGGATTGGGTGTTAATTGTCTTTTTATTTTTAGTATGATAAGGTCTGATATCTCGTGAGCAAGTTTCTGATATGTTTCAGCCGGTGGGGTGGATTGCCAAGGGATGAATCTGTATGCATGGACGATGAGCTGCAGATGATGCGATTGAGGCGGGATTGGTGATTATTGGCAAATCAGCGAGCTTTCGAGGGCTTATTCAGGAATATTGAATTCTCTATATGGGTGTTTTCAAGGCACGTTTTTTCATGGTGTGTGTTGCGAATGATTGAACAAGTTCAAAATAAGTCGCGACAACAATTTCATACCTGATAGTGATATTAAAGATATGTAGTAGGTGATGCTATTTATGCTGTCTATCATACGATGGAGCGTACGTGTTACTGAGGTACAAGATCCGGCATATCATCAAAATCCGGGTCTTCCTCATCCACCAAATCGGGCATACCCTCATAATATTCGGCACTTTGCTCTATCAATGAATCTGGCATCTCGTCGCCAGGATCAAAGTCAGTATCAGTTCCTTCGTCTTCAGTCCATTCATCATCTTCATCGTCATCATTTGCGCCCGGCCAGATCATGTTCATCAATCTCCTGGCGAGAGATATCGGTACCGGAACTGTTCCATTTGGAGGTCTTTCACCTTCCTCGTTGGCCATAGCATGTTCTATTTCTCGTCTGACATCTTCATCATCTATGTCGCCATCATCGTTGCCGGGTTGACGTAAACCCGGTAATAGGCGAGCTAATGCTGCCAATGGATTGAAGAAATCTCCCCCAAGATCGTTCTCACCGGTTCCGTCGTCCAATGCACGTCGTTGGCTTTCGTAAGAATAGGTGTTCATTACTGGTGGTAGAGGGTCCGCATCGGAATTGTTGCTTCGGTGAAGAAGCGCGGATGGCGCTAAAGCCATAAGTGCTGGAGTGTTATCTAGATAGACAAACCGAACCACATCTAATGACATTCTGCTGTTATCGAGTATGGGTATTGAAGCGACGTTGATCTTGGGTACCGTATGTGCTATTTCCATAAGTAGTGCGGTAGCTTCGGGTGTATTCCATAAATCTTTGGCCTGGCGAACGTAAATTTCTGTAAACAGACTTTCCGCATCTGACCTTGCTTCAATTCCCCATATAGATGGAGGAGCGTCTAGATTCAGATCCTTGAAGAGGCGACAGAACAGCCAGGGAACCGTCTGCATTGATTCTGTTAACAGCTTTCGGGACTGCTTTCCCTCTTTCAAGGACATGGCAGCGATTGCTAACGAGGGTTTGAAATGTGACATTACATCAGCACTTTCCTCATCAGCCGTATCTAGATGTTGCCAGTCCTTAGGAAGGTCGCTTTCGAACATGTCTAAGAGCCAATTGAATTCGTGAGCTCGCAAAGCAAGATGATGGATCATCAATCGCATGCAGTAGGGATCTTCTTCAGGATCAAAACTTAGCAGGAGCTTCGCCCATTCTAGCGCTGTTCTGTAAGTTCCTTTCATCACTAAGCTCTTGATGTACTGGTACCCAGCAAGCCAAATTTCTCTGTTTTCTGGCCGAGAAAAATCAAGTCGTGCTTTTCCGCTCGATAATTTACTGTTGAACAACGTAGTTGCTGCTCTCCCAAAAGTGAACAACGCTCTTTCAAGTAGATCTGACGACAGAGCATGATCTGTTTGGTCTTTCGCGATCTTGCTGACTTGTATGAGGAGGGAGATATGATAGGCTAGATACTTGTCAGTACGAATAATTCTGCTTAATATGATCCACCACAACTTACGATTTCGCACAAGAAGCCCTATAAGATTTTGAGGATCTCCCATTTCAACGAAACCATAGAATGCCTGTTGCAGCGCCTGATAATCTTTGTTGTGATCGAATCTGAACTCAACTGTGCCATCTGTTGTTCGCGGATCATCTGCTACCACCATAGTCAAACCACCAGTAGGAGCCTTTGGCCAATCATCCTTTCCTTGTATGAGATTATTACGTCGCAAGGTGAGTTCTGGCAAGCCTTTTCCAGGCGCATGTCTTCCTTTCAGCGCCGTTTCCAAATCAACCTGCTGGTTCTGGCCTCGCTGTCTATTCCGCTGTCCTCTAGCATGTCCTCCCGGCTCATCTTGGACTTCTACTGCAGCCTTCCCAAACAAACTCCTCATCTCATTCGCGACTTTGAGATGCTGTGTAGTAATCCCTAACAACGCGCACACCCTTTCATACTCGGCGTTGATGGGAGCCTTTCTAGCGCTGTCAGTCCCAGATGGTGACTTCAAATTCAATTCCCTTAATGCTTTGTCTATATCGTCGGCGTCATTTTTAGAATCCGCCAGTGCCTGTTCCGTGTCCTTTACTTTAGTCTTCGCTTTCTTCTTCTTTTTCGACTTCTTGACCTTCTTCTGAGCTACGACAGGTGTTGCTTCTACAGCGGCAGCTGGTTCCTCTGCCTCCGAGTCTTCCTCATCTTCTTCTGCTCCCTGGTCTTCCAATGCCGCTAAGTTCGCAAACAGGCTCGCCTTCGATTTCGCGGGCACAACTGGCTCGTCCTCGGATTCTTCTGCTTCCTCCGCTTCAGCCTGAAGCTTCGCTTGTTCGAGTTCGCGTTGCTGTTGCAACTTCCGCAGCTGTCTACTCGACATGGTGAGAAAATTAAGAGGAGGGGTCTGACTAGGACAACGAAAGGGGCGGGGTGTCTGATGGTTGATAAATTTGAAGCTCAAAAATTCGGGGGATGACGCATTGAAGATGGAGGGGCATCAATCACAGATGCCCACTAATAAGCCACGGTGCAGCCCGCCCTGCTTGCACTTGCCGCCCGAAGCAGCACTGAAGCACATGATCATGGGTAGATTGCAGTTGCTCTGCATCGCGAGTCCCCAAGGAACACAGGCCGTGTCTGCGTTACTCGGGGAAATTGTAACTTCTTACAATGCAACAATAGTCCATGTACACTCACTTTCGACCTGTCACTCATTTGGCATAAAGTTAATTCCAATACAAAGGCTCAACCCTGAGTCCTTAGCGACCAGACCCTTCTAAGCTTCAACTAGTCGGGCCTCACACACAGCTCGCAACTCACAACTCACGGCCAAATGCGTCGAGCGGCTGTCAAAGTACTCCGGACGGCGTGTCTAACACCATCGCGAAACATTGCTCTCCGTAGTAAAGGTGGGTTTCTTCCTTCGAGCTATGTGCTAGGTGTTCGATACGCCTCGGGACGGTCAGAATCGGTATCTAGAGTAGAGGCAACAGTCAAGGCGCAATCTCCAATGTACTTCCGCAGGTTCTCTGTCGCGCTGGTATCTGGTCTAGTTGGATATGGAGCTTGGTACACATACAAAGGGCAAAATGCAGGTTTAGCAAATGTTAAGGACCTAAGCACTATATCCTCAACGCCGACCGCAACTAGTCCGCAATCTAGGGCCGTATCGACCACTTCAACCTATTCATTATCACAACCCGCGGAAACTACAGAGGCTGTAGAGAGGAAAGCGGTCATCATTGGGGCAGACAATCTGTATACTGGCGCACTTTCGGGGAACGAGCCCATCACGAAGGATACAGACGATTCAGGGAGGAAGATTGTAGAAATGTTGACTCCGGATGAAGCCACTCAGAAGCTTCGGCGCAATGAAGAATCATATCTAGTTGGTCGTGGAAAGGGCGTTGTGAGATACGATGTTGTTCAAATACCTAGCAATGATCCCATTGAGGATGATCATTCCGAGAAAATTATTGAGCTCCCTCAAGCTCTAGCAACATCCAGTCCTACTAGTGATTGGATGTTCTGGGGTGTTTTTGATGGCCATTCGTACGTACCTTCCAGACCGTATAATCAATATGCTAATTTATTATAGCGGATGGACTACATCTGCGAAACTTCGACAGGTTCTTATAAACTTTGTCGCACGAGAGCTGAATTCTACCTACAAAACTGCACTTAACGACCCAAGTATCCAAACGCCTCCATCGGAAGCCATCGAGGCAGCAATAAAAACAGGCTTTAACCGGCTCGACCACGAGATCGTACACGAGAGCGTGGAGAAAGTGCTCAAGGCAGGTTCGAAATTAGTCGCTGCGGAAACCTTAGCACCAGCATTGTCAGGTTCCTGCGCTCTTCTATCATTCTATGACAGCAACACAAAGCTTTTGCGTGTTGCTTGCACTGGAGATTCCCGAGCTGTTCTTGGTCGACGAGGAGAAAGTGGGAAATGGGTTGCGACACCACTCTCAGTTGATCAGACTGGTAGTAACCCCGATGAGGAAGCTAGAATGCGAAAACTTCACCCAGGAGAGGATCACGTTATTCGACGAGGTCGCGTCTTAGGTGGCCTCGAACCCACTCGAGCATTCGGTGATGCTACTTACAAATGGTCGCGTGAGGTGTCCGAGAAGCTGAAGAGGTCCTTTTTCGGTAGAACGCCTTCTGAGCTTCTTCGCACGCCACCTTATGTTACCGCTGAACCTGTCGTCACTACCACCAAGATCCAGCCTGAAAAGGGCGATTTCGTTGTGATGGCGACTGATGGTTTGTGGGAAATGCTTACCAACGAGGAAGTTGTTGGTTTAGTTGGCCAATGGATTGAAAAGCAGTCGGCAGAAAAGAATAGTACCATGGCAAGTTCATGGGTCAAGATGTTTTCTCAACAAAAGGGTCTTCCGGTGGAGCAAGATAAGGGTAAGCCTGAAGTTGGCGGGCAAAAGTCTCCCATTAGACAGCAGCAGTGGGGCGTAAAGGGAGGCGAGAGTGAGAGGTTCGTTGTCGAGGACAAGAACGTTGCAACTCACCTAGTCCGAAATGCTTTAGGTGGTAAGGATAAGGACATGGTGTGTGCCTTGTTGACGTTACCTGCTCCATATTCCAGGCGTTATCGGTAAGTTATCCTGTCAAACGCATAGTTCTCAGCTAACCTTTCACAGTGACGATTTGACAGTAGAAGTTATCTTCTTTGGAAATAGTGATAAGAGCGGCGATGTCGTCGTTAATAAGGAGGCTAGTGCTTCAGCGAAGGACATCAAGGCGAAGCTATAATATGGCCATTTTCAAGAACTATACCTAAGAGTGTGGAAAATCTATGGTTGGGGCTTCTGTTTTCATGATGGTTTCTTGGATTTGGTGATCCAAATGTCAGTACTTATTAGCATGGCGCAACTTGTGTGGATGTGTTTGGTACAATATATACTTGCATTTCGTTACCCATTACCTATCACCCATCACCCAGCTCTAGTGGTGAGTGCTTGTTAATATCAGACAAGAAACGTAAACACAATATATTACCATATCTTCAATCGAAATCAGGTAAATTTCTGTGTTCAATGAGTCCATTCTGTATCCATTTGCCAAAGTTTGCTTAATTCGCTTTTGCTTCTGGGGTTTATTTTCAAAACTGGGTGGTACCGCGACTGCACTTTTTCACGTTATCGATTGCCGTAATTTAACCGCTCCTATCATGGAATTTGCGAGTCGTGTACTTCAACCATTCCTTCTCTTCGACCCTTCCTCGGACCATGACAATAAGTGCCCAGACGCTTTCCTATTTTGCATCATAAGTCCTCGACTGATACAATGGAACATGATCCATTAGATATGAAAGTTGTCATTTCTCCAATCAATATTTAACCCTGAAATCGCCTAACTTTCGCCATCTCCAAATCCTGGTAATACAAGATGCCTCGAAGTTTCGCCAGATCAAATTCTTGTGTAGACATCGATTTCACTTTACGGAGAAAGTTCAAGAAAACAGCGTTCAGGTCAGCATTTTATAGGTTTGTTTGATGGTATGGCGCTTACTGGCCACTAGACCTCTTCAACGTGAAGTCATTGTTGCGGCATTAGATGGTCACGATGTTTTCGTACAGGCGGCTACGAGTTTTGGGAAGAGCATGTGCTTCCAGTTGCCGGCCCTCATAGATCATGGAAGTGAGTGTAATTACTTCATCGGAATTCTCCTTTCGCAGTTATTCTTATTCTGATGTTACTCAAAGTCACCATTGTCATTTCTCCGCTGCTGTCTCTAATGGTGAGTGTATTCCACAAGCTTCAAAAAAACTTGTGTCCTAATTTCTTTAGACCGACCAAGTAAATGCATTGAAAGCATCAGATATAGACGCTGGTTCGATCAACGGGAACACACCATATGCCGAAAAGCAAAGACTCCTGCGAGATCTTGCAACCGGTCACCCTTTTACTCGACTTCTTTACGTGACACCTGAACAATGTGCGACAGACAGCTTCAAGAGACACTTAGGAGTCGTCTATGAGCAGCGAGAACTAGCACGTATAGCCGTTGATGAAGCTCATTGTATATCTGAATGGGGTCACGACTTTCGCCCGTCGTTCAAACAGCTCAAGTGGTTCCGTCAGAATCTACCTGACGTTCCTATTATTTGTCTCACTGCGACTGCGACTCCAAAAGTGCGTCAAGATGTCATTACCACACTCGGTCTTTCGGAAGCAAATCTCAAAGTCTTCACAATGACTACGAGTAGAAAGAATATACACTATGAGGTAAGGTTCAAATCAGACGAAGAGGATCATTACAGTGACTTCTTGCGATGGCTTAAAGGCATACACAAACGCCGTTCAGAAAACCCTGCACGCCGAGCTGAGCTCGAAAAGAATAATGAACGCCTTGATAATGTATCGGGTATAATCTACACCCTCTTCCGAAACGATTGCGAAGCCCTTGCCGCACGTCTCCGCTCTGATGGAATAGGTGCCAAACCCTATCACGCAGGTCTTCCCAACGACGAAAAGAACGAAACGTTGCATCGTTGGGTAAACAACGATAAAGGTTACGATGTGGTTGTCGCAACCACCGCTTTCGGCATGGGAATCGACAAGGAAAACGTCCGATTCGTAGTGCACTGGCAATTGCCAAAGTCTTTCGAGGGCTTTTATCAAGAAGCTGGCAGGGCGGGGCGAGATGGAAAGGCGAGTGCTTGTGTGCTTTACTACAGCAGGGAGGACCGAGATAGGGCGTACAGTCGACTCAGCAAAGAAAAGGATAGTAGTAATCTCGAAAGTAGACTTTCCAGCTTACAGGCATTGGTCAAATATAGTGAGGCTACGGATACCTGTCGGCATCAGATGATCTGTGCGTATTTTGGAGAGAAGGAAATACCGGAGTGTGAATATGCTTGTGATTGGCATAAAGATGCGAAGGCGTTGAGGAGGGCTAAGGAGATGGGGCTACAGTCTGAGGATTGGGTTAGTACGCAGAGGGACTTGGGGAGGTTTGATAGGGGGTATGACGGGTACGACTGAAGGGTTCTTAGGGTCCACTTCTTCGCGAACCAGAAGGGGAATCAGAGTTATGGACGGATGTCAACTTGCAAAATGCGTCGCTTATCATAGCTGTGATTTTGATACCTGCCACTATCACAACGGAGGTATTGGCTGTACTAAAAGCAGGAGAGTGACTATTAAGGTACAGGAATGAAACGATTGCAAACATGTATACTAGATAGATAAATATATTTTTCTCGGAGGATTGGGTACACTTGTGGCCTCTTGAACTCAGCTAAAGACCTAGAAATTTGCAAACTTTTGAAATTTTCATTGCCCTCGGAGTGTTTTAGTGTATATCCACCCAGCGAAACAAAACATTGAGTTGAAGCGTTCAGGGAGTGAGCAGGTTTTGTTGCATTTCGCATGTGGCTTGTTTCCTTCCGTCGGTTTGGTAGAACGAGCCACAACCCTTTCTCAACCGTCGTTTAAGAAAACTTTCCTGTGCATCGAGCTAAGTTGGTGAATGTAAGTTGATCTTTAGAGCCGATCGGGTCGGAGACGAGGTGTTTTGTTGCATGTCGCACCTAATAATCCATTTGGAAAGGGACACTCTCTGTTACATGAGATGATATACTCCTTACACACATATACTGTATCGTGCTTCTTCCTATATGGCATAAAGACATAGTCACATTTGCTCGTATTCGATGGATCTCTTTCATTTACTGACGAACATCGAGACGAGTACTGATCTTCTCATAATTTTTTGGTAATCTTGTAAAAACGGTACTACTCTCAGTAACGGAATTTGAGTCGGCGAGAATTTGAAATTAATATCTTGTATAGTATGAATTGGATGCAAGTAGTGTTCCGGGTCTATTCTAGGAGGTGATGAGGAGTCACTATATTTGAAAAGATAATAAAACGCAGGCAAAATCCTAATTCCCTATTTTAGCTAAATTGTGCAAATGCTGTGATAGGCTCGGGATTTTTTCGATCTTCGAGATGAGTTGGAACGTTTCCTTCCTCAAATCAAGGGATGTAAATTTGTCGAATCCACTACAATCAACCACAAAACGTGACTTTGTCATTGTATGTACTTTTAGGGAAGATGCTGAAGGGGGGTGCGAATAATACATCTGCTATACCTTGTTCATATGTTTTACCTCACTATGTATTAATGATCAAAAGTGTTGTCAAGACTTGTCAGACGTGAATGGTTACGAGAACAACGTATATGAACTTGCCTGGATGAATCATGAAAAGTCTTGTTGCATATCGTAGCAAACCGATCTATCAATGATTTTCCAGTACTAAGATCGCTTCAGGGTCTGCAATTATTGAAGTCATTCACAGCTGAACACAAAACCATTCACCGACTGATTCAAAGTGAGCATGAGGTGGTTTTGTTGCACATCGCACTGATTACGGAAGTAGAAAAGAGACAATGATATTCATGGAGGCAAATTCGAAAGAGACATGTTGTTGAGGTGATGTCTTCAGTAACTGATACAAGCGAATGTGAGGCGGGTTTTGCTGCATGTCGGACGCGATGTACAGATACAATTGAGAGAATCATAATTCGAGTCCCGATAGAGAAATTTTTTGTGACGGAAGTAACCGCTGAGAAAGACACAAACAGAAGTCGAGGGGGATTCGTGTATTTTTTTGTGCCGATTCAACATACTCGACTTCTAGTTAACCCCAAAACATGTATGTCACATTCTCCAGAATTCTCCAGACTTTAATTACATTCACCTAAAATATCATACACAAAGCCCAGCCTCCTCGTTCCTAAAGTGGACTAGCATGATGTATATAGTGAGTGCGACATGTAATAAACAAGTATATTTAATAATCCTTCTTTACTTTATATCTTAGTAACTTGAAAAATATAGCCTTATTACTTTCTAAAAGGGAAGATAAAGTCTATATAGTAATTGCGAAATGTAACAAAACTCCACTAGAGAGATAACTCTTTCTTCACTTTAGATCTTCTTAATTCATATTACTTATCCGTCTCTAGGTACTTTCTAAATACGAAGAAACAGTCTATATAGTAACTACGATATGTAACGAAACTTGAAACCCGCAGACTTCTACAAAGCACTTCTTTACATCCTCACTTTCTACTTTAGTAATTTTCACTATATAGACTTCCTAAAAGGGAAGAAACAGCCTATATAGTAAGTGCGAAATGCAACAAAACTCCTTAAGCGAATATACTTCTTCACTTTCTATCTTCGTCTCTTACCCTATATAGACTTCCCAAACAGGAAATACAGTCTATATAGTGAGTGCGACATGCAACAAAACTTGCCCAAATGATGTCAATACGCACTTTAGAGTGAATATTTCCCAACGAGGACTGGAAGGTGAATATCTCCCAAAGCAGGTTTGTTATAGAGGGACATTGTTTTGTTGCATGTCGCAGTCGGTCCACGGAGGATACGCAGAGGGTACGCAGAGGGTACGTAGAGGAGGGGTACATAGATAGGAGAAGTAAAAATTCTTGTTGCATATCGCAGGAGCTTTGGGTATGGAGAGGGTACGGAGAGGGTACGCAGCAGGGTACATAGATGATTCTATAGAGGAGTAAATGTTTGTTGCACATCGCAGCGGCTTTGATACGGAGAGGGTACGCAGAGGGTACAGAAGAGCTCACTGCCGGTATACCGCCAGCAAACGGGTTCAAAATTGATGAGGAGCTGTGTGTTTTCAAATAGGATGGTCACCTCTCAAGGGGGGCTACGATCGCTCCGCCAGATACAGATAAGTATAGATTATTTTATTTGTGTTAATATTTGATTATATATATACGCTTATGCTAATTTTTCTCTTACGTTATAAACTCCAGACAATGCAAATACCAAATCTACCCATCCAAAACGCCTCGCAAAGTTACGCATTACACATCTCACAATACCAACACCAATCCAACCGCTCCAGCAACAGCCAAAAACAAAGAACTTGTCGTGGTCTTCATTCCCGCTGAAGTACTAGCAAGCCCACAGCACGCCCTATCATACGTAACATTGTTGTGTCGCGCCGCAACCTCAAACACACTTCCCTTCCCAACGTTATAGTAATCCACATTCAAAAACTTGGGCTGATATCCATAAGCTGTAGCACATTGCTCAGTAGTTACTCCAAGCGATCCAAAACCGGTAACGTTATTCGTGACGTTCAAAAGCGGCACGTATGGAACCAGAAGGTTTACACCGAGAAGATCGATATCGTAGTTCAGATTATGATTCATCAGATACATGCGGTTTTGAATTTCCTCGCCATTCAGTCCTGGTGGTCTTTGAACGTCGCAGGGGAAAGATCGGTTGGTGGGATCGAATGCTGTTTCCCAGACGGAGGAGAACTCATCTATGAACCATGGATAGGCAGTCTGGTTCGTATCGTAGTCGAGGAACATAACCACGCGCTGACCACGGATGATCATGTTTTGAAGGGTTGGCCAGTCGTTAATTCCCATGGGGATTTTTGGAGGAGTGTAGATGTAGTCAAGAATGCCCGTGGATTCGATGAATGGGACGTAAAGGTCTACAAGGGAGTAGTTTCCGTTTCCGAGCAGGATGGTGACCACGTCGTACGGGTGGGATTGTACCCATTCTCGAACTTCGGTGAGCCAATCTGTGATTGGACCGGCATCGAGGACATCGCAGGATGAGTGGCAGAAATGAGGGACGTCGCCCACGAAATGCATTTGACCTTGAAGTAAACGAATTCCATCGTTCAATTGTGTCGTCACTGGAAGTGCTTGATTTGCGGCAGCGTTTCCAGGTTTGACGAAAGGAGAGTTATGGGCAGCGACTTCGGTGATGTTGGAGTAACTTCGAGAGCAGAACTCAGGCCAATTGTTACATGGTGTCATGTTTGTTGGCTGCGCAGCCGCTGATGTACTTGCGGTTGCATTTCTTGAACCAGTGACGGTAGATGAAGATCTTGGAGCTCCTGAAAGGAATGTTCGCGAATCTGTAGTCGAAGAAGATACTGAGGATGTGCCTGACGTAGATGAGTTGCTTCCTGCCAAAAGTGTTCCGATCCCAAGAATTGTTGATGATCCTAAAGTTGTGGTTCGCGTAGAGGAGCCACTGGATACTGTTGATACGATAACAGAGGTGGAAATAGGAGATGAAGTTTCTCTCGTAATGGTCGTCGAGATTGTCAGATAATTGCCTGTGGGTGTTGCTAACTCGCTCAATGTTACTGAACCTGAGCTGGTGGTTCTGCTGTCGCTGATGGTGGGTATATCGGTAACTTGGGCGTTTGCCGCGATGGCGAACAGCAACGCAATTGGAACTTGTCGAAAGACCATGATGGCGAGAAGGATACGTTATACTATTGTTGCTTGCCAGCCTCGACGAAATTCCCCCAAGGCGGAAGATGTTCAACTTCTTTACCCTTCAGTCGTGGAAGGCGAAGCTTTTCGAGTCTGATGGGAAATCTTCAATGGAGTTCTGGAGACTCCGGATGTGGTCGACGTCAATAGACTCAATACCGCTAAGAGATTGTTAGATCGATTCTAGAGCATCGGCATCTTTTCTGGCTGTGACTGCTATTATTATTGCAAGGTCAATGCCTGCTGGGCAAACTGAAAATTGGTTGTGTTGTTTGAGATATTATTTTTGAAGCTATGACGTCGACGTGCAAGTCAGGGGCATCTAGCACAAAGGTAACACGGCCAGTACCGTGCATTTGAATGCAAAGCGTTGAGACTTTTTACTTACTTACAATAATCGTAAGGCCGAAATGCCGAATTATCAATAGGGCCGAAGTTGCAGTACTTGGAGAGCTATAAAAATCTAGAACGCTGCTCATGCTATTCTTTTCCCTCTGGTGTTGTTTCTTTAGCCCATCTCCGGAAGGCACGGCGTGTTGCGGAAAAGTAGTGCTCTCCTTACACCTGACTAGTAACCCAACAGCCTGTCTTGTGTCTTAAGATGGCTTGTTAAGTTACTTGGTACCTTAAATCGGACGAGTCCAAGTATGAAATAGGTTGCAAGCCAACGTTCCAATGTCAGATATGTCTCGTCACCAACGGGGCTGAGCTTCGTATTAGTATCTTATCGTTGAGTACCAAAAGACGGCCATTGGTGGTGCAGCAAATGATACCCTATATCCCTCTAATTCAGATGATGAAGATGATTTCTGCTAACAGTCGCTGCAAAACTTTATTCTCATCTAATGATCTATTTGAACTAGGTCTTGTCATGGCTAGAACCGCACACCCCCAGCATCCCGCCAGTCCCCCAACGCACAGGCACAACCGGGGACAAAAGGATGCCCAGATCTGCTCCAGGTTGTTTAAGCTGCCGGTTCCGACGCATCAAGGCGCTGAAGTGGCTTCTGACATGGCTCTTCGACAGCGAATGAAAGCCCCTTTTCAGCGCCCGCCAACCCAAGCGAGATCTTGGATGACGTTGAGTTCGGGATATTTTCTGTTCTTTGATTTGGGCCAAGACATGAATTCCAAAAAGATTGAAAATAGGGCGCTTGAACAGAAAACATATGGTCTGGATCATGTATAATAGATACTAGATAAGCGAGGAGAATTGACTAAATGTAAACAATGAATCGGTGGCGTGGCGGAAACTCCCCCGTCGACTGGCCAATCCACCCAGTCAAGACGCGCAACGGATCACCGCACCCCTCGACCGATGATGTCGATACGACACGGGCCCAGAGTTTCGTCCTGGGAGCAAGCTACTATTTGCTAGGGGCAGATACATTTTTCTTCCACGACTCGTAAATTCTGGTCAACAACTTCATAATTGTCTCCCATTTCGAACATCGTGGTTGGCAGTGCCAATTGAGATTGTGGAAATGCCGCTTCCTTCATTCAAGTCTCTGGGTGCGAGACGGAGAGAGAACAGGGCTCAAGTGCCGGTTCAAACGAATGATGGCGTTCATGATGGAGTGGCAGGACAGGATATATCCTCAGATCGAACTTTGACACCAAGTTTCTCGCCGGGAGTAAACATCAAACGAGCAACTCGAACACGGAAAATATGGATTATGATCTCCAGCTTTCTCTTCTTCGTATCCCTAATTTTCCTCATCCTCGTAAGTCTTCTCAATTCCAAATAACCCAATTCAAGACTAACAAAAGAACCACAGGTTTTAATCGGAAACCTCAACGACCGTCCCGTCCTCCGCGACACCTACTTCTTCACCCTCGACCTCGCCAACATCCTCCCCGTCTCCGCACCCGACGACATCATGTTCGTCAACTCGCTCGCCCGCTCCCTCGGCCTCCACGATTTCTACCAAGTCGGGCTCTGGAATTTCTGCGAAGGCTACAACAACGAAGGCATAACCTACTGTTCGCCCCACCAAACCCTGTACTGGTTCAATCCGGTTGAGATCCTGCTCAACGAACTTCTATCCGGCGCTACTATCACTTTACCAGCTGACATCAATGACATCCTGGATTTGATCAAGATCGCAAGTCATATCATGTTTGGTTTCTTCCTGACAGGAGCATGTATGAATTTCGTAAACATCTTCCTCGCTTACATCACGCTTTACTCACGCTGGTGGTCTCTCTTTTTCGTCATCTGGTCTTTCATCTCCACGCTCATGACCGTGGCAGCGGCGATCATCGCAACCGTCATGTTCATTATCTTCCGCAACGTAATCACGAGCCAGGAGAGCTTAAACATCGGTGCGGCGGTGGGAACGCAGATGTTTGCGTTCATGTGGACGGCGGCGGCGATGAGTTTGATTGCGTGGATCATTCATTTGTGTTTGAGTTGCTGTTGTGCGAGCAGGAGGGATGTGAAGAGTGGCAGAAAAAGAGGAAGTGGAAAGGCGTATGGGGATGTGGCGGCGGATGAGAAGAAGGAGAAGATTGGGAAGAAGAAGAAGTTCGGGAGTAGTATGTTTTCGTCGAGGAAGAGTGAGAGTGTTTGAAGTGGTGAGAGGCTGGTAATGTGTATGAATTGGTTTGCAGGGAATCGGCGTTATAGAAAGGTAAGCATAATGTCTCAAGGCGTTGGAATTCGAAGCGTGTCATATATAGTATATAAAGTTTGATATAATTGTTCAGAAGGCGCAAAAGTACACTTCACAAATCTACAGAATCTCACATGCACTCGGGAATATATACTTTCTGCTACTGAATCTGTTCTTGCAACTCAAACCCATACAAACGATTACCTAAGGTACGTTCTAACTTCTTCTCATTACCATTCCAGCCTCCGAAGTCAAAGCCCCGAGTCACTTAAACACCAAACCCATTCCCAATCCCTCAGACTCCTCAATCCAGACACCTTCACCCCTCGAAAGATTACATATTCTATCCTCAGAAAATCCATTCAACCTCTTTGCGACATGCAACAAACCACACTCCTTGACAAGACATAGCCTCCATTGTTGCTTGAAAAGAAGACCGCTGTTGGTTTCCCTAACCAGAAGTTCTAGCATCCCCTAGAATGAGTTTTTTTAACTTGGGATGAAGGAATCAGATGTTGCTCAATCTGTAGAACAAACTAGGGATAGTAAATGCAGGCATCAGATGTGCAGTTTTTCAAGTGAGTAAAATGGCAGGATAGTATCATTACCTATGATCTCTAGTGTCTTATTAAACATATGACCACTCACTCAACTCCCCTTCCTTTTCACCACCACCATAAATTTCAAACCCCCTCTTACGGACCAGTCACTCAGTCCTATTCAATTCACTGCCATATCCCAAGTATTTCTTAATATATACCATTAGGAGCTGGAAGGGAAGATTTACCTTTATTTTCACATCACCCAATGTAGTTGGGGATATTTCATTGGAAAGGATGTTCACATTAAGAAACTAAGCTCATATCACGCATGGTTTGTGTCATATGAGTGTGTTTGGGGAGGCATGGATGTATTAGGAATGGCTTGTAAAGGATAGGTAGTGGGTCAACTCATTCTCTGAACGTCTATGAGAGTTGATGGCCGCTCGAATATTCCTGATCTAGAATGTCTACCCGCTTCAAAATAAACATCCTAAGCTAGAATGACTTGAATGGGATGAGAAACATGTGGTTTACGAGGTGGATTAGTTCGTGAAGAACAATCATTGTTTGCCACATCCACAAGCCGAAAAGAACACTATCCCAAATGCTCTAGAATGCTTCTAATATTTGCTGATGGTTCTAGTCACATTAACTGCCTCCGGCACACAGTAACACCACTCGGGTCTGGTTTTGATGGCATGATCAATGCAGATATATTTCGTTCGCAAATGTCCTCATGCTAGACCATCATTCCTTCATGAAGCCATTGCACCGTTGCAAACTGAACACCATATCTCCCATTGAATAGTCCCCATCGCAAGAAAAAAGCCAGGTACAGGATTGAAAAATTGTCGATTCGTAATCTACGATCTTGGCTTCTCCTTCTTCTCCTTCCACAGCGCTGAAAGACCAACTCCGGAAACCTTGACGACCTTGAATCGCACACCAGGAATATCTCCCTTTGCCTTTCCCTTACGACCGAAACCTGCAAGAAGAACCTCGTCGTTCTCGTCTACGAAGTTGAGACAACCATCGTTAGGTACTGAGAAATGACATGTTAGTCCCTGGTTCTGATACAGCTTTCCTGACATAATTTTTCCGCCATGAAACCACTCCGTTCTAATCCCACAATACCAAGCTATCCCATATCCTCTTAAAATGTAACTGAAATTATCTCCACTCACCGAAAGCAGTAACCTTCTTTCCGTTCTTGATCAACTGAACTCTGACACACTTTCGGATAGCGGAGTTTGGCTGTTTGGCCTCGACACCGACTTTCTCGAGAACGATACCCTTGGCGTGGGATGATCCTCCGAATGGTGAAGACTTGAAAGCGGTTCCCAGAGCACGCTTCTTGTATGAAAGATCCGCCCAACGCTGCTCACGACGGTGGTTGCTGAGCTTTCTTCCGGCCAATAATCCACTACGCACTTATTAGAAACTGTTCCAGATATATTGCATGACTCTAATTGTCGCCGTCGATATTTTGAAGCTATTGATGCGGAAGGGATTCGTACCGTGGCTTTCCTTTACCCATGATTGCTATATCTGAGTTAGCGTCAAGTCCTAACTTCGTCGCACAAACCACTTCTATGCAATCGTGGAATAGCAATGGTTACATACCGGTTTATGGCGTTATGGGATTGTCGTTGGGTGTTGTTGTCGTGGACTTGAAAATTCGAGGTTTAACGATTGTGCAAAACTACGGTGGTGGGCGCACCCACCCTGCTAAGAATTTAGCGAGCCAAAACTTAGCTAATTACACGTGATCTTTCAATTGCCCAGAATGCGACCGCTGGCTTGCTCCCTGCGCAAACCCATACGACGAAGCCAATCCAGTCGCTATCCCATAGATTGCTGACGACGCTGACAGCACCGCGCCGCCGACATTCCAGACATGTAAAATGTCTCAGCAAGATTCGTCTCCAAAGACGAAATCAAAACCCTTGAGAGAGCCTCCCCCAGCTTTATTCTTGGGGCCTCCTTCTCAAAATGCATCTCACGTATCGCTACCAGGTTTACCAACAGTAGCGCCTCCAACAAGTACTGCTCAGAATTCTTCGCTGAATCCAAGTCGTGCGCCGTTGATCCGCCAGAGATCACTCCGGATGCCGCCCACACGATCGAGTGATGGGGCTCCAGAATCTCTCTTAGGGTCGAATTTACCTAGACCCGCTCTGACGAGACAGCAACAGGAGTCGGAAGGGAAGAGACAGGCTGATAGAACCGATGCGTTATGGGCTGAGATGCAGGGTACGCTGGAGGAGGTTGAGTTGAGTGCAGTCAATGGAACACACGTCTTTGGACCTGAGCATGGAAAGGCATTGGATGAACTGAGGTCGGCGCAAATTGGACTTGCGCAGGCTTGGGCAAGAAGTGAGGCCGACGAGGCCGTGGAAGGAACAGACAAGGAAAGCAAAGTAAAGGGAGGGTTGACACTGGGTAGTGAAGGCAGAAGCGCCCTGGAAGCGGTTGGAAGTACGGTTACAGGAAGTATACGACCCGGGAGTAGCAGTGGTGGTATTGCTGCTGCTGAGAGGAGAGGAAGCAAGTTGGAGGAAGAAACCGAAGCGGACGTCCTCCTGGCACGCAAAAGGCGAGAAGCCAATGATCGATACTTTCAAAGAGTCAACGCTGGGGTCCTGGACGTCGTTGCTAAACTAGAGGAAGTTGCTGCTGCTATGAGAGCGGTTGAGCAAGAGAGTAGGGACATATGGGGTGAAAGCGAGAGTGCAGCGACAAGCATTCGTAACGAGTAACTTTGTGAGATCTTAATTTAGCGATGGCGTTGGGGCTGCTATATTTTGGGTGGTGTCCCTCTTGTAAATTAGGACCTTGATCCTTATACGTTGACCATATCTCTACAGCTTAAACATGCTTATTTCTATGTGGCGGGTATCTGATGCTGCGCTGGTATATTCTTCGTTATTCCCTGTACATTCCAGCAATTTCATCTCGATCGCCCAATTCCCAATCTATACATCGTAACGCATCCGTAGTTTCCATTCGGTGAGCTATGCCACCATCTCCCACGCCCCCGTAACGCCAAAATCCCATCAGCCTCTTATTTCCCCAAGAACAAGGAGCCCTACCCGACTTAGTTTCTGGCCCTTGGATATCTGCCCGAGGGTGACTTACAGCCATAACAACACAACACATACTAATATACGGACTCAGTCGTTCCCCTATTCTCGCACATTTCCAGAAGACTCCAGTGAAAGCCCTACGTCCTGTTAATCTTGACTTACTGTCTCGTGGTGGGATCCCTACCCTTCCTTATTTCTGTCCATAAAACCTGGGAACAATTGGTGAACATATGCGCTGGTGCAGATGAGGAGGAGGAGCACGAGGAGTGCGGATTGGAAGTTGAAGAGGGCAGACTGTGAAGGCAGTCAGCATGTAGAGTACAGGAGCGCGATATTGTGTAGCATGCCATTTTGACTGAAAGCGACACTTTGCGATCTGGAATAAGGTGAGTTGTGATACCGGTGTTTTTGAGAACACGCTGTAGAGGGCAGCGCATTCAGGCAGGCTTGAATACAGCCGAGGATGTACCGAGCTACCCTCAGCCTTGTACAGTACTTTGCACAAGTACAGCTTCATCCTATCATCAAATCTACAAGACCTCTACACAACTACAATTCGCCCTCATTGCCAACCTTCAAGCCATACCAAACACTGAAGTCATATCAAAATGGAACCACGCGCTCGTGTTGGCAAAAACCGCGGTCAACAAAACTTCAGCGACAGAGAACGTAGGTTCCCTCACTTCTCGTCCCTCTACTTGCTCAATTAACATATCCGCCTCCAGTTGACAGCTTTCTATATGCCTTCGGCGACGTCCACACCCCTCTCGAAGGCACACGCAAAGTCCTAGACGAACTCCTCACCGACTTCGTTACCGAAATTTGTTTCGAAGCAGCGCGCTCCGCGACCCTCGCCGGTCGCCAGAAAGTCAAACTCGACGACATAAAGTTCACATGCAGGAAGAATCCAAAGTATCTGGGCAAGATTCAGGATACGCTCGATAAGAAGAGCGAGATTGATAAGGCGAAGAAGCTGGTGGATATGAATGATGATAAGATTACGAAGAGTGATGTTAAAGGGTTGGAGGAGGAATTGGGGGATGGTGATGATGACGACGAGAAAGTTACGTTGGGGGGACGGAGTAGTAAGAAATAAGGGCTGAAGGGTGATTTTGTGAGTATATATTTGGGATTGGGATCTGGTTGGCGTTTGGTTTGCATTTGGGAAGATACCCGGATAGATTATGGGAACTGATCATGGACTTTGCATTTTCCAATCTCTCCAAATAGTCTCTCATGCGAGAGCCACGGGCTTTTTCAACAGTGTGCAAGTGCTAGAATCCTTTGCCCACGAAGGTCTGCCGTTAATCTTGGTTTAGGTCTAGCATTTCCCAAGCTATATTGAAGCTATACCAACTGAGGCAATGGCCTCGAGAGGGATTCAGCAGCGGGCGACCTTGTCCTTTTCGTCCGCAACCAGGGACGAAAGTTACATTGAAACTTACCTAGGTACCTATGCCTGGTTGTTGTTCAACTTCTATTGGCTTTTGGACTGGCATCACGGTTTCCGTGTCGTATGCACCACGCCCAACCGCCTGTGGTTGATTGGAGTTGGGATTAATGTCAGATTTTATCTATCAAGTTCACTCGATTCCGATTTCCTTGCTCTGTGGATGGAACCCGACATGGGATAATGCATTGCCTGAAGCAAATGCGAATGACATGCCCTCGAGGGGTGTTTCAACACTCTTCTGCTTCAAAGGTATTCGGCGGTGAGCACGCTGGAACAAGATTCCAATTCCGGAAATAGAATGTAATATTTCACTTCCAACAGCAGTAAGGAGTTCATTCATTTTGAGTAACTCTACTATGCAAATATTACTGCAACATCATTACGCTACAGTCGCTTTACATAGCCAAGCAAATGCACACGATACCGATAACGGACGTGGGGTCGTCACTCCAATCGGGAAGCCTGCCACCATAAGAACACCAACCCGGATATCCTTCCCCGCCTCGTTCACACTTTTTGACATTCGTCACAAGCCAAAATCATACATCATCCATCAACACTTTGGAAGGCCAACAGAGGACGAGAAGATTGCTGTCGCTACATATCCAATCATGTCCAGACACAATCAGAGCAAAGCTCTAATGTCTTATTCGACAATATCAAAGCCAACGAGCTTGAGGAGACGCACTTGAGGAGTTGGCCGTTGCCGCAATCCTATAACCGTTTAGCGCTTCCTCTCATGGTTGACGGCAACTTGGTCTAGTTGCAGAGAGTAATTCTCCACTTCTTCACCGTCGCGGAGCTTTCTATTTGCGGAGGACATGAGCCACCATTTTGTAAGTGATTCCGCACATTAGGACGTCTTTGGCAGAGTCATTGACGTCGTCCCTTTCTGCTTCTTACCATGTATCTTCGAGGATCTCTGTATACCTTCGTTTCCCTTGTTGCGATGAGTCCAGGTAAAGATGTTGTCTCCTTCAATCCCTGCACAGAATGATTCTTCCTCTATCAAACCGGAAATCACTGCTTCTATCCACGAAGATAATCGGTTGGACTCATTCCAAAATGTACCCTCGCACTTCGATGCCGCAACCAACGTTGACCTAAACCAAACGTACCTCCCCCCAAAATCATCCAACACTGCTCTCCTAAATCCAGACTCGTTCCGCCGTTTATCAATAAGCACCATCTCCTCCTACCCATCTCGAAACCCGTCACCATATCCACCTCCACCAACCACCTTCAAAGGCAAAGCTTCTGCCTTCTGGAATCGCAATTATGGGTTGTTTCTGGTTGCCCTATCCCAGCTATTTGGAGCTCTCATGAATGTCACAACTCGGTTGTTGGAGCTGGAGGACGGGGGAATGCATCCTCTACAGATTCTGTTTGCGAGAATGGGCTTGACAATGGTATTTTGTTGTGCATGGATGTGGTGGAAGAAAGTACCCAATTTTTTGCTCGGAGAGAGAGGCATTAGATGGTTATTATTGGCAAGGGGCTTTAGCGGATTTTTTGGTATCTATGGGATGTATTGTATGTTTTCAATGCGATTGTCTCGTATTACAGTCTTCCATATTCTGACAAGAGACCAAAAATGAATACTAACCTTCACAGACTCACTTCAATACCTACCCATCGCCGACGCAGTGGTGATTACCTTCCTCGCACCATCAGTAGCCTCCTATGGGTGCTCAATCTTCCTTCGCGAACCCTTCCCTCGAACGGCCCAATACGCTTCCCTCATTTCCCTCCTTGGAGTTATTCTCATAGCACGTCCAACCTCCTTCTTCACATCCCCAGAAGCAACTCCTTCTCCTCCTCCTCAAACCAACGGTACCTCTACCTACCACGAAGACTTTCCAACCCCAACAAACTCCCAGCGCCTCGCAGCCCTCGCCGTGGCCCTCCTCGGCGTCCTCGGTGCTGCCGGCGCTTTCACCACCATACGCTTGATCGGCCACCGCGCCCACCCCCTCATCTCCGTAAACTACTTCGCCTTCTTCTGCACCACAATCTCACTCACCTGTCTCACCCTTCCCATCCCATACTCCCCCTCTTTCGCACTCCCAAACGGGTTCAGACAGTGGTGTATGCTCTTATTCCTCGGAATATGTGGTTTTGTAATGCAATTCATGCTCACGAAAGGGCTGGCCGTAGGCGGGAGAGGCGAGGGTGGTAGAGCGACCAACATGATTTATTGTAATATGCTTTTTGCGTTGGCGTTGGATAAAGTGGTTTTTGGAGTTAGTCCTGGGTGGTGGAGTTTAGGCGGGAGTGGTCTTATTCTCGGGAGTGCGGTTTGGGTTGCTGTTGGGAGGAATAATGGGGGGAAGGAGAGTGGCAGGGAGAGGGTGATGGGTGAAGAGGAGATGGGGCTGATGATGGAGGTTCATGGGAGGGATGCCCAGAGGGGGAGGAGTTTTGAGGAGTCGAGGATACCTAGGTAGTTTGATTGATCTGGGAGTTATATAGATTGGTGTAGATTTTAATATAGATGAGCTATACAAGATACTTAATAAATGTCAATCAACCTTTAGTCATCAGATACTTAGATGCGTCCAAAATGTAAGGAGAAGCCTTGTCTGAGAGGCCAACGGTTCTGGCAAAAGATTGAACGCATCAAGGTTCAGAACATGTGCCTTGGCTGTCTAGTTGAGTATTTACTTATTTTCAATCCAAACTACGAATGTCTTCGAACTTTCCCGAGCGACATACCAAACCCGCTCCCCAATAGGTACATAAAGAACGACAAGAAAGCGTTTCCAATCACCAAGCACACCTCACTCATCTAAACCATCTCACACACCAGCCTGCACCAAAACCTCCTTCGCACCACCCCTCCCCCGTCCAAGCACCTCTTTCGCACTAACCACACCCTCCACAACAGCTCTCCCACCCGCAATCAACGGCGGCGATCCCCTATATCCCCCAATACTCGCACCCAACAACGCACTCCTATCCCGCACCACACTACCATTTACTGCCTCCACGCTCCGCGTATACAGTTCCCTCGCACCCGGTCCTACGCCCGCAAACCGGAAATCCTGAGACGTGCTGCCGTATCCGCTACTCGTCCCTGTGGACGGCGAGCCCGCGTAAAACGCAGTTCCGTTTTGTGTTGTGGAGAGCGACGTTCCTTCGAGTCCTTCCGTCGAGAGCGTGGTGTGAAAGGGCTGGAGACCCGTTGGAAAGACGGGCGAGCCTGAGATATCGAGGTTCAATCCGTGGGAAAGGTCCGCGGCGATGGTAAAGTTCGTGCTGGCGTCGACGAGGTACGTGGTATTCGCGTACAGCGGGTAGCTGTAGGAGGACTTGTAGTACGTGCCGCCTGTGCTTTGGTCGAGGCCGGTGGTGGTCTGGTTGTTGACTTGGATGGCGCCGAAGAGGGTGTAGAGGCCGTAGTTCTTGACGGAGAGGGACTGTGTCCAGGATACGAGACGCGTGCCGGTTTCGGTGGTGAGGAGGGAGGAGATGGAGAGCGTCCGCGAGACGTTGATGGTGTATTCGAGGGTTTCGTTGGCGCCGCTGGGGGATTGGGTCGAGGTTTGCGAGATGGAGATCACGGGGGCGGGGAGGAGGACGGTGGGTTCTCGTCCGCTTGTGATTGCAGAGGGCGAGTCTTGCCAGATGAATATCTTGCCGGTGACATACCAGGATGATCCGACGGTTTGGGTTAATGTGCCTGTCTCTCCGTCATCGTCGAGGCCCACTACTCTGATCTCGAAACTGTGTGATTTGCCATCACTAAGAATAGGAAGCCAAGGCGTGATGTCAATTTCGTGCTCGCGCAAATCGAATGCATCGATCCCGACAATGGGACGCCAAAGACCTGGGACTACGCCACCTGTAAAGATGACGGGGAAAGGCCATTGAACGCCTGCTAGTTGGCCGTCGATCAAGACTTGAACTTCGCGGAAAGGAGAATAGCCGTATAGTGTTCCATCGTAGGGAACGAAGGTGTTGATGTTCGACTGTAAAACGTTACCCCACCAGAACTCCTCCGTGGATTGGCCACATGCGGAGATAGAAAAAACTGCGCGGTTGACATTTTGCGGGAGGGTCAAGGTGTTGACTGCGGTGTCGGAGGGAAGCATGAATACACTTGCTGAATTGGTAGATCCTTTTCTTGCTGAGATGGGAAGAATCAGCGAGGCGGCGTTGGCATCCTCTTCGACGGTAAAGAATGTTGCTGTTAGAGTGGTGTTGAATGAACCAGTGTATACATCGTTGACTAGGTTGCCAAGATCGAATATCAACGTTTGGGGTGAGTTCCAGAAGTATAGATATTCAGTCATGTCCTTGATGTACTCCCAGCGAATACCATTGGTAGTTGGCTCTGCAGTTGAGGTTCTCCACACTTCCGTGTCGTTGAAGTACATGATGGCGAGTCGATCATATTGACGACCTCGTGAGGTAACTGTAAAGTTCATAGCGACGCGGTTGAATTTGCATTTTGGCGGTGTGTAGTTTCCTGTTGAAGCTGTGTCAGTATAGATGTAAGATGCATTCGGAAGGGTTGGACTTACCGACAAACGGCATTCCATAGGAGTATCCGAATGAGTGATCCATTAAAAGAACTTGGCAACTGCTATTCGAGCTCGAGGGCGCAATAATAGTAGTGTTCTCGGTTCCATCACTTGTGATGACTTGGTCCACCGCACCCTTTGGGAAGAGCACCGGTTGGTAGACTTGGAAGCATTCCAACACTGCTGTTGCAGGAGTAGCCAGAGTCACCTGAATTGCGTCCTTAACCAATTTGAAAGTCTTGGAGGATGAAACCGCAAGCTCTGTCTTGGTGTCGTTGGTAATAAAGCAGTCGCTAAAGCCAAACAGCAATCCGCCCCATATCGCAAGAATAGCCAAAGGTAAGTGCAATCTTCGTCGAGTTGCCCACTGTTTTGTCCTCACACCTCCCTTCTCCTCCCCACCCTCTAGCAAATACTCCAGATCATGGACGTCGCCCTTTTCCCTTGGCGATAATGATATTCCATTCGCTTGTTCCATGGTGGCCAAATTTTCCGCCTTGGTATCGTCGATTTGAGTTTTCGCAGCCATCGTGACTGTATGTACAAAGAGCACGAGTCTTCGTGACCTCGAATCCAGCCGTGGGATTCCAGTGCCCTAGTGGTATCCCACTTCTCTGATCGTGATTACTCTATGCAGTGTCAGAGACTACCAAATTATCCCAATAACGCTTCCTAGCAGCAGAAGCTAGCGCGTTCCCCGCAAAACGAGATTGAAAATAATTCAAGACTGCAAATTCATCTCTAGTCAAGATATAAGAATCTCGTTGAGCTTCAACCTTGGCCCATATAGTCGTCAGCGCAGCTTCAAGCACGTTAACGACAGCATGGTCTCGAGCTCCTTCTTCGCTATCCCTTGCGATCTCGAGTGCCTGCGGAACAGACATGGGAGCTCGAGCGGGGTAACCCCTCGTGTAGGCATGATTTCCGTTTCTTTCACCCATACTGAGGGTTGATAGGATAGCCGGATTGTGGGTAAAGATAGGAAGAAGGTCGTTGTAGGAAAGCGAGAACGAAAAGGGAAGGTCTGTCTGGTGAAAGGAGGACATTTTTTTGGGGAGAAGCAGAATAAATAGCTAGGATGTTCTATGAAGTAATGCGTGGTATGCAAAGACAAGGGAGGAAATGATTGGGATCTAATTTGCTGTGGTCCGACGTCTCTGGTTGGCCGCTTGCAGGAATAGAAGGGGTTTGACTGGGTAGCCAAGTGAGATGGGGGTAACGCCTCTTTTATTTCTCTTTTTCAAGTTCTGGCACAAAAGCTGACAGTTTTCGGAGAATGGCCACTTACTGGTTTGATGCAGAACCCTAGCTTCTACCAAAGCGTGGCACGGCAAGCTTTCGCCTGTGAGCTGCTACCCGCGAGGCTCTGTGGGTATCTGACTGTGATTAAGTCGAGGCCCTGGTCTCGAGCGGAAGCATCCACCTAAAGGTGGTTCGGATACACAGGTGATGAAGTTGCTGAGGTAGCGTTTCGATGCACGTTCGAACTGGTGGAGAATCGCTTCAGAACAAGCTCTCTGAGCGCTGGTGCTACTGTTTTGACTCGTCAATCCTCCTGAAAACATGTCAAGTGAGTCATGAGGTTGAGTATTACCTGTGATGACTAATGTATCTTCGCAGTACAAAGGGCTTGTCGAGTCGCCTGAGTATCCCGATATTGTCACAACCCGTTACCAACCTACGGAGGGTTTTCCGAGAAGCTTTACCACAGCAACCGGGTAGGAATCGTCGAAGGCCTGGTTTGTAATCGCAGGACACGATCTCAACTGCTCGGTCTAATAGGTCTGAGACTCTGACACGTCTGACGTACGCGGGCAGATGTGCCGTGAGAGCAATTACCTCGACGTCGCACTGCTTTCACGAATCGTCCTACCGAGCAAATTGATGTGTACCTTTAGTCTGGCGTCTTAACCCGCGCTTGTGTTCCAGGCTAAATAGAATTGGACGTGCTATACATCTACCGAGTAACGTTTGCGTAGAGTAAAAACACCGACACAATCCAATCGCCTGTTGTTCTCGATGACCTTCACAATCCTTTTTCACCCTGGTCGTCCCATACACCTTAACCTTTCTGGATGCTCTGTCAAGTAATGATCGACGACTGGGATGGAAATCGATTCAGTGCTCACAATCTCGGAGGCGGAGAGGCAGCTCCGACAACAATCGACATGTTGTCAATGCCAAGCCTACCACAACTTTACCAGCCTTGACTTCTCTTGTCAAGCCATTCTTTCCACAAATTTACTGTCGTCTACGCCAATGATAGCCTTTCTTCGTCCATTTGAATTCCGCTAGGGCGCAATTCAGACTCTTTGAGGACTCGTGTGACAGGAAAACGTGCTTCGGCCCACTTGAATGTGGCTCCCTCAGACGTCAACTACTGCAAAGCCTCACCTCGAGCGTTTGTACGAGTATGCTGGATGATGAAAAGTGATCCTTCAGGTGGTCTGACTACCACAGGGTTAAGAAACACTAGATACTGCCTTACTCGGTCGCCGGCAGATGAGCTTCTACGTTGCTCTAGCTTTGCAAATTCCCCTTTGCCAGACAGGATTCAAACAGCCCGCCACGCTCGTAGAAGCCTTCCAGAAGAGCTAATAATAACCAAAAGTCATCACATAATTGCATGCTTTTGTCTAGCACATTCTCTGTGGTATTTTGCAGACCTAAGGTATGCATCGGCGGGCCGTTACACTGGCTTGCCTCAGAGCCGCGATACCACAGTATAGCTTTTGACAAGCATTAACAACACTTAGTCGTTCAAGATATTTTTGTTAACGGAAATACGCAGGTAATATATTTACGAGTAATTGGTGCCGATGCTCCGACCAACTAGCCCAAAAAGACTTCAAGGGCTGGCTGTATGGAGCTCACGGCATTTCAACATATCCAATAACAAATATTATCGTTGTTCCACATAAGTTCCTAATAATGTTCATCATATGCACTTTAGGCGTCCTTCCCATGAGCTACTCGAGTTCCGTTTGACTCCAGATTGTTTTAAGTCGTTAGACTTTAACGCTTCACTCTTGGCGACGGGTCACCACCGCTCAAAGCCACAAGGATCTTACATTCGGCGATCCATACCAGCCTCTTCATTCATTATTCGATAGTAAATAGGAATTTCATTCGTTCCGGCATCAGTTCGACAACTATCTCCTATATCTGACTTGGAGCCGTACGCAGTCAGCACTCGATGTAATGTAGTCTACTAGCTATTCGGCAGCTCGGCTCCACGATTTCCATTAGGACGACAGCAAGGTTGCTCGCAAACTCTATTTTGCACGGGCATGCCATCCAACCTCATGGACCACTAAGCCTTAAATAGAAAATCTTCCGAGGCTCCAGAAGGAATGGGCTTTATCAATGTTCTCGGGGCTAGAGGCTCGATCTACTCGGCAGGGGATTTCGGTGAATAATATCCGACTACTTTGACGTATTGAGTATTGCCGGTATCCTTTTGCACCTTTCGACGTCTGTCATTGTTTCAACGTTGGTATCATGTCACCCAATCACAATGAAGCTGCGTTCATACAACAAATGTGAAGAGACTCATTTCACAATATCTAGAGACCATCTCATGTTCAAAGCACTTCCCAAACGCCCGCACTATTACACAACACGTATGTCATCATTTTGTTCTGAATTTCCATAGCTTGACTTTCAAGAAATAGGACAGTTTTCACTTTCTGGGCATTTCTGGGTGTCTCTTCCTGACTCACTTCCTGCGAACTCTCGTCGGCTTTGACACGATCTTCTGTAGGTTCATCCTCGGCTAAAATCAAAAGATTTTTGGTTTTGTTGCGAAGACGCGATCTCAAATAACATGTTCGATCGAAGAAACCCGCTAGTATCCTCGTAGGAAAGTTATCATTTAACGGAGGAAACTCGGGAAGGCTTTTGATTTTCCCTGGGGTTTTCTTCCTGCTGCATTTATTTCAGATGTTGCGTCCTAGCTTCGACTCTTAGTTTTGTGAGTATCATCGACCGTCCTTCCCGAGCAGTAGGAATCTAAAGGGAAATCTCTAAAAGATTCGCTGCTTCTCGAGAAACTAACATTCTGCTTTGTGCTTTGTGGCTATGACGCGTTGGAATATTAACTCATCTTATACATACTGGCGTCCAGTCTCAAAATTTCCAGTTCAGGAGAAAAGTCTTTGCTGCTGTTGACATGGCAATCTCAAAAATTGTCAGCTTGTTTTGATGAGGAAAAGGAAAAGCTTGAAGGGTATTTGACGTTGATCTTTTGTTATATATGGCCGGGTCTCGTCTGCTCCTTTCGTTGAGGGTGTCACCACATGCCATCGATCGAAAAGGCTTGCAGTAGGCAATTTCCTTTCTAGCAATTTCTACAAACCCCCCTGATATTTTCTATTCATGGTGCATTATGTGGCGGCCTGTTTGCTCTTGGATTTGTTTATTTTGCTTTATTCAGCCTGCTTTTGGCAGCGCAGACTCTATCCGATCTTTCATCCGAAATAAAAAGATCAGCTGTTCTTGTGGCTTGTTTAGCGTTTTCTCGTCTAGATTCAGCCCTATCTATTGTAGATCTGCTTGCGATCTAGATTCGTCTGCCACTAAAATGTTGTGGCTTGCTTGCCGTTTGTGGATCTTGTTGAATCACATGAGAAATATACTGTCTCTGTATGTTCTTGAGCACCGGCTGTTTGGTCCGGTGTACTTGGGGGTAGATGGTAAGAACTGAACATGTTTAAGTTGTGCAGTTGCAATTGCGAAGAAATTTGCTACCTTTTGAAGGTATGAAACTGTGCCAGGGCAGGAGCAAATGCGCGGCCTCCCCAGATGAAAAAATGCGACATATTTGATCTTACTTGACGTCTTCTTTTCACAGTACAAATGCGCGCGATTCTAAATCTAGGGAATGCCATTGCAGTTATCTCGTTTTGTATTGAATTATTTCTCTGCATAATTTTGTACGAAGCTGCACTTCGACAAATATCGACCGTGTGCAGCGCAATAATAGATATCTGAGATAGGAAAAGTATCTTCTTTGTGATCAATTTATAGTTTGGTTTCACTCTTTAAAGATTTGTTGTGGTGTGCTAATTTTGATTGTTGGTCGCGCCGATGCTGCTAGGTCCTTGCTGCTACGTCGTCGTTCGTCACTAACGACAAATTTACGACGTAGTCTAGACCTCATTTTAGTCAACGTGTCCATACAGTCAAACTATTTTGAATTATACTTGGTTCTCGAATTTAGTTGTAGACGGCTTCGGATTTTCAGACTTCTTACTCGTTGTTCTAACCGCCAACTGACGCTTGAGCAGCAACGTAGTGCGCGGTGGTGTTGACGATGTCTTTGATAGCTTCTTGTTCATTTCGGGAAAGGTTGGTTCAGAAAGCTTCTTCTTAACGTTTAAATTTCGCACCTCAAGAAAGATTCATCTGTGTATTTCGTCACACACCTCTTAAGATCGAAAATTTCTCTATTCTAAAGAAAAAGCCAATTTCTACAAAGCATTTTCCTCTTCCTTTTTCAGTCCCCTCTCGGCATCTTTTCACGAGATTCGTTGACACCTTCACTCTTTCAGTCTCAACAAAAACCTATCGCTCTTCGCTTCCTTCGATTGCTTCGCTTTCTTGAATCAGCCTTTGATATCTGCGAGTCGGAGGTCGCAACGGCCATCTCTTATTTAACAAATCGATTTTTCGCTCGAGGAGCATCCGAGACAGGCTTCAAGTGATCGTGTGTTTCTCGAATCAACCTTCAATCAGTACCAGTCCAAATACCAGTCCATATACACCCAAGTTCTCCTTCAGCTAGAAAAATGCTATCACAGTAAGCCTTCTCCGTCTGCGCATCCTTCACCTACCTAACGCTTTCAGTTCGTTCTACTTCCTTCTACTCAGCGCCGTCGCTTTCACCCATGCAAAACCACCAAAGAAAACAGAAATTTACAACGCCGTTTCTCCACCCCAAGCATTAGGAAACAGCAGTGTCGTTTTCGCAGGAAGACATACGCCCCCAAAACTCGATGATCTACCAAAAGATGCTTGGAAGAAGATGAACCAGACGTGTGCTACTTTAGACTACACCTTGATTTTAGACGAGATGATCTTGGGAGGAGATCCGAATTGCAAGAGCGTGGAATTGGGAGCGAAAAAAGAGGGTGAAAAGGGAGTCGCGAGGTTGGAAGTTTGTAATTGGGATGTTTGTGGGAAAGTCAAGTAAGTCATTAGCGCTCCTCGCTATAAACTTGTCTAGCTAACAAAACCAGCATTACATCTCTCTCTCCATTCTGTCACGCCCTCGCCCGACCCTTCGAAGGAATCGGAAGGAAACCATACACGGAATCCTGGAAGCTCGACCACAACCCCTCGGCAACAGTAAACATCCGTATCGACAACACAATTTCCGAGATCCCGCAGATCCTCGACTTCAAGCCGAAGTGTAATGGTTTCGAGATTCCGGAAGATGGGACGTTAGATAAGGAGAAGAAACATGAGGATAATTCGTGGGTGAGGGGGGCGAAAAAGATGTTGAGACCCTATGTGCCGGGGAGATGTCAGATGGAGAAGGAGTGTAAAATTATCAGACTAGAGGGATTGGCAGGCTTTGAGGTGATCGAAGAGACGATGGTGGATGAGGTGATGTTGGAGGATTTCGAGTGGGATTTGCAGCTGTTTGGATAAGATCTGATTAAATTATCGTGTTTCATCAACAATCTATGAAGAGTGACACTGAGTTATTTCTCATAAAATTGAACCTACTTTGTGCTACATATTAAAGTACGCAACACCAGCTGTGTTGTTACAAAATTGCGCAGACGAAATTCCATTCTTGTCCAAAAATATTTAAGCGAGGTTCTAATATCAAAATGACCCAGAGACCACAACACTTATCAGGGAAATAAAACTACTGTCGTCTCATTTCCAAGCTCATGAACTCTGATGCTCTGTCTCGATGTGTTGAGACAAAACAACTTCCGAATTCGCACCGTGCATATAGGTAAAAAAAAGTTAATAGTTGATATCAAGTAGTGAATCCACTCATCCGATCTCCCACCGACCCCCCTCCCAAACACCAAAACACCAACCCACACCACCACGTAACCGAGGCCAAAAAATCTCCAAAAAAATAGGTGGAGTACAAGTACTCATCTCGGTCATCATCCGAGTGGAGGGCACTAAGTTCTACTAAACTCGCCAACTCCCAACTCTATCACAAGGAATTAATGAGAGGGAACGACAGGGGTTAGTACGGGGAAGGGGCAACCTGCGACCTGCGTCGCCGTTAAGCAGTCGTTGAGTCTTCGAACCGTTCTGATTTGTTGAAATAAAAGAGCCGTATTGGGCGTTATAAAGGTTTAATGGTGAAGGTGAGGGTGTGGGTGTGGGTGTGTGGCAAAGGGGGAGGGGGCGTGTGGTGAATGTGAATGTGTTGAGGGTGAGGGTGAAGTGGAAATGGTCTCTGAAGATACTTATGGAGTTACAAGGGGTGATTTGAGCATAAGAAACTTGTGTGATAGTAGAATAAGTTTATTAGCCTCTTTATTTGAGGAAGTGATGTGTATGAGTACAACTAGCAAACGTATCTATAGCATATGCCCTCCTATCCTAGATTTCTGTCATAATTCGTAAGTCATAAAAGCACGATCTGCCAATCTGGTATCATATCCCAACTCCCAAATATTAACCCAAGCGCAAATCCAAACCCAAGTCTTACACATTCATCCTATCAATACCCTCTCCCACCATCCCAAACATCATCCCTGCTCCGTCTATTCCTTCTCGCCCGTTCCTCCCTCTCAATCTCCTCCTGCTCCCAGGTTGGTGTTCTAACAACCTTCCTCTCTTTACCTTTGACAAACCCTCCAACCGGATAGTCCAATACAATCCTCTTCTCATCCAACGCATTAACCCACACCGTGCGTCCTGCAACCACCTTCTCCAACCACGAATTCTTCATATGCGCAACGAGCATGTCCAACTCCTTCGTCGATACGGTAATCTCGTCTTTCCTCTTCGGCGCAAGCGCCGGTTTAGCAGCTTGCAGGCGGCGACCCAGAGATGCCACGGCCGAGGACACGGAATCTTCAATCCTCTCGACCTGGCGTAGGAGTTCGTTGAACCCAGGGTTTCCGCGTTCACCCCGAGCGATCTCATGGAGTCGGGATTTTATGTCTTCGATGTCGAGGATGGCTTCGCGAACTACTGAGCGAGACGTCTCGTCGCCGACTTCCATGCGGGAGCCGAGGAGTTTGCGAGCGGTCGAGTAGGATGTGGATATTGATTGGGAGGAGAGAGTGAGGCCGGTTTGGAGATTATCGAAGGCTCTGTGAGTGGAACCTAGACGGCGAGTGGATTGGATTGTGGTGCAGAGTTGGAGACATCCTGAGAAGTGTGTGAGGAGGGTAGTAACTTGGGTCGTTAGGGCTGTTGGGGCCATTGCTGCGGTTTTTGGTTTTCTGTAACTGTGTTTCTGATCCACGATGATGTTTGTTGGATAGACCTATGCTTAAGTGTAAATTGTAAACCAAATGAAAGTCATCTCTCACTTATATAAATGTGATCTAAAGGTCTTCAGTACCACACCTAACCCCTGCCCCCTTTCACGATCTCGCTTATGTCTCAGCCACAGACTCACCTGTTACCGGGTTTCGCTGAGCCTAGGTCACCGATTCTGACCCGTAGGTAAACCCTATTTCTTTGTGGTTTTTGTGTAGTTGGGGTCGGTGGACTGGTGACCGTGTTTCGTGACTCTTGTTAGGCTTTTTTGTTGTGTGTAGTCCTGCATTCTGTGATGAAAGTAGTGAGACTTCAACGGCTGCCTACCTTTGACAAAGGACATACTGCTTTAGCTCTCGTAGCAAGACTGAAAGAAGACGATCTCCATCTACCAACCAATACTCACAGATATGATGGACAGTATGCACCGCATATGCAGCCGGACTCCAGGAGCCATGATCCAACGACCAACGATCTCCGTCAACCGCTACCAAAAGGCGTTTGCCACGAGGTATGAGGGACGAGTGTCAAGCCACAGGGCTGAATCACTCGTGCTAGAGAAGCTTATTCTCAATGAAGCTCCAAGATGTGGCTCCGACCACCACAAACGTCCGGTCTGCCTTGTGGTTATGGTGCAAAGGTCGAGTTGTGGCGGTGTTCGGTGGTCGCGGGAGGCGTCTGACGAGTGCGGCGCGGAATGGGGGCCCTCTGATCTTCGTCATGTGAATTGTGTTCAGCCTTATTCGATGAAGTCAGAGGTTTTATTTTAGAGCGAGACTTGAGATTCCTTGAATTGACGGTATTTTGAATAGTTTTGTTTGAGTTGGTATAAGTTATTGTGAAAACCCGAAATTTGACAACTGTGTAGAATGTTGCTATTTTAGCTCAACCAGTTCATGTCCACATCCATATTCCGCCTGTTTGACAAGTCTTTCATTTTCAAGAAAGGTAGATTTGGAAACTGTGTATTTATAAGTGTCTAGCAGCAAACCTGCCTTCCCAAGGGTATAGGGGGTATAGGTAAGAGACACTCGCGACTCCGTAGCCAAGCTCTCGAATATATACAATGAATGCTCCGTTCTCCTATTTCATTCGTCAAAGTGTAATCCAGTCTGCGCCATTCTAATCATTTCAAAGCCGTCTATCTATAACCCTCCATTCTAATGCCTCCAACAATATAACGCCTGCTTTCTCTCTGCCCCAATTCAAGAACGTGAACCTCTTCTACCAACCTTCTCCAGCACAACTCTCACATCTTTCCCGGGTACCTTCGCCAGTAAACTCATGCAACTTCCACACGCACTCAAGCAACACCAACTACATCGCCATCTTTGCTCGCTGTCTTGACGTCGACATATCATGCATGCCACAGGACAGAACGAATTGCGGGCGTTTCGCATGAATCGGTGGGATTGGTAGCATTCTAATTGCACGATACTGAGAGATGGGCCGCCTGGTATAGAGTTCGAAGGAGAAAGAGGACTTGAGCTTGAACGTTGTGGAGTCAGGTACGCGGCCACGGGATAAGTTGGAAACGTGATTTTTTGGGGTGTAGGAATTCGGATGGTAGACGTTGACGCCGACGTAGGAGATGAAGTTTCGGGGGTGGATTTCGCTGTCGGCGTACTGATTATTGTTTGTGTGTCTGATGTGTCCCGTGAATGCGAGGGTGTGGACGAGTTCAGATATTCTGTTACTGGGTCCGGCGAAGAGGTGATTGAAACGCTAGGAAGAAGGGTGGTAGCGGTGCCTGTCTCGTGCGTTGAAGGGCGGGAAGATGAGTCTTGTGTTGGTGGCCTGGAGATCGTTTCGTCTGACTTTGGGCGCGAATCCGAGCGCTTTGGGACCTCAGGTGCAGCTCCTTCGATGGGCGTACGCGGCAATGGTATTGTTTGAACGATTGCATTCTCTTTCGTGGCGAGGGACTTCGGCGAGGTTAAATTTGAAGGAGAAACATTCTCATTCTGGGTCTGGGTCTGAGCTTGGTCATCGCGACTCATAGCGAATTCGTCCTCACTAGCGAAACCATCGAGCTTGCCCCGTGAATGCTTCTCCTTCAATTTCGAGATTTTGGCTCCCATCAATATGGAGTCCGTAGGTGGTTGAGGAGGTGCTGGACGTGCTGGGATGTGTTTGCGCAGCGAAGAGTTGCTGCGAGGTAGTTTGAAAGGAATGGCCGACCTGTCGGATCGCTCTTTCTGTTTTGGGGGACTGACGGCGGTCGAACCGTTGGACCGGTCGAGTTTGAGATCGGGGAATTTAATGCTCTTTTCACTTTTGGTCGACCTTCTTTTCCAGAGCTCAGTTACGGTTGGAGCGCAAGTATAGCCAGAGGAAGACTGGGCGAGTACATGAGTTTGAGGTGGTGTCTTTGGCGATCTAAGATTCCTTCTCTGCGCATCTTTTTGTGGGAGAGCAGGTGGGCCCGACTCTTCTGAATCAGCACCACTCAATGATTCTCTTTCGTCGCTGCTGGTATCCGACCCATCTGACAATCCTGGAGAGTCAGAGTAACCTGAAGATACGGCCGTCGAGACTGATGATATAGTGGTTGAGACTGAAGATGCCTTTGGTCGTCCAACTGCACCCCCGCCTACCGGTCGACGAGGAATTGTGATTGGAGCTGGCATTGCGTCTTTGGGTAATGGGGGCAGAGGTGAGTATTCTGCCTTAACGAGTCTCTTTGGTGAATAGTGTCGAGGAGCAGATGGCAGAGCTTTTGAGAAGCGCGAACGGCCTCTACCGGGGGTTTCTGGGAGTAAAGAAGCCATGTCTGTTCCTGTCCAATAGCGTGAGAGCTTCGTCTAATATCTCGAAAGTCTCGAAAGCTGCGCGACATCTGCAACGCGATCCACGGTCGAGGGCAGCCATGGCGTAGATATAAAAAGTTCTGGTGCTGGGAGAACCCTTGGCTGATGAGCGACCTGAAACGAGCCGGGTTTGATGGCATCAAATCACGTTCTCGGATCCTCAGCGTACCTGGTCCATAGAAGGGCTTGAATAGTATACCTGCTGCTGACCATTTTATGCATTCTCATGTTGCGTTGCTATTTGCTCCTCTAGGAGGGGTCATGCTCGCCAGTGACGAAAAGGGGATGCGATGCTGATGTGATGGGAGGAGGGGAGGAGGGGGCGAGGAAGATTGCGGTGCGGGAGCGACGAATTGTTGGAAAGAGATATAGTATTCGTCACAGGACCTACCTGGAAGACGACACGAGCGCTCACCTCTTTCACTTCTCCAGTCACTCCCAAGATGTTTCTAGTCGCATGTTGGTGGAAGAGACGTTTGTTGCATCCGCCCCAAAGGAGTCTCGGGCAGAGACATGACGGTCCAAGTGATGTTCGACGATGGTGAGGGAACTACTGAGAGAGTACGTGTCGACGTTGGTGGAGCTGTTTGGTGCTGTTTGGTATGCTGTAACGATTCCACGTGGGACACATCGTCGTCCGAACTTCTCAGTCTCATGTCTCTGGATGTCCGAAAGGAGTGGGAAGTTCATGTGGTCGACAGAAACGCAAATCCATCCATGCTCAGGGGAAGCGAGTCGCCAGATCTACGGTCCCGCTGCGGGGCAGAACGAGGGGATGGGACATGAGGCATAACTCCGGTACAAGAATGGAGCTTTCTAAATCGAATCAAGTCGAGTGTTTCTTTTTGAGTAATTCAAATTTCACTTGAAACATCTAGACAATGCAAAGTAGACACTAAGGCTTCAGAAACTAAGACTCTTCTAGATGGAGAGCGTGGTGGATTGGTTGTGGTCCTTGAGGAAGAGGAATTGGGAAGTCTAGAATCCTCAAATAAATTGACCCGGATTTTACCCGACCAAAGTGGTGTTTACCGTCGCGAGTCAACAAATCCCATTCAGATCTAACCACATTATGTCGGCGATCCCCTCACGAACGCGCTCACTTCGCAAACCCTCGGAGAACGGCAGCAGGCTTGGTAGGTCAATTGCGTCAGATCTCAACGAGAAAAATGCGACAACGCTTCCAGGACCACCGGAGAGGACGAGCAAATCACCTAGTCGACTACCAACGGTAAGATCAACAGCATCGAGACCTACTTCTCTATATGGCAGGCCACCAAGCTCTAGTGGCAGCACGGTTGCAAGCAAGCCATCAATTACACGCCCACCTTCCGCCAGTTCAATATCAAGTAAACCCGGGACAACAGAACTCCAGAGACGACCATCTATAACCAGACATGCAACCTCTCCCAGCACAACAGAACCCATAAAGAAAGACCGCTCGCGACCACCAGTAACTCAGTCCCGCCATCTGCGAAATGTCTCCACGAGCTCTGTATCCTCGGTTCCTCGAATACCTTCGCACACGCGCACGAAATCCTCCTCTACAATTCTAACAGCCTCCACCGCTCTTCGGCCACCATCTCAGCCTCCCGCGAAAGAGCTTCCACAACCCCGACACTTACGCTCCGATTCACAACTTAAGAAGCCCTCCTTCTCGACTCTTCAACAGCACTTCTCTCCTGCGAAAAGCCTTGCGCCAAAACCGCATCCCGCAGCTTTTCTTGCGCCGCCGTCGCCCAGTAAATTACCTTCTAATATCGCTATTACGGCCGAGACGGCAAAGTTGCAGAATGAGCTCTTACAATTACATCTTCTACACAAAGACGCGGATCTTGTCACAAAAGAGTGGAAAGCAAGTGCGAAACAGAAACTAGGTCAGAGATTCCAGGACGTAGTACAGAGGAATGACGAACTTGTGCAATTGGAAGTGCAGGAGACGGGGAATGTGAATGCGGCGGCCTTGAAGAAGTGGCATGATGACGCGGTGCTGGGCTGGGGATTAGATGAGCGAATCCAGAGACTGGACGAGCTTGTCAATGGAGTATGGAATCTAAGTTCCGAAAACGGAAAATACGCACGTGTGGTCCGCAAATTTGAACGCTGGCTCAGTCGTTCCCAATCGATCCTCTCCTCCCGTTCCGCCAATCTTGCCGAAGATGAAGTCATCTTCATAGAACCGCTAGATCCCACATGGCATGACGAATGTTTTCACATCGCGCGAAAACTCAATGAGTGGAAAGTGGTATTGAAAGATCTGGGGAGCTTGGATAAGAAGAGTAGCGTGGGAAGAGTGCTTGATGGATTTGGGGTGTTGGTTAGAGGAATGAGTGAGGAACTGACGGCTATGGGTCAAATTGAGCGAGGCGTTATGGAGAGCGAGAAGAATTGGATTAAAGAGTTGAACGACGAGGAGAGTGACGAGGAAGGGATTACTGCCGGGGCTTGTTGGAGAGCTAGGTAAGGTTGGGTCGGGTTTTGCAGTGATATTGGAGTATACATTTGGTATTGATACTAGGCGATATTGGATTATAAGCGTATACCCATGGAGTAATGCTTCTCTCCTGAAAAGGTTGGTGAGAGGATGACTAAATACATCTTAACAAACCATGATGTTCTCCTAATCACGAATTAAGTTGGATGCATTTGCATGAAACAATTTCATGTACTGCAGCCCTCGACTCCGTATCTAATCATTAAATCAGACGAGACCACTAGGCTTCAAGGAGCGTCACAGCAGGAAAGGGTATCATGCCAAAGTTTCATTCATCAGATTGCAGGAGTACTGCCATTTGATTAGTCCTTGATAATCTGGCAGATCTTCTATCTAGCACTGATGGGAAACCAAGACTAGTTTCTACTGGGACAATAACTTGGGAATTGAAAACACGGTTTCGGTGGTAAAAACAGAACATAATTCGTTTTTCGTCTCTCAACTCTCGTAATCAAGGATCACGGTCGAGAACTTTATTGTTAAGAGGACGCTTCAATCGTCCATGACAGTTGAGAGTTGCTGGACCCGGTTTGAGATAGTGCAAAGGTTCTACATCTATCCTGTGGGTTGAATTCATCGAGTGTCATTTCACGGACTTCAAGGTGTTGTTCTAATATTATGGAAGCTCAAGATTCTGTTACTGTTTTTTAGTTATTAAGTATATTTTGGCACTAGTGGGTGGAGATTAGTAGGACTTGATCGAAGTTTTATTAGCAGTCGTACTTCCTGTTGAGGTTACGATTATGTCCGTCGCAGCAGGTATCCGGCAAGTGTTCTGCAAGATTATTAGGAGACTTTCTTATAATTTTACAATCAGTGAAGCTACATCTAAACTAATATTGGTATGATAACAAAACTGAGCATTTCATATTCATCGAACTTCTTTAACCACAACTAACGTCAAGTCGCTTCCACCCATAGGCAAGTAGATCTAAGCAGGTTGGATCGCATTGAGCTAACCAGCCATAGTCGCAATACATCTTCTTTCAGGATGAATCTCAGTAGCGATCCATCTGTACATTTCTAAGATTTGTCGCTTGAACGAAGTGCGTAGCGGGTTTGCTTGGTAAATTGATCTAAATCCGGTCAACTTCTACGTGAAATTTGAGGGAATTCGCAGACAAACTTACGTCTGCGAACCTGAGGGGGAGTCGTTCGTCTCGCCGTCCGAATACGATACCTTGCTTCCCCTTCCAATTGACCAACTCTTATTTCAATATCTGGAAATTTTTCCTTTAACATGTGCAACAACACCAGACCTTGACAAGGATCGGTATGACTTCGTCGCTGGTCGACTTTGATTCTTTTGACAAGGTTTCTGGTTCTTTTAGGACGTGTCATAAGAACCGTCAGCGATTCAATTTTAATTGTTTTGAGTGCTTTCTTGGCCGTCGTCATAATTCCATAATAATTCCTGCCGATCTGTGGAAATATGAAGGACTTCATTCTGCTAGCGCCTAGGACCAAATGACGGCACTTTTGGAAATCGTCGTGGAGTAACGAGTGCTGGGGGTTGTGGGTTTGACTGTCTAAGATGCAATCTTCAAGCAGAATGTGATCCACCTCCCAATTCACATATGTTGTGCCGTACCTGTGTAGGTCACCACAATCAGGAAGCTTTTCGTAAACCTTCAAACCCTCTGCACGAGCCTCGCGGCATACATGGAGAAGTGCTGGTACAGGCGTATTAGACGGATTGTTTTCGAATTTGGTCTTGCCATGGAGAACTTCTATAACTCGGGGATTGCTACAGGTTATTTTCCAGATCATCAGACGTAGCTTGGTGGGCAGCTTTTGGAAGTAATGGAAGGTAGTCAGGTCCCCCTCAGCTAGTCGGTATCCTGCGAAGCAAGCAAATTTAGCTACTATGCGTGAAAACAGGAACAGACTTACCTCCTACAATATACTCATCTATAGTATCATCGGTATTGTTGGTTACGCCTATCGAGCCAGCCGCATTTATATGGATTGGTAGTGATGGTGAAGACATGCTGTCGCTAGTTTAATGAACCCTACGAGATTATGAGAGGAGCAGAAATCAAGTGTTCCAGTCGTACACCAATGTGCTGTTTCTGAGACGTCGACACGTAAACGAGTTCTGAGGTAGTATGGGGTTACAGCAAGACCCCAAATTGTCGATGTTGAGGGGGAAATCTCGGAAAGAAATCTCAAATCTAGGCCTGACAATATATACCGATTTCCACAACTCACCGACATAATTTGCAAGCTTTTCTAGTGAATACCTCAATTGACGTATTATCCTCGCCCACAAAATGTCCTTCCCGATCTGTAGTCCTGGGAATGAATAGGTGAGCGCATGTTACACAATTCCGTCAACCCGAGTTCTTGTCGCACAGGCCCATGGGAATCAGAAGCTCTCGGCATCAGGATTAATCTCATAAGTCGTGGTTTGATTCTCGGAGCGACTGACCGGCAATCAATGTCTAATTAAACGGCAAATGCCGCTAGACTCATTCGACTTCAATGTCTGACACACTCAAAGAGCCTGTCACTGTCAGGTCGAGCAATTCCTTACAATTTCTTGGAAGAACACAGCATTTCAACGATCTAACAAAAGGATCGAGGCAAATTCACCTCTACAGTGGCGGATCTGATAAAAAAGCTGCTTGGAACTTCTGACCTATCAAACAAGAAGTAGTAGCTGAAGGTAAATCTCGAATTATGTATTGTCAAATGTCTATCAAGAGGCTTTAATGTTTCAACATCAGTGAAGCTATATATCTGATCTGAAATAATACTGGGAAATATTGTAGAACTAAGCACTTCATATCCCTCGAAGTTCCTCCACAGCTATTGTTAAGTTTCTTTCCCCATAAGCAGGTATTTTCGGAACCACGCTAAGTCCCGTTGAGCTAGCTAGTCATGGTCTGTAATACGCATCCTGTTAGAATATTCTTGATGGCGACTTAAGTAAATTGTGACTTCCGAAACGATGCAACGGTATCTCTTTAGGACTTATCGCTTAGACGAAGTGCCTAATGGGATCGATTGTGAGTGCGACCTGTATTCTGTCAGTTCCCAGATTCCATGGAAGTCAAGATAAACCCACTCTTGCGAGGTCTATTAGAGCTCTTTGTTCGTCTTGTACGTATAAGACGATAACCTTCCTCGCCCTTCAAGATGCCAACTCTCGTTTCGACTTCTGGGTACTTTGCTTTAAACAAGGGTATGATTTTCAAAGCGACGTATATATCGTCTGCTGGAGGATCTTTGCAGTGTCTCAGTGTTTGGACAACGTTCTTGAAATACCTCTTGGTTGCCTCAACTGGGAAATCTTTCTCCCCCCACATTCCATGACATGCAGCCATGAGAATCGTCAACGTCTTGAGAGAAGATAGTTTCACGGTTCCCGCGTATCCGGGAGTTTTGTTAGGGTTGTCCCATCCCGTCCCCATCAAGTCAGGTTCCATTAGATGATAAAAATCACAATCTGACAGGACCAAGTGACGACACTTTTGGAAATCTGCATGTATCAATGGCTTCTTCATGTACCCCTGGTAGTGCAGATGATCTGGTTGCAACAGAACATGGTCGACCTCCCAATTCATATAAGTTTCTTTGTACTTGCGTAGATCCTTATAACGATATCCAAGAAGTAGCTGGTAGACCTTCAAGCCTTCGAGGCGAGCCTGACGATTTGCGTGAAGAAGTCCTGGCACGGGCGTGTTCGATGGGTTTTTTTCTGTACTTCGTCTAGAATATAAGATCTCAACAAGTCGAGGACTGTTGCACGCTTGCTTCCAGATCATCAGACGTAGCTCAATATGCAGCTTCGAGAAGCAATGGAAGGTGGACAGATCCCCCTCAGCTAGTCGGAATCCTACGAAAAGTTAGCTACTATAAACAAAAAAGTGAGCTAGACTTGCCTCCTACGATAAAGTCATCTGAAGTACCGTTGGTGTTGTTGTTTGTGTTTTTCTGGGACAGTGAAGACATGATGCCGCAAGTTTAAAGAACCCTGTTAGACTGTAAGGGGAGTAGATACTGATAAGATATTCCGGTCGCTCACGAAAGTACGCTTGTTTGAGGAGTCGAGATGTAGACTTGCTTTTAGATAAGAGAAAGAGAAAGATACTACATGAACTAGCTTTCTAGATATTTAAGCAAAATATCCTAGGTGAGGGCTGAATGTGAGGGTGAGGAGCTGATGAATCTAAAGGCAAGGGCTGAATAAATACAGCTACAAAAGCGTGATGAATCTGAAAGGCGGATTCGACGAATCAAAACTACCTCTAAAATTCGCCGACAATCTTTGAGAGGTTGATCAGTGAATGATCGAATCGACATATTCGCCTGAACCGAAAGAATGTCTGGTAAGCGACTCTGGATAGTCCCAAGAAAGCGGAGAGCCGGCTCGACTGGCTCACTAGAAAACGCGGCTGCAACCGCAACCCATCTGTGCGTCAGGACTAAATCGAATTTGGATTCTGGGAATGACTGGCCGCTTAAAACTTCCACCGGCACCTAAGAGATACTAATTGTAAGAAGTGAAAACAAAGTAATCAAAAGGCTAAAAATCTTGGAGTAAACGATACGCATAATCCTAAGTGATATCCTCTTAGCACTAATATGCTGCGATGGTTGCAGGACTTTTGCAAAGGTTCCCCCAAGGCACAAAATGCAGAATAGCGCATCTGACACACGTCTCAAGAAATTCAAGGGTCATAGAATAATAGAATATCTTCTAACAAGCAACCAAATTGCGCAAGTTCTGGACGAACTGGTATATCCTTCGCGCGCCTGAACTCCGAAATAATCAAGCGCTAAAAACCTAGATTCAAAATACCTATCCTTCCATCTAATTTCAGTATCAGGAATGATACGTGACGCTAAAAATCTTCCAGCCCATTATCTTGTGTCCAAATTCAACAACACCATCACGAACACCTAATATTTGACGCTCAACGAACTCCTTTCTTAATTCGCTTTTACCGTTCTCAATCGAGCCTGTCAATTTCCTAGCTGTGAGAACATGACCCTGTCCATTGCCGAGATCAGTGATCGCATATATTTGAGCGTTGGCTCTAGATCTTTCTAGTGTCTGATTTGTTGAAATATATGACAGATCAAAAGCACTTCGTATGTTGAAAGTATTCCCACCCTGTTCACCTACGAGGCGGAGAATCCATCTCTGGCGGATGTCTTCGTGTTTTGGGGTGGCTTTGCTAATGGTCAAATTCGAAGATTCAGTACCTTCGTTGGTCAAAGCAAAGCCGCCCATTTCGACAGTGAGGTATCGACCTTCTGTTAATGACCCTCGTACCTGTTTAAAGCCTTCTTCAACGAGCCTTGCCGGGTCCGCATTTGCATTTTCACGCCCGTACGGAACTGGTGGGTGTGCAGTCTTGTACCTCGCCTGACACATGGCGGCTCCGATGTAGTTGTCAGAATTGGAACCAAGCGGCCCGTCAGGTCTGATCTTGGGCGGGGACCACGTTAATGGAGTCTCAGCACGTGTTATGTTCGGCAAGGAAAGATCAGGCTACAAATAGAATGTTAGTATATGTGCAGTCTGACAATACAAGATGAGATGGACATGCATGATCAAAATCAAAAGCGTTTACAAGATTTGACATGTGCGCCCGCCTCCACGGTGACATCTCCTTGCTTCTAATACCCGAGTAACCCTTAGCTTCGAGCCATGTTTCGAGAAACATAATCTGAGAGGTATGATCTGCGTGTTCTGTGAATACTTGAGATCCGCGAGTCCACGGTGATATTATGTAGAATGGTAGTCTGTAGCCTGATATTCGTTAATACAAAGCCTACTAATCGAACTCTAACCATTACCTGGCCCAATCGCTGTTTCACCTACTAAGCCGTAAGGGTCTTCAATCCATTCGCCAGGCGTACCTTTTGGCGCCTGGAATGGAACGACATGGTCGCCATATCCTCCCACCTCTAGAGGGTGTGTTAACAAGGTCCCAAATCCTGCAAACCGTTTGAGCTTACCATCATAGCTAAGAATGAGCGCAGTCTCGTTGTAATTGGGACTATGGGTGACTGCGTCGACCACCTGCTTTTGTAGCCAAGCGCCATCTGATGGGAGATACGGCATGTGCTCGGCCAACTCTGCTGGCCCAACAATGATGCTAATCTCCGGAAGCTTACCTGCAGCCGCGTCTTCATAAAACCTCTTCAATCCGAGATAGGAGTTTCCTCGCTTACGAAGTTCTGAATCCTTACTCGCCTTCTGGTACTGCACGAAATACGCGAGTGAGTTGTCTTCGAAATTATCCGGATCCTGGTAGAGCTGCCAATCAACACCTGCTTCCTGCCAGTACTCGGGGATTGTCTTCCACGTAAACGGAAAGCAATTGACTCGTGGCTTTTTACAACCTAAAATTGTTAATCATCAGTGCTCACCGAGACATTGAACATACTGACCTGGTGATGCCTGATTGTCTAGAATCATGTTTCCATTCCCATCTGGATTGTTAGGAGATCCGGGGCTATTGACAGTACCACTCATCCATAACACTCGGTTTGGACTTGTTGCAGCGAGGATGCCCTCCTATAAGATGAATCAGTGACTGCGCTTATACAATCAAAGCAATAACCGACTTGATACATATCGCCAATAGTCCACCCTTCGGCGATATCAAAATGAATAGGAACATCTGCTCGGTTGAAAAAGCCCCAACTATACGGGGTATTGGTAGAAACCCACTTATTCGATAGCCCTCCGTTGAATGAAATGTGGCCAGCCTCCTAAGTAAAATGATTAGGATGGTTCTGAGTCAATGGGGTTATCAAGACAAACCCAGCTATTATCCCCTCCTCCGTAACATTGGGTCGCCTTATGCCAGTCTCCTCCTAAATAATTGATATGCCACGGAGTTAATTGTGTCACATCTGCATTTAGAAGAGATCTCTCCTTGGGTATGAATAGACTGGTATGTACAGTTAGGCTAGTTTCAAAGGCGAATAGATGAAGTAGAAAAGCATACCCCAAGAGGAAGAGCACCAATTGCCAGAGTCTCTCGAACAGGTTGAGTGACTGCAGACGTCTAGGGTTTATGTCTCCGGGATCGGTGACCAGTCTACAGAGAGGGGGGATCAGAATGTGAGCAGCAAACAAACTAGCTTTTGCCTATCGCTGCCACGGTTGAGAGGTAGCTGTGAAATGCCGACTCAGGACGGCGTATTTCTCCAACCTAGTACTACTCACTGCTGAAAAGTGGTCCTGCCGTCTGGGTTGATCTGGACATTTGGATCTGCAAAACCTCGCACACCAGCCATTGTCCCAAAATACTGTCGATAATTAGTTTTTATATCGACTTTCCGGCATCACCGGGTTAGGGTCTATCTCCCCGGGCATAACGCACATGGTTAAAGGACCTATTTTCTTGCATGAAAAGGACGACATGCTTGATGTCCTTGATCGATCCCGCAGAGGCTATGGCGGTAGAAAGGACGGCGATAGGGAGCAGAAATATTCGTGGATAATACATCTCGGCCAGGGAACGGTCACTGTTATCTGTTTTGGTCGCGGCGTATCGCCGGACAGTGTAGGAACGATGAAGTCAAGGCAAAAAGAAGGAATAACGAAGGACGGTGGTATCTAAAGGACCTGCTGGACTAGATTCACAATTCGAGCTTAAAGTATCTAATTCTGAATGTAGGAATTCAGGAGAGTCAGGAAAGGAAGCTTGTGAACAATGCAAAGTCATGACGGCAGACAAGAGGAATCTAACCAATGAATCTGGCAAGCCAAGTGCATGCGGACAATGCGGATGACAACCTTCGGGAGACGGTGGCTCGGTCGCTGTCGCTCCGCGATTTAGCATGCTCGCCCGATCGGCGAACAAAGAGCCGGGGCCGCGGATGCATCGGGACCGAAGGCCGATTCCCTTAAGTCCGGCATCGCCAAGCAACAGCGGGAGCACGACTGCCAACCAACCGTAAGCGGCGTGTGGCCGTTCATAGGTTGCCGTTTGCCGTCTGCCGTCGATTCTGGACTCCTCGTGGACACGAACCATGGTTACATAGGAATAGCTTCAAGATAGCATCTTATCGCGACGAGGAATAGATCGAGGCTGGACTTTCGTGCGAACGCTGCCTGGTGAGTGCGTAGCGTGTTTACAATCAGCTCCCGGAATGGAATCTAGCGACCTTGATGTTGCTCTCTAGAAATCGACTGTGTCTCTTGGTCGCTCTTATCGTCATCAGTGGCATTCTTTATAATGCCATTGATCGATATTTCACCACCGGCCTGCACTTTTCATTTGCTACTGGTGGGGAGCGCAACCTCGCGCATGTTTTGAGCCCACAGCATCATATCAACCGAGCACCGACGACCATTCGTCATGTGTGGAAGATCACGACTGGTTTTCGTGCCCCAGACGGTGTGAGAAAGAAGGTTTATTTGATAAATGGTCCGCTGCAAATATCTGGCGTTTGAACCCACGTGAGCTGACCTCTTTTGCAGGCCAGTTTCCCGGTCCATGGATCGAGGCTCGCTCGGGAGATGATATTGAGGTAGATATCTACAATTGGCTGACCGATGAGGGTGTTGCAATCCATTGGCATGGGCTTTGGATGCGCGGTGAGACTTGCTTCAACACGTATTGGATACTGTGCTGATTGAAACCTAGGCGCAAACGAAATGGATGGTGCTGTCGGTCTCACCCAGTCCCCCACTGGACCGTCGAAGAGCTTTACTTATAAGTTTCACATCGCTGAAGCTCAAAGTGGTTCGTTCTGGTATGCTGTTCCTGCGCGCCATCTATTTGAATACTAATTGTTATTTGCTTTAGGTACCACTCCCATTCAGAACTTCAGCGCGCAGACGGCCTTTATGGCGGCATTGTCATTCACAAGCCTGCGAGCTCGGGTGTGCCTTCTGAAAACGAAGTCCACAATTACGATCAGGATGTCGGTCTTCTTATTGGAGATTGGTATCATAGACCAAGCCATGAAGTTCAAGTTTACTATGAAGATTTCGCGAATGCGGGAAATGAGGTATGTTTTTAGGTCGTCTAAACCGAATGAATTGCTTATACAAGAAGCCTGCCCCAGATTCCCTCCTTATTAATGGACAAGGTTACTTCAATTGCTCTTTGGCCGTTCCTGCACGGCCGCTTGTGTGCCAAAAGATCATGATTCCTCAACTGAACTTGAACATCAATAACACCCGGCTGCGACTCATAAATACAGGGTAGGTACTGTTGAGATCAACAACATAAGTAAATCGATTTCCACATACTGACATCAGCAGGGCCATAGTCGGTTTCACCATCTCGATTGCTGGATATGATATGCACCTAATCGAGGTAGACGGTGGAGGCGAGGTGTCTGGCGGTCTTGGTTCGTCCTCCATCGGTGTTATATACCCTGGGGAGAGGGTAGACATCATTCTTGGACCAAACCTACACTTTGATAAAAGCAAAATGGTGATGAGTATCGAATTGGACGCTGAGTAGGTCTCGTACATAAGTATCCCAGGAAAACCGTTAAACTCATTATAGGAACTTGCGATTTCGCAACTTTGCTTTAACCGAAATACAACACTTCCCTGTCACATCACTGAGTGATACAGGCACAAGGTATGGCGGCCCAAGTATGCCGACAGAGGCATTGGCACCCCTTGACCTCGCTCGAGTGGCGGGCCCACCAAGAGTGACTACTGGGATGCCGAAAACCCCGAGTCAAACCCTTGTTCTGTACACCAAAGTTGAAATCTTGGGCGAATTTGGTAACCGCCCAAGAGGGTTTATAAACCAAAGTACGTGGGAGGCTGAACGGCTCGAGAAGATGCCTCTGTTGGCACTTGATAAGACTGCCTGGGGTAACGCCTTTGTTCCCTTTGTCAAGACGGGCGAGGACCGCTGGGTAGATATTGTGTTGAATAACTTTGACGACCGAGGACACCCGTTTCATTTGGTAAGCTCTCTTCATCATGATCATGCATTTTCTTACCATTGGCTTACAGCATGGCAACGACTTCTTCGTCTTGTCGGTTCATGAAGCGGGAATTGGAGGATATGATGAGGCATACAACCCTTTCGACACCGCGAGACCTCCAGCTGGCGGCCCTCTTAACACCATGAATCCGGTACGAAAAGATACGATATTTATTCCTGCTATGGGTTATGCGGTGCTCCGGTTCAAGGCAGACAACGAGGGGTTATGGTTCTTCCACTGCCATATATTGTGGCACCAGGCGGTTGGTATGGCCATGGCTTTGCATGTGGGAAGTGATTGATATGGTTTGTGGATTACTGCTGCCATTTCGAGCCTCGTCAAGCGCCGCCTAGGATGTGCGTGTTCTAGGTACGACAAGTTGTGATTAGGCGCGATAAAAGATTATCTTTTTTTGCTGATTTTCGTCTCTCACTCGTCCGTCCACTGGTGCTCTGTTTCTAGCAATTTCTCTGAGTGAATCTATTCGTAGATGCTTTTTCATCTGCGCCCCTGGCCAGGTTGTAGAAGTTCCGACTTCCTGCCTATCTTACTATGCGATGTCTGGCATTGACCGACAGTCCGGCTCCGACACGCTTACCTAGGTAATCTGCCGGTTCCTACAAATCGACGGTAGGCCAGATGGACACCAGACCGGTACTTTCATCAGTTCAAACGACGTGGGAATTCTCCGGGACTTATGGACTATGCTGGCCCCGTAGTGTCTGGTCCCTTCTACCTAAGTACCCAGATAAAATATACAAGCCGCGCGGTGTCCTCATATCAAACTGCGCAACCATCCATCGTACAGATATAAAATGATACAAAAATATGTTCGTCCTGTTGTTTCTTTTACCTCGAATGCGTTCCTTTCGCCACGTGTTACTAATAACTTCTAGTCCTCAAAGAAACTTGATGCTTTGAAGCTAGGCTAGAAGGCCTATCGGAGGTTGTTCCGTGACTGTGGAAATAGCACTTCTTGATGTGGTGGTGATTTTCATGAAGTGGCAAAACCCGCCTAACCTGGGTCACTTAGTAAGGTGATTTTTGACTGGCGCTGCGCTGCACCATACCCCTCATGTCCGGCTCAAGTTCTTACAGTACTTGTACTGCCCCGCACTCTGGTTTACCGCACCGCAACAATAATACAAAGTGAGTCTTCTGGTATCATTCGTTGCAAGGAGACCTTTGTCAGGCATGATCTTTCGCGGCCCACTTCCTCCAGGCTGTTCCATCGTCGCTACCTCTCTGGTCCATCACAGTCCAGCCCATTCAGCTAGGTGATTTTCGGCACTAGTCTCCATCATACTTTACACGAATATCTCCGACCGCACATGAACATTTCATTGCACGACCCGACCCTCAAGCATCACTGTCTGCCCGAGAGAATTCCATCGCCACACCGTCATGCGCGCAGCTTCGACTTGACATCTCTACTTGCGCAAGAGATACAATTGACCCGCGAGTATATCGCAGCGACTTGTAGACGAGAGGCTTCCCAGACACACTCGCTCTCATACCTCGTCCCTCCTACCTCCTTCCGCCATTGCCAGTGTATCGGCCTGTTAGTTTCCCTTCGAGTACGCGAGAATACCATGTTAAGCGGCAGCCGCAGGCTTTGTTGGGAAAATGGCATCCAAAGAGACGGATGAGGGTAACTCAAAGAGACGTCGCGGTCTCGGCGTTGTTACGCCCAACGCTTGTACAGAGTGTCGCAAGAAGAGGGCTAAGGTAGGCAGCGCCATCCGCCAAAATTATCTTGCTGCGCGCTGATGTCTTTCCAAGTGCGATGGCCAAGTTCCTTGTGGCAGATGCAGCTCCCAGAGAGGAGTCGAATGTGTTTATGAGATGCCCGTGCGGCAGAGCAAAGAGCACATGAGGAACGAGCTCGAATCTCTTAGGAACCAGATTCGACAAAGCGACAGAATGATGGCCGCGCTGGCCTCGAATAGTCAGCCGGAGCAGCTTCTTAGTCGACTCCGAAATGGAGAGACAGTGGAGGGTATTGTCGAGCATTTGGAAAATGAAGAGTCGAAAGGCTCCGATCTAAGTACCAATGCCACTATCTTCAATCGGCGCAGCGACCGTAATGCTATAACAAACGCTCTGGGGCCCGCAATGGATATCGCGAGCTGGACCGAGAATTTAAACGGGGCTCATAACATCACCGGCCTAGAGAGACAACCGCCCGGCCAATTTACCGGTCGAGTATGGCCTTCTATACAATCTACGTCGTATAACCCCTCGAATGACATCTATGCAGACGATGCGATGGTTTGGGACCCGGAAAATATTCCTCTTGGAAATCAAGGTCTACCTCTGGTTGGCACCTGGCATCAAACCACCCCTGGGTCATCCCCAGATAGCGCGACCCAAAACCAGTTGCACTCCGGCCAGAATTTTATACTTGGCCAAGATACTAATCCCGATACAAACTCTCCAGGGACTGGGTATGCTGGCAGCTGGACGACAGTGACTTCAGATAACACCTTTGTCAACCATATAATGGCGCTGTATTTTTGTTGGGAGTATCCGACATTCGCATCGTTAAGTAAGGAACACTTTCTCGAGGCCTTCAGAGGAGGCAGTGAACGATACTGCTCCTCTTTGCTTGTTAATGCGATCTTGGCAGTCGGTTGTAGATTTTCCAATCATCCAAATGCTCGAACAGATCCCAGGAACTGCATCACGGCCGGCGATCACTTTTTCGCAGAAGCTTTGCGGTTACTTGAAGCGGAGACAGATAGGCATCGCTTGACTACAGTTCAGGCCCTAGGTCTAATGTCTATTCGGGAGGCCAGTTGTGGTCGCACAACAGACAGTCTCTTTTTCGCTGGTCAGTCGATTCGTCTTGCCATTGAAATGGGGTTACATACCCAGCAAGACAGTCATAACGGGACGATTGACGCACAAGATGATCCCGAAATGGCAGTACAAGCAGCTACATTCTGGGGTGCATTCTCTCTTGATCAGTAAGCCAATTTTCTTGTTTCAGATCATGGCTGTTGCCAAATTACTTTTGCTTACTTACTAACCTACTGGCAGGGCATGGTCGCTTACACTTGGACGTCTCCCTCAATTCTCAAGAGACTTACAGCTTGTTGCGAAGCCAAAGATTATCGAACATATCGAATCTTCGCAATGGGTCCCTTATACTGATGATGGTAAGGCGAATGCCAAAAATTGATCGCCAATTGTGACTTACTGTCTGTTAGGTTCACCACTTACACTTTCATGTATCCAGCCGTCGAATGTCAGAAGCGTCTACAAGACGTTCTGTGAGCTCTCAGAGACCGTTCATCGCTCACTTTATACTTTGTACACTCCCGGGACGACGCTCACTAGTAAGACACTCATGGATCGCTATCAGGAATTCATCGAATTTCATAGCTCTTTACCTGAACCTCTGAAACTAGGTCATAATTTTACACCGACCGTTATATTTACACAGTGAGTCACATACGTCTGTATTATAATTGTGCTAATCCTTTAAAGCATGTATTACCACTATGCGATGTTGCTCCTTTTTCGGCCATTTATAAAGCTTGACATTATTGGAAGTGGGGTGCTCCCCCGAGACATTTGTTTTCAAGCCGCAGAAGCTGTCTCTACACTTGTAGACTCATATGCACAGCTTTATACTTTACAGCGGACGCCTTCATTCGTACCCTATTTTGTGCTTGCATCTACCATGGTCCATGGTGTTAAGGTTGGCACGTCAAATGTCGGTTCCGAGCGTCTTCAACGGGGCGTCGAGTGCTTGAGACAAATGACTACTGCTCATGGGTTTGCCAGTCATGCCCTGAAGATAATTCGCTTCATCTTGAGCCACTGGAAAATTTCGAAATCGGTAGATATCGACTTCGAAGACCTCGAGGATGAGGATCCTGGTTGTCCGCCAACATCAGCATCGACAAACCAATTCTGTCCAAGCTTCGTGGGTATACAAGTGGTGAATAGCATCGGCAAAGTTGCTCCCCGCGAGGATCCATTGTTCTGGCCATTCCCTTTGCAGGGAAGACCACTTCTTGACGTCGGTCCTAAGTTGAAATCCTTGGGCTTCACAGTCTTGCCAGAATTCGATGATAGTGTTAAAGGCACCGATGATTCTACTGTCATGGAAGGGGTTAAAACAGAGGCTGCGCCAGCAGAAGGGAGTCCAGCAGAAGAGAGTTGAAGACTCCCTTTTATCCGGTTGCTGAAAGCTTAATACTTACTTTCCTCGTGTAAGCATTGGCAATCGACTAATACCTGTCGAGGGGCTTGTTCAGAGAGCTCAGGCGTGGTTGGCTCATCTCGTGCTAAGCAATGGCAGTGTCGAATAAGGCTCGTGTGTGGAGCTTGATCGGTTACTGGAGACCGTTGTTTTTCGTGTATTGCAATACCACTGTGGCAGACAGGAAAGCATCGAAGCACTGTGGATGGGCTAAGCCACGACTTGTACCTGTGTCTGATCGATTCGAGATGGAAACGAAGACAAACCTTTTGAGGGTTTTGAGGCCGGCGGTGCAGAAGGCGACAGAGATTCTCTCAACAATCCGAACTCTGTGCGGAAGCAACGGAAAGACAGGACTCTTGTCGCAAATGATTGTCGCATACTAGGAGTCTAGATACCCAAGGAGGATGGACGAATGAACAAGCAGTCAGTGCTAAGGATAGGCATCTGGAGGCGCACACATGAACTGTAATTGAGTAATGCCATCATCAATTGGTGGATAACTTCAGCCTGGCACAACGATTTCATTCGTGAAAATTACTATGGTGTGGCAGCTTCACTTTTTCCTCCGAGAAGCGATTTGGGTTTGTGCTGGTCTGTTTTGGCGAAGATCAAAAAAATTACGACAACAACAACGGATCGCGCACAAAAGGAGGCTATGAGAATTGGAATTAGGACATATAATTGAAGACTTAAGTGAACATCCTATGAGTGCAGGTGTGGTTGAGAACATAACCGCTTAAGGGGTGTAATTGTCTGGCTGTTCTGACCAATCGCACGCGTTCCAGTGCTGTGGGCCCTTTTATTAAGTTGAAAAAGGTGGGCCCACTTCTCAGACCACCTGGGACCACCACGCGCGGAAAGTCACTCCACAACGCCATTTCTGGCACGATCTGACTGCAGCAGTCTGTCTTCGCTTCTCAACCTCCCCTCATGGACTCGTGGCGGTCTGGACAGATTTACGGGTACGAGTACTCGAGTATCAGGAAACCTGGAACCTCTGGTGATGTCGTTTCTAATACAAAGAGAAATTACAGTAATACAGACCCCCTTTCGAATGGGAATGTTTTTTTAGTTCCGTAAAGTATGTCAACCCACGTTAACAAATGCGATTGCAGAAGTTCTTTGGCTTCGACCGTTTTCGAGTTCGAGCAATCGCCAGAATCAAGGCTATCGATTAAGCTTTATTCTGCAAGAACTCCAGCTACTGTACTGCCGTAGGTAGCTAGCCGGCCAAGCGGCGAATGGCCCAGTACGGATGGCATACGTATCAATGTTCACCCTCCCGACTTAGGGATCATCCTTATTCGTATTACTCCTACCTACGCTCTTACCTAGGTACTCGTACTACTCATCCTGTGATTACTAGGCGGGGATTTCATGCTGTGCTGGCTTTCTGGACCGTGATGAAACCCTACCGCATTTCCTACCCGTTTCCGAGTCTGGGCCAGTATCGGCTGCTATTTGTACCTTTCGTACATTACTGTCACCCACAGCCTACTCGGAGACCGCCGCACACTTTATATCAACTCTCCCACCCCCTTCTCAACGTTTGGTTGTCCAATACACCCCCCACAATCACATGAATCAGATCAGTCCACTTATTTTCTCGCATGATACGAGTATAAACCGGCCTGAAGCTTTGCCTGACTCTTCCGTCTACTTTTCCCCATTCACCCCGTCTAGGACTACTTCCACAATTGGCTTTGCCCAACCGAGTCTTTTGATTCTGTTACGTTGCCGAGTTTTGCTTGGTAAATATAAAGTACTTTTGCCCAAATCTGCCCGCGTGGTTTCGACAAATCACCAAACTTGTTACATTCAACATTCCAATTGACGCCTAGCCCGAGAAACTCCTTGACCTGTCGGCGTTCAATCCTGGTTGCAGAAACTGTCATTGACTACTTGTACCTCTGGCCATCGAAAACACACCATTATTTGCTGGTATACTGCAGTCCCAGCCACGCGATACTAGGCTGCTGTACAAATGGCCATCATCTTTCGTCAAGGAGCTCCAGCTATTGACTATTACTCGCAGAGCACGCAACCACCTCAAGTAGGTCACACATTTTTCGATTAAGCTGCTGGTGAAGGGAGCTTCGGAGGCTCAACCGCCCAGCTACTGAACTATAGTCTCGTCAATACTGCAGTATTATTTGGTATGTCAAATACAAAGCAATCAGCCATGGTATCCTCGGCGAACCATCGGCTGCAAGTTTCAGTGACAGGCATGCCACTTAATAATCATACAACCTCGCTGTGATCCTTACTAACATCTTCATTGCCAGACCGATTCTTTAATATCACCTTCTGATATATGGGACTCAAACAGTCATAGCGACTCGATCTTTACCAGAGCAGAATCTTCCGACTCGAGCTTCGCATCACCAACCGAGCCAGAAGATAACATATTCTCAAGTAAAAATTACAACTTACCACGGAACAACATCGAAGTGGATATCAAATCAGAGGAAGCATTCAACTTTGGATCGTTTGAGGACTGGATGCGTTGGGACGATCCTAGTGACGCTGCGCTGTCACCTGAACTTGAGTTTATGCCAGAATTGAAGACGGAGCCATTGTCCTCTACTCTAGCGTATCCAGAGTTCTCCGGTGATAGCAATTCAAGAATGACTATCAATAACAGAGAGGACTCGGTAGAATTTGGCAGAGACGCTTTGTCCGAAGAACCAAGTTTCCCGTCCTCTGAAACTCAGAACTCGCCAGGCGAAAATCTGTACTCGACTCCTCTTTCCTGGTCACAGCCTCTTCCAGGGACAGAATCACGAGTGCCATTTGGAAACTATCTCAGCCCACAACAAGAAGCACGACTGCGTGACATCGCTATGCCACCTTCTCGTACTCGCGCTGTAAACCAGTATCCCGGCTCTCCATCGTCAGATGACATGGGCATGGACAATCTTCGCAAACGAAAAAGCAGCGTGGATGAAGACGACGATGATGATACCCCTCTTCCACAAAGCTCGAGCAGCAAGCACCCACCCGTAAAGAAGACAGCGCATAACATGATCGAGAAACGCTACCGTACGAATCTGAATGACAAAATCGCTGCGTTGCGAGACTCTGTACCTTCATTACGGGTAATGAGTCGAAAAAACTCAAATGGCGAGGAAATACATGAAGATCTTCAAGGGCTCACTCCAGCTCATAAACTCAACAAGGTATGCATCAAAGCCTTTTGATTGCGTGCACCTGATTAACACATCCTTCTCAGGCAACAGTCTTATCCAAAGCCACAGAATACATCGCCCATCTCGAAAAACGGAATAAATACCTCACTCGGGAAAACGCATCGCTGAAATCCCGCATCGACGCCTTTGAAATCCTAGTCATGGCACGCCAGCAATCTCTCAACCCGACGAACAATCCAATGAACGATTCTATGGCCGGGAGATCCCGTGATTCGGGGTACATGATGTGAAGTGCGATGTGATCCGGGTATTCCGGGAACTTTGAAAATATTTGATGCATTCTCCTCGGCGTTGTCGGATTGGGTTCGACGGGTTTCTGAAAACGGCGTTTGGGTGATCGGAATAACGTGTAACATGATGATGGCTCGAAGCCAATAGGAGATTCATTACAGGCGTTCTAGGAAGGTGATGGTGCTTTGTCAAGCATGTCTCGGGGTCTGCTATGCGATGGTGGTACACCTCAAGCAGGTGAAAAGCGTACTAGTCGAGATTAGTAGCAAGAAATTCCAAATCAGACGAATGTAATGATTTACGTCTTTGCTTGGTTTATTTGGGTTATGTTGGTGATCATGCGTAACCATGTTTGTATAATCGAGCTTAGTACTTGAGTATTCCCCCTACATGCATATATGGGGCAGAAAGGAGACTTGGGATGATGGAGGAGGCTTAAGTTCCAGAAGATAAGAAGGCTTACATAATTAGTGAATACGAGTCGAGCTAGTCGAATACATATTATATATATATATATCGACGCCCTTGATGCCGACACCCTTCTTTCTCCTTATTGTATTACACCTATTCCCATTGAACCCTAACGTTCTAGTCAAAGGTCTCAAGTGTTCGCGCACGAGATTTCGCAACTTAATGACAACGACCCCGTTCTAAGAGCGGAGCAATGAAAATAATTGGACGCGATGATTTTTGGTTTTGCTAGTTTAATGAAGTCATAGAAGAAAGTCCCTGAGACGGTCACACTTCAACAAGCTAAAGCTCGAAATCGTCCACTAATCCGTATGCTTCATGTGATTACCAACTAGACATCATCTGATCTTGGTTTGCGTAGGTATTATTTGGATATAGTGTTTGTATTCTACCAAAATCCAAATCTTAGTTTCGAGTCACTAGAATGGCTCATCATTAGACCCGAAAGCTTCAGGGTTCTTCCGAGAGGCAAGGTACATCAGCCTCGTTTTTTCCCCTGCTTAGCAGTCATTTTCCTGAAAGCCTCCATACCACCAGCTCCAATAGGTCTTGACATAGGATCCAAGCCTTTCGTCGGATCGAATGTACTACGCGGTGCAACCGTATAACTAGTATTAGATGTCTCCAGTCTAGCTCTGTTGCTTCTGATTGGTTGAGCAAGTAGTCTCTCTCGTTCTATCTCACGCTGCGACATCCCTGCTCGCTGTGTAGCAGGTTGCTGTGAAGCCTGAGGACCAGAAGGACGAAGTGCAAGTTGAGCAGCTCTACAAAAAATGTTAGAATCCAAAATTCGCGCAAGAGAAGCAAACTGGACATACTGGTGATCAAATTCTCTCGTGACAACTTTTCGTTGCTTGAAATCATCGCTTCTCTTCAAGATCGGCCGCGACCATTCTCCTAATAGCCGTTCAGCCGTTCTCTTCACCCCAATCTCAGGCTTCTTGCTCTTTGTGTAGAACAGCACAATTTTTCCGATGCCACTACTCAATAACGCTTCCTTCTCGATGGGCAGTCGAGTGAGTGCTGAGAAAAGGTCGCGCTGGATGTTGTACGCCGGAAGGCTGCCGTCTGACAATGGCTCGAGGAAGTATTTGACGGACTGGAGGAAATTTGTGTCAGGATCCACAATCGAGTGCTGTACTGTGTTTCGACTCAGAAGGCCGACCACTTCTGGAAGCATTTTAAGTTTGTGAATTGCAGGTTGGTTCTTTTCTCGGGCCTGATTGTCAGCTACACAAGCCTGCTCCATGCGAATCTTAAGCCCTGCTATCTCTTCATCGAATGCCTCTTCAAGGTCCTATCTCAAAATCAGACATGTATAAGAGGACGTTAAGAAATACTTACGACCTCGTCCTTCTTCCGTCGTCTTTTGTTTGGGTTCTTCAATGCCATGTCCATTTGCTTATCCAAGGCTCTTTTCCGCCTCTCCTCGGGCGACACGTTTTCCTCATTCTCTACAGCAGGGCGACTCTTCTCTTTCGACCCCCCTCCATCTCTGCCTTTTCGTTCACCATCAGATCTAGGTTTTCTGACCCTCTTACCCTCTATACGCTCTCCATCCGGATCTTCGTCGTCATCGCGACGTCTTTTCTTTTTTTCCCTCTTTCCCTCCTTCGGTTTTTTACCTTCGGCGGTGCCACGTTTCTTAGCTCTAAGGGATTTCGCGGCATCTTCATCGATTTCTATTGCAGGCCTATCCTCGAGTGCCACCGTGGTAGGATCAAAATCGTCAAACTCAGCTTCATCGACTTCAGATAGATCCGAGGCTGCGTCGTCGTCGAGGTCCGCATCAGCATCAACTGCGGGAGTTGGATTGGTATTGTCTTCGCGATCGGGCGAGCCCGCTTCACCGTTTCCATCTTCGGGGGCCAGTGAAGCAGGTCGCGAATTAATGTCCGAATCTGACATTGCAGTTGATTGCTTGATATGTGTCGCTTGTCGTGAGTAAATGGAGAGGCTGTCGCGTTGCCTGCGATCAAAGGAATGTCTGGCAAACTGAGCGCAGACAAAGGATTCGTGCTGGGAGTGGATTCTGATTCGGAGCTACAAGAGCTAGTTTTCTGCTGAAAAGGGTGAGCTTCGCCAGCTATTGCGATCACTACATGGGGCGTTTGTAAGTGTCCAAGAAAGCTGAGGTTGTTTGCTTCGTCTCCGGTGTTCTTGTAGCAAGTAAGGTAGATTCTCAGTGTGACGCGAAACGGGTATTAGCCTGGCTCGCGAACCTTACATCCGGGGCCGCAACCAGATCCACCCTTGTTTATTTACACCATGCCTACCTGTACGACGACCGCACCATATATTGGTCTTGCTCTGCAAAGATTCGTTTCTCCTCAACCAAGTTGACTGTGGTTCTGCAGCAAGCGCAACAAAATGTACAATGGTATCCATGGTCAGAAAAGATCGCATGAGAGTCCTATGGATTGGGAATGGCAAACGGCAAACGGGCCTTCTGATCCCAACTCTCCATTTCCTCAATTCAAGCCACATCAAGGCCGGAAACGTAAGTTCAACAACACAAGTATCCATGGTAGTTAGACTAACAAAGTGCAGCGACCTTTGAATCAGCCAGCTCCTCAAGCTCTTTCGTAAATGCCAAATCGACGCCGGCACCACAATTCCGCAATCCATCATTCACCACACCCCGAAAGCCGTTTGACCCCGAGCTGTTTTCAGAAGCATCTGGCGCAGAGTCATCCCCAGCAGACAACGCCGACCTAGAAGATACACCAGAAATCAACAAAATAAATACGGCTATGGCGGTTCTTCAGAGTCCATCCGAGAAAAAGCCTATATTTGGACGTTACGGTAGAGGGTTCTTGGGTAGTAGTCCCGGACGGGCAGATCTACGAAGAGGCAAACTTGCGAATACTATAACCCATAAGCTTAGAAAGCGCAGGCGGATCGATCGAGAGACGCAGGCGATAGGAGTGTATTCAGAATCCGATTCAGAGTCGGGAGAGTCAAAACAGCGGAACAAGAAGGGTCGTACACCAGAAATACCTCAGCAAGGCTGGTTCTCGTCACTTCTGACGGGAATTGAATCTCGACCACAACTTCCCAATGTCCTAGCAACATATATACAGTTTTTCACAAATGGGTTTTTTTTTCTCGTCACGGTTTTTGGGGTCTGGACGGCGTTTTCTGCAATTAAAGCAGATGTTGATAAAGCTGCGCAAGAATCAATTGCGCGGGCTTCGGAGGAGATCGGGCAATGTGCGAGAGACTATGTTGACAACAGGTGTGGCTACGATCAGAGAGTTCCCTCTCTTAAGCAGATCTGCTCTGATTGGGAAGTCTGTATGGGTCGAGATGCAAACCAAGTTGGAAGAGCCAGAGTGAGCGCATCCGTCCTGGCTGGAATTATCAATAACTTTGTAGAGCCTATAAGTTATAAGGCTATGGTAAGTTTTTTTTTAGCATCTCATGGCACCTGGCGGTCATAACTGACTCTCTCGCAGATTTTTTTGGTGGCCGCGATCACTGTCGTCGTTTTGGTAAATAACATGGCATTTGGGTCTTTTCGGGCAAAACACACACATCATGTGCCAAACGCGGCTCAGTATTTTCCTCCACCACCTCCGGTCCCACAGAACTATGACTGGAGCGTGCCTACTCCGAGACACAATGTCGGCTTTGATCGTTGGGGAGACGACGTAAAAGCGATATTACCAAGCCAAACTCCATCAGGGCGAAGGAGTCCGAGTAAGGGTTTGAGGAGCCCAAGTAAGGAGTATTAGAGACTGAGGAGCTAATCATGGTACGCTGGCAAAGAGGGAGCGGTATTCTTGTATTGATTAATTGTGCATGGAGAAAAAGGAGTACACTAGGGTTTTGGAACTGGATATGCATACATGGAGGTCATGTGAGCTTCGGGAAACAGGATAGGGAAACAAATTATGATTGCAATCACATTTACATAATTCCAGCTCGATGCGTGATGCTTCCAATTCGAACAACATTTGGACGTCGATACAGGCTTTGACGCAGTGAAACAACTGTTCGGATATCACTGCTTCTTCTGATTCGTGATGATGATAGTGATCGTGACTGAGCAGCAGGGAACCATAGAGATAATTCAAGGTCAGAACACACTAACTAGAGCGGTTTCATATAGGTCACCAAATTCAAAGCCTGGCGGAAACTGTTAACTGGGTCAGAATTGGAAATTGGCAAATTTAATCATTCAAATGACCCAGGGTGAACAGAACTCTGTATACACACACACTTCCTTGGAAAATCATGTATTCATTCACAAAAACGACACGAACCATCTATCTACGAGGAATATGAACGCCAGAAAGCCAGCCAACTCGCCGTTACTGACTTGTCTCAATGGAGACCGGAAGATAACCTATGAAATGGGAGTCCGGTTGAGCTCTTTCCGATCATCGTACACATGGTAATGCGTAGTTCGGCCAACGTAAAGGTATATTGTACGAAGATAGTCGTCAGAGCAGAAGATTTGTTATTCATCCAACCCAGATCAAAAATCTTCCTTTTGTCGCCGTTCGCTCTTCGCCAGCGATGGTTTTACTGAAGGAAAATGGCAGGTAATGAGCGTGAGGGATGAAACAGATTATTCATCAAATCGTCTTCCACAGTCGTCTAAGTTCGTCGCCGCGCCATCAAGGGGAAGTTGTAACATCAGAGGCATCATAATATGTCCTTAATCGTACGTGCTCCTACACTTTCACATCCACACATGCCAGACACCCGATCGAGAAATCGGAGGTTTACGGTGAGTATCGGAAATGTGTTGGAGTTGGACGATATGATCACCGCTTTTTCACCTCATTCGCCCACCCTTCAATACCTTCGCCTTTTGACCCGACTTCTAAACCAGGAATCTTCATGCCTTCCATTCCAGGAGTGTCCTCGAGCCACGCCCCACCAGCCATCCCACCTGCATTTGCCCTCTTTTCTGGTGTAAGTTCCAACAGTGGTGTCAGGAAGTCAGCAATCTTCTTAGCATCTTCTTCTTTGAAATGATATTTCTCTTTGAGAACATCAGGAAGTGCCCAATGACGTAACCGGTGGATGTTGCGTAATTCTCCTTTTCGGTTGAATATTTCTTGACTCCATTTGCCAGACAAACAGAGCGACTTCGGAAAGGGACCAAGAAGTTCAATTATCTGAGCAATGTGATCGTCATCCTTGCCATACTTGGTGCCCGACTGTGGATCAAAAAGATAGTCGCCAGTGATTAACTCAAACACCTAATATATCTAATTAGTCTCATAGAGTTTTCGGGCTAACACATTTTGTGTAAGTTTGACGAACCATGGCAGCCATGCTCCAAACATCTGTACTTGCACCCCATTTGGCACCCAAGATAACCTCAGGGGATCTATATTGTCTGGTCTGAATGTCGTTTGTAAAATGATGGCCTGTCCAACATGCGTTACCCAAATCAGCAATCTTGACTGATATGATATCCCCGGCAGTAGCGTCTTCTGCCCTTTTCTTTTCATTGGATTTGTCGAGCGAGATGCCTGAGACTTCTCGCGTAAGTATGTCGCTAATTCCCTATTAGTCTACCACTGAGCTACTGAACCAAAAGGCGACATACGCGGTTTTCTCTCTTTGCTTGTGTTTATCTTCATCTTCCTTTTCTGACTTTGGAGATGCATTGCTTGAACCTCCTGTTGCAACAATTATTAATATGGGTTTATGGAAGCAATTGGGTTACATTTGATAGGAACTCATTACCTTCTTGCATCATCTGGTTCAGGCTCGTATGAGAAGACGGTGTGCTACCAGGAAACCGCATTAAGTCCGCGTGGTTGAAACTGGCATTCAGAGGACTTGGTAGCGGTTGACTCCCTGTTATTAGTGTCCGACGTCTCCTCCGGCCATTACGGTTGTCTTCCTTGTCGTCCTTCTTCAAATCCTCCTTGACAAAAGTCTTAACGATCTGCTCCACATCACCAATCTCGATCAGGACATTTTCTGGCTTCAAATCCGTATGTATGATGCCACATTCCCGGTGTAAATAATCCAGACCCAAGAGAACTTGTTTGGTGATTTGCTTCACAAGCGGCATGGGAATACCTCGATGGTTCCATCGCTTGATTAACCCCAACAGGTTCTCTCCTAAAACCTCAAAAACCATACACACATGAGTGCCATTGGGACCCTTGTGTTCAAAGGAATCCAGTAGGCTGACTACGTGCTTTCGTCCAGGGTGGTCTGGCTTGGCGGCTACAATCTTGTTGAGCAGCTTGATCTCGTCTATGGCAGTTTCTGTATAATGAGCTGCAGACCGTACGACCTTTAATGCGACGTGTTTCTGGGTAACGTTGTCCCTGGAAAGCCACACAGTCGAGAAATGCCCCCAGCCCAGCTTGCGCACTACGGTGTATTTTCCATCCTTGAATTGCTCGCCGACGGTTACGGGATGATAACCGCCTTTACAGTAGTCCTCCGAATCTTCTTCGTCGGCAGTCGTCTCGGCCGCGTCTTCTCGCGTCGACGATGAGGAGGAAGGAGATCGGTTCATGGTCTTGGAATTCGATGCGCCGGGTCTATGAGCAGGGTTGTTCGTGGTCAGCAAGCTTTTCAACAGCGAAGTCATGTTGTGAGAAAAAGAAGATGTTGCGATTCATTTTGCCTCGCAAGGATGCATGTAGTTTGGTGCAGGAACACCGATGCACCGTGAATAATGAATGTTTTCAGAAAGACGAGGGTGGGCGTTGTCACAAAGGTGGTGGTCTCGCTGAGGCAAAACAGCGTGAAAAGACATGTCACTTACCCTGCACTGGCTTGATTTGACGATGCCATGTTCGAGGCACTCTCAACATCCTGCTGCCCCTCGGTTGTGATGATGGGCTTCAACTCCTTCTTCCGTTTCTTGGTGGCGCCGCCATTCGACACATTCGCAGTCACCTGTTTGGCCTTCTGGATTGCGGCCTGCTTGATCTGGGAACCGTTCATGTTCGTGTAGATGTGCGACGAACTCGCGATGGGCGATCGATTTGGGTTTTGGAGGGGGAGTGGGCGGACCCAGAGACTTATGACGCGCTAGAGCCAGAGCTAGGTACAGTCGAGTGCAGACGGACAGTGTTGTCGCTGGCGAAGTTTGGGAGCAGACGCGGTCGGATGATGGTGCTTTCTGCAGACGTGTGTAGAATGCGATATATTTGGGCCGCGAGAGTCGGGAGGATGGTAGATGGGACTCGAGCGAGCGGATGCGACAGACCTATCGTGGTCCGCGGGAGGCAGTGGCAGCGGCAGAGCAAAAGACAGAGACAAGAGACAAACACGGTGCAGTCTGGCAGTCGAGCAGTCTCAGTCTCGTCTTGTTAGTCTACAGTCCACAGTCCGCAGTCCGCAGAAACAGTCTACCGGCGGCAGGTCGTGGTCGATGCGGGGCTGGCACAGAGGTATGAAGTTATTGGTGAGCAAATCCGTCGCAGCAGAAGCAGGTGCGGATGCCGGACAGGCGGCGGATTTCTCTGGTACTGTTCATTCAATGGGACTCGCAGGTTCATATAATGCGAGCGCAAGTGTAAGTGCAAGTGCAAGTGCAAGCCGCCGCTGAGAGAGGGCGAAAGAAGATTCGACTCGGGAGTGGAGGATCTGGGTGGAGGTGGAGGGGTCTATCAGGCTCGTCAAACACTCCCACCAGCACCAGCTTCTAGACCGAGGAAAACGTGCCCTTCTAGCCGCCCGCCAACCCCCTTTCCCAGGAAATCATCACCGCAGAGCGTCTCGGCACCATTGTTGTTGTTGACCTGCTTTTCTGTAAGCTACCTTTCCTTGTTCGAAGCACACGTGTAGCGCCGACTGCGTGCACCATGATTACAGTCCTGATTCGTCAAAGATTTGGTTATCAAATATCAGGAGTCCAGAAGGGAGATATAAGGAGGGGGTGGACGTGGAGCCTGTTGTAAAGAAAAGATGCGGCTGAGAGCGAGCTGTGGGAGAAACATGTGGGAGACGTCAAATGGCCACAGAGGTGCGCAGAGTTCTTGGACATTCTTTCCAGTCATGAATGTCGTATGGAGCGTATCTCCCTGCGATGCACCATGTATATGCTCATGTACATAGATACCATACTCTTTGATGCATGGCATTGTTCGCGTTTCTGGGTGGTGTGTTATGTAAATCGAATCGTAGTGTTCATGGATTGATAATGGCAGCAGTTGGGACTCGAGATACTACGACATCTACAATCACCGCTACACAACTTGGCACAGCACTAAATAAAGACCGAAGAGGGACTGGTAGACGGTCGTAAGTGAGACTAAGCACTAGCTAGATACGCTTCGTACATATTGCCATATATTCTGATTCCTGAGGTAAACGGTTCTTCTCAGGAGAAGGGTCAGCGGATGCCCTGACCACATCATATTAATAATAGTTACAACTGAAGCGATTAGTACAAGCTGTGATGAGTTACTCATCGGGCTGAAATCGCTGCTACCCATTTATCCTTGTCTTTTCTGTAGAAAATGTTAGCAGCCGCCGCCACCAGGGTTGGGAGACATCTTTACTTATCCATATGCAGCAATTGTCCAATCGCTCCCTCAATCAGACTGGTCTGTATCTTCCTATCTCTGACCTCCAGAAATTGCAAAAGGATCGTCTTCAAATAAACATAATCCATCTGGACTAACCCTCGCCCACCTGTGCCATTGGGACTACCTGCCCTGCCACTTTCTCCCGATGACCTGTCGTTCAACTTCGTTTGCTTGGCTTGCAAGGACTTGAGCTCCTTTTGGAGTTTCTCGTATCTCTGGTTGGCCTCTTCCAGTAGTCGTCTCAAGTCACCACGTTGCTTTTCAGCATCTCGTACTTGTTTCTCGCTGCCATCCAAAGCATTACGAAGCTCGACCATTGCCGACCTAACTTCGCTGACTTCTTGTGATGCTCGCTCTGACACCCCCTCGAGGTCATCACGCTTCCTCTTCCACTCCTTCTCTGACTGCTGGAACTCATCACGGTCATCAATAGCTCGCTTGAGGTCACGCTCAAGATCTCGTAACTTTGTCTTGAGCTCTTCAGCCTCGCGAGCCTTCTTCCGGCCGTTTGTGCTAGCTTCATCCTCTGCGCGGTCGCGCTCCTCAATGGCTATCTCCATTCGCTCTCGCATCTCACGTAGTTTGGCATCTGCACGATCATCCACATCTGCCAACAACCTTCGCATAGTCTCCCCCTCACGAGTGCGCTCGCTTAGAAGCCTCTGCACTTCCGCGAGCTCTTCTTCTAGACTCTCCGATTGATCTTTTGCTTCTTTCAGTTGCATTGCCATCTCGGCCGATTGATCTCTCATGCTTCCCAGCAGGCTTTGAGCATTGTTGAACTGGGTACTACGAAGATCGACCTCCTCACTAAGCCCCTTGGACATACCTGTGAGTTTAGTGACTTCATCTTCCAGTTCATGAACTTTAGCTCTCAATTTCACACCTTCCTCTTGCACGCTTCCTAGCTCGGCAGAGATCTTTTCCCCTGATGCCGCAAGCTTGATCCTTTCGGCCTCGGATTTTCGCATATCACGCTGGGCGACACGAGCTTGATCTTCCGCACGCAGTCTGCCATTGGTTTCTTGAGTAACCTTCTCGTTGAGTGTGCGAATTTCACCTTCCCTATCTGCTGCCTGCTTCTTGAAGCTATTCACGTCAGAGCGTAGGTCCCTTTCCCGCGCTTCAAGGCGCCTTAACTCAGATGTTCTGGTGGCTAGTTCATCCTTCACAGTCTTGAGCTTCGTACTTTCTTCGCGAAGTGATTTAAGTTCTGGTTGTGCCTTTTGAAGCACATCTCGAAGATCCGTCAAATCCCTATAGCGCGATGCTGCCAATTGCTGGGCGGCTCCGAGGTCTTTTTGAAGAGTCGCTGATTTTGACTTGAGACTCTCATAATCCGCGGTTAAGGACTGCAGATCATCTCTCATTTTATCACTTTCCTCTGACTTGCTCTTGTAAATTTCAACTTCAGACTCTAGTTCTGTGAGCTTCGCTTGAAAGGCTGATTTCTCGCCTTGAAGCTCCTTGATCTTCTCTTTGGCCTCGACATGCTCCTGCCCAATCTGGAGGAAGTTGTCCTGCATATTTTCCAGCTCCTCTCGGAGGTCGGCTTCAAGTTTTCGTTTTGTTTGTAGTTTCTCAATCTGACGATCACGATCTAATATTTCTTCCTTGAGCCTCGAGATCTCCGCTTGGGAATCGCTAGCAATAGGCGTTGGGATTGTATGCGTAGCGTCTTTCTCTTGAGATGCTTCCTTCACAGCCGCCGCGACATTTCCGGTTTTCTTCTTTTTATTATTCTTCTTCTTTTTAGCACCACCTGTCGTTTGAGGTGGTACCGTCAGGTTATTCGCTGAAGCGGGCTTGCTATCTGGTTCGTCGACAGGGTTGGTCTGCGATCCGGTCTCTTCTTTAAGTTGATTCATCAATAACTTGTTTGAATCTGCAAGTTCTTCGATTTGTTTAGCATCGGCTTCGCGGGACGTTCGTAGCACTTCCATCTGAATGTCAAGTTGTTTGCGATCAACTTCGAATTGCTCTTTTGCTATCTTAGCAGCTCGCAATTCTTGGTCGCTGCTTTCCTTTAGCCCCGCGATTTCGCCGTTCAGTAAGGATTTTTCAGCAGCAGCTTGCTTTTGCTGTTCTGCCAGATGTGCTTCCAGGGCAGAAAGTTGTTCCTCGGTGGTTGTCAACCTGGATTTGAGGGTCTTTATCTCTGCTGACTGGGTCTCTATTTGCTCAAGGCGCTCGTCGGCAAGAGAGATGGCCTCCTTGAAGGTACTCAGTTCTCGATGTGCCGTTTCCAGCTCCTCCACGTTCCCAACGCTTGATTTTTTAACCATAGCAAGCTCGGTTTCTAAAACGGTGACTCTTGATTTTAACCCTTCGACCTCTGCCGTTTTTCCATTGACTTGGGCCTGCAGCTTGGGTAATTCTTCGTCGTATGAAAAGAAATCCTCGCCTACATCTTGATTGTCTAACGCTGATTCTGGCTTCTGTTTAGGGGAGAAAAGTTTGAGTACAGAAGACACAGGTGATTTTACAGACGGCGTTGTTGGATCCGTGTTCACTGTTTCTGCCATGCTCAGTGTCTCCCCTTGCTCGTTACCGGTGGCTTTGACAGCAGTACCAGACGAACTCTTTAAAGCCTCCAGCTCTCCTCGAACAGCGATAGCCTCTTTCTCTGAATCTTCGAATTTCGTCTTATATCTATCTCGATCCGCAGAAACGCGTTTAAGTTCGTCCATGACCATGTCGCCCTTGAGATTTAATTGTGTCAAATATTCTACCAAAGCATCGGGGTCAGATATTGTTGCAAGGGGGGTGTTCTCCTTCAGTGCCTTTTCGAAGGGTTCTATGGATACGGCTCGCGCATGAGCAACCCTGTAGGATCGTAACAAATCTAATCAAGAGGTTAATTCTACCCAGTCGAACTCACTGGCCACGCTACCTTTATACTTGGACTGGAGATTCTCCAATCGTTGTAACTTTGCACGTACATCCGCAGGGAGTTCCGTAACATGAGGGCGGCTCTGTGTAACCTTCTCCGGCACATTTTCGCCTTCACCATTAGACCGCTGGACCTCACGAGTTGTATCAGCTTCCGCCGTTACGATCTTCTCCCCGTCGATCGCAGCCCCAGCTGCCACGTCCTCAGCCTCATCTTCTATGACGAAAGCACCATCCTCGAATTCTGACGGGTCAGGGCCACGAGCTGGTGATGCGTCGCCATCTTTCGGCTTGGCTCGTCGTGGGCGTGTACCGGTAGACGGTGATGCGGTTCGCGAGGAGGGTTGTTTCGCTGTTGAATTCGATCTAGAGACGGGCGCAGAAGAGCCAGCGACGGTTTTCTGACGTGCTTGTTCTTCTGCGATACGGGAGTCAATGGCACCTTTCAACCGCTATTTACCAGTTAGCATTGCTTGCCAGGACGAGTATTTGGAACGGGTGGCCAGTATTCTATACCCGAACCACTGTGCAGTACCTGGAACATTATGACCACTTCTCCTTGCGCCTCCAGATATTTGATGGACCAAAATTAAACTTATGCCAAAACTGTACCACCACCAATGTGCATGATTGCTACAAGTCCCACTACCATCAATTAGTCAAAAGCAGGCGTTGTTGGTAATGCAGTGCAGTATTCAATGGGCCAAAAGGAGACGAAGCTCAGCGTGGTCTGTGCGGCTGAATGTCTGTTTCGTGAACTGCTGGAGCCCGGAGCTCGAGGGAGTACAAACCCCATTCAGTGACGCGGGCGTTCGGGTACTAGGCTCGCCAGGTAAAGCTCAAGGGCCACGCGCGCAGACAGACGTGCACTTCCTCCTCCAGCCAAAGCGCGAGCAATATCAAAAGCATCAGCAACAGGACTTATATGAGTGAGGACAGACGTGGACTCATTCAGACGTGGACTCATTCAATATGGTTAAGTTATGGCCGTGGAAAGTATGCAATCTCTCAAATATCCCCCATGCATTCCAATTGTTTCTAACTTCTACAGGGTGAAGATAATTCTGCCGCCTCGTTCGAGAAGGCCTTGTCATCGCTGGCGGCCAAAATAAATAAATCGCAAACACAGCTCGACGTCCTCCGGCAGAAAGGCCGACGGCTCAAGGCTCTATGGACGCTATATGCCATTTTTGCATATCTGCTTTGTACCGCAATACTAATCCTAGTTGTTGGCTGGAGCCGCTGGACTGCAGTTGAATATACGTCAGTCTCAGCGGCACCTTTATGGTAAGTCATTTCATTGGGGGCTCCATGATCGTTGATTAGTCTGACCACTTCGCAGCATATATCTCGTTAGGAAGGGGATCAGTGGATACTATAATTACAGAATCGACCTCGTTTCTCAGCGGCTAGAAGGCCAGCAAAGCGAGAGGACGAAGACAATCGACAAACTCAAGGCGGCTACCAAGTACAATTCTACTCAGGAGTTACTAGAGAAATATGGTGGCACAACGCCGACGCCCAAGCCCAAGAAACTCAAAGCGCAATCCAAAAGCCCCAAGGACATACCACCTCAGAGGACCGTTACAGGCCCACCGCCACCAACAGCCAATATACCACAACGTAGTCCCGATCGCGTATCAAAAGCACCATATGTATCCACATCAGAAGTTTCTCCATCCGTCGGGCCGCCAAATAATGTGAGGCCTGCGCCAACAAGCCCTAGCATTGGATCCGCCGAGTTTGCCCCAAATGCCTTTTCCGGCCCAATGCAATATGCAAGTAGTACTGGCGAAAGCAGCATTGGTGGCCATTGGTACGACAGGGTACTGGACTTACTCATGGGTGAGGATGAGACATCTGCGAGAAATCGAATTGTCCTCATATGCCAAAATTGTCGACTTGTAAATGGACAAGCACCACCTGGGATAAGGAGTGCCACGGAGCTGGGAAGATGGAGGTGTTCGGGATGCGGTGCTTGGAACGGTGAAGAAGACGAAGCCGTGAAAGTGGTCCAAGAAATGAAGGAAAAGATCGAGCAACAACCGCGACACTCCGGGAGCGAGAGTGACGAGGACGCCCTTTCGGACAGTCATGGGGTCCCTGGCAGTGAGGTTCAAAAAGGTCTCGACATCGGCTCCATCGAGAATGTTGCTCATGTCAAGCACAAAAAGAATGGATCGAAGGACCTCAGAAAGGCTTAATACCTTTGTAAGACATGGTGGTTGCTTTATATCACGGCGGTCGGTGATTATCCGGATGAGAAGTCCCAATCTTTATTACAGCCCTGTTCTGGATTCACTTCGTGGAAATCGACTCATTTAGGGTGCGTCGCTGGCATTCATGGGGATCTCAGCATGAATAGCTTCTTTAGCCCGTTACCTATAACGACCCAGGATAGCATTCTCCTGAGCCTGCAATCGAACACTGTGAAATATCTACCCGAGTATACTCCCTAAGGTTTTCACATCCTTTCGACATGATATGGCTCAAGGCCTTCGCTTCTCGCTCAACATACTCGATATTAGAAGAAAGCCGATGGAGATCAAGAGCTATTAGAACGTGAAGAAGCAAATATCCAGCGCTGACATACGACTGTACCTCAATACCTCAGCCACGGAGTGAGAGGGAGGAACGAACAAAGACTGCCGACGAGGTCTTCTTATCGGAGTTGGCTTTTTACTTATAGCCTGTCCTAGTGAAATAGCCTTGTACATGTACTCCTCCGCCTTTCAGCCCACATGTATCTGCCTCTAGCCTGTTACAAAACAGAAAACACTTGAATGACCTCTGTTATAGTTGAAGATCGAGCTGCCAGCAGCCATCATGTCCCTCCTGAACCGACCACACCCTCTGTTTGTTAGGATATGTTACTCATCTTGGTAACTACGCTGACGTCCTGTCACATATCTTGTTTTTCGCTCCATTTGACCTCTTCGAGCCTCGATATCTGTCTTCACACGCTCGTTTATCAAGCCGATCACGACATATTATTCGGTATAATCACCAATGTTAACAAGAGCCTCTGCAACATGTGAAATTTTGCAAGAAATTGGCGACAGATTCTAACAACCGCAAATCTACCATATACCTAAAAACGACAGCCGACTCTTACAATTCATTGCTGGCACGCAATCTTGGCAGTACGTACATAAAGGGAATCGCGCGGTGTTTTTGGCATTATGTTATGAGGCGGGAAAGCAACAACCAATATGTGCCCAAAAACAGCCAACTCTTTTACAGCCCTCAATAAGGAAGGATTTGCAACTTGCAAAGGTAGAAACAACGTTGAAGTGGTGGTTACGAATCTTTATGGGTGTGCCTAAGACACGGGAAGGCGACAACTGATGGAGTTATCTTGTGAGGCGTGCATACTATATAATGAACAACCTTCAACTATTGCCAACTACATAGGTCTCAAGTAGGCAAGCCAGCCGTCAGCTAGATCGCATTCACTTGCTACTACATTGATGCCAGTTGAGAGAGGTTATAAAGAGCGGATTACCTCAGTTACCTCAGTTACGTGCCAGACGAGACCAAAGACGTAGTTCAAGCAGTATGCTGACCAAGTCAATCACGCACGGGGTAGCCATTGCTGTTAGGTAAAACAAATGTGGAGCGGTATGCAAATAGGTGAAATCTGCAACCAAAACCTGAAAGTAAGTAAGCAAATACGACGACGACCCAGTGGAAGGAGTGGGATAGCCTCTATGCGCCTGTGCACCTACGCTGTGGCTGCTGATACTCCCGAGTATCCGGAAATCTAACAGGCTCAGCCGGCTCAGCCCTACCATGCCTGGGGCAACCTTACGCCCGTGGAGCCAGGAAAGGAATCTGCTCCAGCAAGGTTATATTGACCTCATGGTTCGCATATCGGATGATTCTGCCACTCAATTCTGTGTTACTTCCAGGTTGGTAATTGCTTTGGGAACTGTCCCGTAGCTGTATTTCGGCTTCGCGATGCTTCCTTTTGATCAGTTTTAACAACCTTCTTGGCCGACTTTCATTGCAGTGGTCGTCGCACAAGAGCAGAAACATCAAACTTCGTAGCAAAGGGGTCAACATTTCAAATACTTGATCTAATAAGTTTGCATAGGAGAAGAGGAGCAGGTGCGATGAAAGAATCGGAGAGACAGAGGTCTTTCGGACCAAAGAGCCGATCAGGGTAAGTTACGCATTTGAAACCAAATAATACTTCCATCAACAAACCACACCTCCCCTCCATCCTATAAAGAACACTAAACACTAATTTCTTGTACGACCAGATGTAGCAACTGTAGACTTCGACGAAAGAAGTGCGATGAAAACCAGCCATCTTGTATGAGATGTCAAAAGGCAAATAGGGAATGCGTTTACACTCATCTAAAGCCCAAGACTGTCTCACAAAACGCCACACTTGTCCCAAGAATGTTTACACGACAGAATTATCTTCTTGATATTTCCGACACAAGATTCGCAACCGATCAAGAATTCTACTATTTCACGTGGTTCCAGAATCATGTAGTTTTGGACGTTGCCCCGGATTTTCACACGGTCGAGTGGAGTACTTCAATATTGCAGGCTTGTGACAGGCTCCTGCCGGTCAGGACTGCAGCTATTGCTCTCGCTGCATTGGCAAAGGCTTCTCAGTCGAGCAAAACTGCGAGGAAACAGAAAACTGCATCAATGCCATCGGTGGATGTTACGAGGGAGGCTTTAAACCACCATGCCTTCGCTCTTCGGTGGTATCAGAAGGCAATCAGAAGCATGCGTGGAAGCTTTGAGCATGAAAATCCGAGCGTGAGAACAATCATAATATACTGCATAATTACAGCTTGTTTCGATTCGGCTCACGGCGATCAAGACGCAGCAACAGCACAGATCCGCACTGGTATCATGGCGTTGAAAGACTGGAGACTTGATCCTCGGAAATCATGGAACAGGTCGATTTCTCTATCAAGCGGTCGGGACTCATTGACTGTGGATGATTGCCTCGTTCAGTCAATGACACGTATGGAAACACAGTTGATGGCTATTCGGGTTCCTAGCTCTGCCAGAGCTTATGTTAGCCTTCTCTACGACAAAGTGGATTTGATAAACAGCATCCCGCATTCTTTCGGGGGTATTGAGAATGCCAGGAAATCACTTGACTTAATTGTCCAGCGCACCATGAACTTCAACCGTCCTCCAGTTCCAGTAGATCCAGAATCTGCTCAACAACTTCCAATCAACCCCATTAGTCCTATTGGACCGCATACAATGGCAGTACAATGTGTCTTTGCTCCTCCTCCCGAGTCTAGAATGTTTCCACAGGGATACACTCATCCAAGAAATCATTTCTTCGATGTATCACACAAAATTTTAAACAACGCACATCTTCAAGAATATCCAGATATGGAGCCCGAGTTAGCAGCTCACGATGCCTATTTAGACACTTGGGCGATGAGTTTTACCCCTCTTCTCAAATCCTCGATCGAGAGCGGCGGGCAGGAAGCAATTCGTTCCCTCACATTATGGATAGAAATGTACAGCGCGAAGCTCTTCCGGTCATTTGCCTTCAAGTCAGAAATGGAGTACGACGCCTTTTTTCCCCATTTCCAAAACATTGTCAGTAACGCCTCCCTGCTCCAACAAGTCCGCGAAAGTTTACCTCATTCCCATAAATCCCAATCCATCTTATCGAAATCCCGATTGACGTCAAATCATAACTCCGCCCAAATAAATTCATCAGAGGAAACAAGTCTAGGCTTCTCTTTCGAGCTTGGAATTCTTCCCGCCCTTCAGATGACAGCAATGAAATGCCGGGATGGACCAGTAAGAAGGGAGGCGTTGAGACTCATGGAAAAACATGATCGGAGAGAAGGAATTCATGATAGTCATGTTATGGCGGGGATTGCGAGATGGGTCATAGGTCTTGAGGGGCAGCTGGAGAGTAATGCGAATGAGGAGGACGTTGTGCCAGTTGAGAGAAGAACTACGCATTTGTTTCTAGATTTCGACTGGCTGAAGCGCGAGGTATACATGAGGTGCCTGATGCCAGGTAGCACAGGTTGGTGGCTTATGAAGGCGGGGTCTTTTGTCTGGTAAAGTATGTTCTTTTTAATAGCTAGGGCCTAGTCTAGCTGTTTACTCTTTTATAAAAGTATGAGTGAGAGTATTTCTAAAACTCATATATAGAACCAATGCAGTGGAGACAACTCTATTCTAACAATTTTATTTTTCCCAGTTAAACCTTTTACCTAGAGTCGATACTTTATAGTATAGTCACTATATATCGCTTACTATATAGCTCTTTTATTACTTAAAACCCTCGAACTCTCTTCGATTTACGTTATGCTTCCATCTACAATGGCTTTTGCCCTACTACAAAATAGCTTCATTTCATTAGTCACTTCGGTAGATGCTTCGTATTTGAAGACTTGGGGACACTTACAACCAATGATGCGCAAGGAGCCTGTTGTTCTTGACAGCTGCTCTCATCCGAGCACCGAAGACACTCACCTCGGCGGCTGACCACTGGCTCATGTTAGCTGTTCTGACTTGCTAGTTCTACGTACGGTGCAACTCACCCCCAGGTTGTTCATGAATCGTCTCTGGCAGAAATCTTGTACCCCTCTTTCTAATCTTAACTGCTCCCACAGACCTGTTTCCCTCTCATGCATATCTTTGGACCACTTACCAATCGTACAGCATACCTTCTTCTCAACTACATTGATGAATCCAGCATCTTCAAGACGCTGCTTGATGTAAGGTCCCACGTCAAAGCTCATACCAGCATTGTTACCCGCTTCGAGCATACAAGTTCCCCATGTCTTGTAGGGGTGGTCTGGGCCCAAAGTATCATAGAATGACTCAAAATAAAGCCCAGGTTCAGAGCAGTCAATCCAGCCCCCCGGCTTTAAGGCTCTGTAGTCTCTTAGTATGGACATACTTGCAAGCTCAAGGAGACGGCCTACTTAAAAGCACGATCGTAAAACTTTGGCCAACTTGTCACAGAACCAAGGAGTTCTCTCTCGTGGATTAAATCAAATTTGTCAGTATAGTTCCAGTCCACGTTGAAGTCATCCATCTCAAATTTCGCGTTTGGCGGTGTCCATGTCGGCTGGATAGGCGAAACATCAGTGCCTTTGACAAACGCTTCTGGATGCTTATCTGCAACGTCACTATCAGAACTTTAGCATGTTATGTGTTAGTCGCCAAGTGTGTTATGCCTACATGGCCCATATACCTGTGCCTGTCCCGACATCTAATACAACCTGGGGATTTTTTATTGGTGCCAGGTAAAGTTCTCCATGTAGCATCAATGTCCAAAAGTGATGACTATCACTCACTTAGTATAACGGCGGAGTGATTGTTCTCACATTATAATTACCTGATGTCTTGTTGGTCTTGTGCCATTTCATCATTTGGCCCCCAGTGGTCAGTCGATCCTCCTAAAAGTTAGGGAATGTGGGCGAGGTTACTGGAAAGTAAATCACCCACCAAAGGAATGGTATGTCCTTCCATTTTCCTCTCTAAATCTCATGATACTTGAATTCAGAGAAGCTGAGTCAGTAGCATCGTCACTTGTATCATATGCTGAGTCTCCATCTCCAAACAACCCTTCATCGAAGTCTTCATCAGCAACAGAGGGGCCTTCTACCTGGTCCTACTAGATGATCAGAATTAACCCAACCTATCTATGGAGTCCGGTGTCTACCCACTTCTGATAAGTCCTGAAGGGGTTCTGCCTGAGCAGGCGGACTACGAGGACTTTGAGAGGAACCCAGTGGAGTCAATTTCGGGGTAGCGTGTGGTGTCATCTTTGACCCCCGAACTTTTTCTTTGACGTCTGGCCGTATCTGTGCGATCGAATTGTTGTTTTTAGTCTATCCAGAGATCTACTAGTGCCGACGGAAGTAAAACCCTCAGTCGCAAAAGGCGTTTAAATGTGTGGGAAGCCACCAGCTACTACTCCTGTTCAACGGGAACTTAAGTTATACGAAACTTACGTAAACGGCTTCTCTCCCGGGTAGCGGGCAGCTGTACCCTGTGTTTCTGGTCACATTGAGGTATAATGCATGGCGTAAGGTATTCCTATCGAGATAGCGAAGAGTATCCTGACTGGTTCCCTGGACCGTAACCGCTCATGATCTGCTACTGTGCCTCAACCCGCAGCACTTACACATACAGTTAGCTAGCCAAATCGGTATAAATGCGGCTCGAGGTCGGCAGCCACGAGTTTTTAGGGCCGGCATTTGGTAGCCCTACTTCCCCCCTAATTAGATGTTGTACGGTGAGTGGGTAATAGGGCCTAACTAAACGAATAGAATCCGTTGTTTAGAAGTTATTTACGCACAGATCGTGGCAAATATGAAAAGTGGTCAGCGTTCAAAATAGTCGAGCCAATCAGGTGGCAGGTCAACCGTATTACCTTTAATCAGGGTGGATTCAGTCAGATTCCCGTTTGGGCGTGCAGACCCATGACCCCGCATATCCCTCTAGCGGAAATATGCATCTTCGTGTGCAGCAACGTCTTTATATTGAATATATTCTTGTAATTCGGGGCTTCCGATTGGAAAGCGCATTCGCTCTGATAGTAGGAGTGATTTGTTTTTCAAGGTAGCAAGTACCACGGCCGATCCACTACGGTGTATAGGCAAATCCATCCAAATTCTTCTCCGTCAAATTGTCCTCAGCGAACAAACTACATACCACCGATCCACATTACACCAGTAACCCGAAATTTATCAGAAGTCAGTCATTATCAAATCAGAAGTCTTCTACGTACCAACGAAGTTGTCTCTGTAAGTAGAAGCCCTGTTTTTCTATCGTCGCTGTAGTAACAAGTATATCTACCAAGCATAATTTGACGGAGAAGAACTTATACGGCCTGGACAGCTGAGATACCCCCACGATACTGGCACTCGGCACGAGGGGCAGCTGCGCGACCATGCGTCAGTCAGCTAGCTACTTTGGGTACTCATCCAGAGCCAGGGAGCTCTTATCCAACTGTCTCTCGGCATGCCTTGGGTGCTGCATTACCACATAAAAAGACACCTGTAAGCGGATGTATGACCAAGGTGGGGTGTGATTTCTACCCAATACGGCACATATTCGCTTTAAGATATGAGTACGACCTCAGCAGCATCTTTCCAACCATTCGATTTTCTCTGAAGATCCCTTGAAGACCTGAGTTTCATCTACACCGCTTCTTATACCTTCAAGATGGGAATTCCTGACAAGCCTTTGCGTGTGATCATCATCGGTGCAGGTGAGTTCTCGTGGACTGTCCTCTAAATAACGACTCAAAATCATTTAGGTTCTGCTGGCCTTCTATTTGCCCAGGTTTTGAAGCAGGTTCGTAAACCTGAAACTCCGTTCAAGTGCTCCTAACTCACAGACGCAGGCTGGAATTGCATGCACCGTGTTTGAGCAGGACACCAGTCTACAACAAAGACCTCGGGATTGGAACTTTGGCATTTACTGGGCCCAATCGCGACTCGACGAGTGTCTCACAAGCGATCTCAAGCCGCTGGTCAAAACAGTACAAACTGACCCCAGCTATGTAGCTTCTGAGTCGAGCGTAATGCCAGTCCACCATGGAGGTACAGGAGAACTACTAAAAAATCTCCCGGCACCATGGAGTCTTCGTCTCAGAAGGAAAAAGTGGATCGATATGATTGCAACCGGTATTGACATCAAGGTGAGAGTTGCACTTTCGTTTTAGTTCCCCGCGAACTGATAGTAAAACTAGTGGGGGAAAAAACTTGAGTCGATTGAAACGGGCGCGGATGAAGTGACAGTCACTTTCACCGACGGAACAAAGGAGACTGGGAATCTCCTTGTTGGCGCGGAAGGAGCTCACTCGTATACACGAGAGTGGCTTCTACCTGGCGAGGAAGGAAAGCTCCTTCAATCGCCGTGTGTTGCGAGTGTCACGATTACAAAACTTGGCCGACAAGCCTCGATTGATCTTCGCAAACTACACCCACGTTACACCATCTCGTTTCATCCCAATGGAACATTTACCTGGATGAGTAGTAAGTAACGCATCTTATTCCATACCTTGTTGCTTGTTCTAATAAATACAGTTCATGACTGCGCCAATGAAGATCCTGCAGAATGGGAGTGGATGTTGATGCAGACGTGGCGCTCAGACGAGCCTACTGGTCTGTTGGGCGAGAATATCCTTCCAGCAATGTATGAACGAGGAAAAGCATTCGGTTACCCTTTTAACGAGGTCTTCGCCACCATCCCTGCTGGGACTAAGGTCTGGCACAACAGACTTCAGTACTGGCCTACCAAACCTTGGAACAGCCGCGGTGGACTAGTTACAATTGCCGGTGATGCTGCGCACCCTATGACTTTCCGTAAGTTCCTTGTCGTTCTTCTAATCATGTCTTGGGAGATACAGCTGACACTGTACCAGATCGAGGTCAAGGTTTAAACAACGCAATTACAGATGCGGCAGACTTCTTAGTGCATCTTCGAGAAATGAAAGAGCACACCCCGGCGGAACTGAAGGCAGCCGTCAGGAGGTATGAGACCGAGCTCTGGCCTAGGGGGAATGAGGCTGTACTAGCAAGCCATGAAAACACTAATGCAGTACATGACTGGAACACTATGATGTCGAGTCCGCTCTTTACAGAAGGATTAGCAAAGGATAAGAAAGAAGCCGAGGAAGCTATAGCGGTAGCGTAAGAGTTATTTTTTTTTAAATAGATTTAGCTCTAATTATAGTAGATTAGATATTATAGTAATTCTTAGTAATATAAATACTAGTAGATAAGTATATAGTAGTATATAGTTTATTTTAGTTATATAATTTTATATTTTATAGTAATTATAATTTAAAGTAAAAATATTTACTATTAAACTATAGAGTTAATATATTTAAAAACAAAATTATATATTATATATTAAACTTATATAACTTAATAGTATATAATAAAATATATAGTATACTAAAAGAACTTTAAATAAAAATAAATTT